TACAGCTTGAGCGTTGTATTCCTTCAAAGGAATCAGTATCTTTGATACTAGTCTCTCTGAGACTCGGTTGTTAATACCGATAGGCACAAGCTTACGAGCTAGCCTAGGAGGGTTAAACACCCTAAGACGTAGAAGCTCTCTGAGCTTGTCTTCCTCTGCACATAGTGCATACGTAGCTTTGCTACAGTAGTTTGACTACTTCTTCTGCACATAGTGCATAGGTAGCGTACCTAAAGTAGCTCGACTACACACGCAGTATTACATGAGTAGGAAGTTGTGCCAGGCGCGTTCTACAGTTGAGCAAAGTCATTTTTTCCACGCGCGACTCTAAGCACTTTCATGGTCTTGAAACGTGAAAAGACGTCAAAGATAAAGGTTTCAAGCTTAATGCCTCTGTTGCTTGGTGGGATGATTGTGGCAGTGCCTTCATCATTCACGTACGGATGTTCGTCTTGGCCACGGGATAGTCAGCGCCGGTCCAGCTGCAGCAGCGCTAGAGGAGTTCGTTCCAGTCTGAAGAAATGGCTGCAAATGCTGGCGGCTTCAATGCTGAGCTTGCCAGTCAAAGGGTTCACGTGTTCCGGTGCAGCCCGGTCAAGCTCTGAATACTTTACCACTCAATATGCGCCACTACGCTTGACAACTATACCCACGATCATCAGAACGAGGTTTCCATTGCATAGCGCATTGTCCACTAAAAAATGACATGCAAGTATTTCACACCACACGCCTGCAGTCTGGCAAGCGCTCCACTTGACTTGATTGCTTTGTAAATGCCACCATTTACCATCTGATGTAGTTACCAACTTGTGTACATTCTCCAAAATGAGCTTTAGGTCCGTTGTAAAGCACAACAGGATACCTTGAGGGAAAAAAAACACATGTGGGAAAAAACACATGTGCGGCTCTTTTTTGTGCCAAAGAACTTGTGCTTTCTAAGAAACTCGATAGTCGTATCATGATTCATCCTGCTCGTGATCACGTGATCTTGTATGGAATTTTTTCTCTACCTAAAGCTTAGAGATACAAGTCTTTCAGCAAAGAGCTAAAATAAACTCTCCTCTGACGGTAGATTAATGTCGACATATCCTTTTAGGACCTGCAAAACCCAGTCAGGTACCTTGACCCCTACTCAATTCCAGAGCACAAACTTGTCCTCAACTAATATTTTATAGGCCTAGATTCACCCAATAAGTTGTCTTGGGTCCGCATTGCTCTAATAAACTATACCTCCTAAAGAGGTTAAATATCGTCTTTGTGTCAGCATTTATAAGAACCATAGTTTGTAACTTTTTTAAAAAAAATATCCATTTCAAGCAATTAGTATTCAATTGGTAAATTTCCCCCGGCAGACGACACCATAAAATGGGTCAAATAAAATATCTACAATGTATTTATGTGTAAAAAACAGGACCAAAACAAAATACGAGATTGAGGTTTTTTATCCAGTTGAAGTTGCATGGAGCTGCATCGAAACATTAACGTTTGATGCGCGGATAAACTAAAAACAAAGTGGATGACTCAAGTTTTTAGTTTCCTTTTTTCCACCGTCTCAAGTTTGCAATCTTTGTATCATGTTTTACCATGTCATCCATCCCATGATCTCAACTCGCTCTACTCTACGTGTCTTTTCCTCCTCTTCCATAGTACGTCCTTCCTTCCTTCCTTCCTTCTTCTCTCTTTCAATCTCTCTCAATCTCTCTCCATCTCTTTGTTTCTTTTGGGTCCTATTTGTTCAAATTGCTACTAGAATCGCGTACCACTTTTTATTGATGGAAAATTTGTCCAGTCAAAAACAACGAAATGGATTGATTTATATAATCCAGTACGTTTATATCTAGTTAGAGAGAGAGGAGAGATCCATCGAGCTCGACTACTTACTGTCTGTCTATAGGCAACGAATAAAGTGATTTGTCAAGTACCTGAAGCTACACAAGATGAGGTTCTTTTCATACGATACAACAAGAAATTCTTAAAACTACGAGAGATAAGAGAATGAGTGCTCTAATCTGATCTGATTCATTACATGTTTCAATATAGATGAGGCAAGCAACAGACGCAGCTGCACGTGCTTACAAGACATGGAAAGAAGTAGGTGTACAACATCGTCAACGCGTGATGTTAAAGCTGCAGCATTTAATTCGTCAACATATGGAAGAAATAGCACTCGCTATTACGCATGAACAAGGAAAAACACTTGCTGATGCTCGTGGCGATGTCTTTCGTGGATTAGAAGTTGTTGAACACACGTGTGGTGCTGCGACGCTCATGATGGGCGAGACAGCTGAGAATCTAGCCACGTCATTGGATACGTATTCGTACAAACAACCACTTGGTGTATGTGCTGGTATCTGCCCTTTTAACTTTCCAGCTATGATCCCACTCTGGATGTTCCCCACTGGTACAGTGACTGGAAATACATATATGCTCAAACCATCCGAGAAGGACCCTGGTGCCACGATGGTACGTATAACCTTGTTCTACTTGCAAGCTGAGCTTCATACGTGTTGATTTGCTCATTCATCAATGTGCTGATTCCAGATTCTTGCCCGTCTGGCCCAAGAAGCAGGACTCCCAGACGGTGTACTCAATATTATACACGGTGCTCATGTAAGCTATGAAAAGCTTTAACTTTTGTGTAAAATACAAGATGTTTCAGTAGTCGCTAACTCATGACTTCTTGCAGGATACTGTCAACTTCATCTGCGATGCGCCTGAGATCAAGGCCATTTCGTTTGTCGGCGGAAACCAAGCAGGCGAATACATCCATTCACGTGGCAGTGCCAACGGTAAGCGTGTGCAAGCCAACCTAGGTGCCAAAAACCATGCTGTCATCATGCCTGATTGCGATAAGGAGCAGGCGGTTGGTGCTCTTGCTGGGGCTGCTTTCGGGGCTGCTGGTCAACGCTGCATGGCTCTCTCGGTCGTAATCTTTGTCGGCAAGTCTAAGGAGTGGGTTCATGACATCGTGAAGAAGGCCAAAGAAATGAAGGTGAACGGCGGCCTCGAGCCTGACACTGACGTGGGTCCGCTCATCACGGTAGCAGCAAAGGAGCGTGCAGAGCGTTTGATTCAAGAAGGTGTTGACAACGGCGCGGATCTTCTTCTGGACGGACGCAATGTAAAGGTTCCGAAGTACCCCAACGGAAACTTTATTGGCCCTACGGTGTTGAACAATGTCAATGCTGATAATCCAGCATACAAGGAAGAGATCTTTGCTCCCGTGTTAGTCTGCACTTCAGTGGATACGCTGGAAGAAGCAATCGAGCTGATTAATCGCAACCCGTACGGCAACGGTACCTCTATTTTCACTTCTTCGGGTGCTGCTGCTCGCAAGTTCCAGCATGAAATTGATGTGGGTCAGGTCGGTATCAACGTGCCAATTCCTGTCCCTCTGCCTATGTTTTCTTTCACCGGGTCGCGTGGATCGATTCGCGGTGATCTAAATTTCTACGGCAAGGCGGGCATCAACTTCTACACGCAGATTAAGACGGTGACATCGCTGTGGGACTACAACGAGAAGACGCGCTACAGCGCTGTGATGCCAACGCTCGGTCAGAAGTAAATCGTGCTCGCGCAATGTAACAGAAATACCGACGCATTATACTTCGAAGTATCAAAGTAAGAGTGAGTTCAAATAGGCATTTGATGGATTGACACATATTATTAGACTATTTGTATTCACACTGCATATGGTAACAACAACGTTGTGCATTGTTTACAATGGGACGAAAGCAGCAGCTAGCGTCTCCAAAAACCACCACGACCACGACTACCACCACGACCACCGCCACGACCACCACTACGGCCGCTACCACGACCACCATAATAGTTGCCCCCGCCATTGTCACTACAATCACTTCTCTCTTCATCGGCTTCCGAGATTTTCGTCTCCTCGAGCTTTCGGCCGTCTGGCTCGTTCAGCATACAGCGGTTGGCGTGGTATTGATTGATAAACATCTCAAGTTGTCCCGCAGCATTGGCGGCACCAGTCTTTGCGTTTTTGCTTAGTCGGGGGCACACATCACGCGCAATAAGCTCCAGCAGTTTGTGAAATTGCTTTTTGTACTTCCGCAGAAGCTCAAAGCCAGCCACTTCCAATATCGTGAGAATCAAAGCACCCGTCATGAGGTGTGGCGGTTCATTTAACAGCCGAGCTAGCCAAGACCAGCAATCTCCAAGATCAAGACCTGGTGGGCACGGACTGCCATCCCACGGGGCAGTCTGACGCACAGCAGCTAATACAGCAGCAATCATCGTCATGCGTCTCGTATACTCTGTTACGTGCTCAAGACCATCAGGATCGGAACTCTCACCGACAGCCTTTTGAAAGCCCATCGACATTTTGTAATCGGCTATCGTCTGTGACGCGTGCTTTTCCGGATTGTCAGGAATAGTAAAGACGCACGACTTGTGAAAGTAACCCAGTATGATGTCTGTAAGCTCCGGAGTTTGCACACAGCTCATCTTAATCACGTGTGCAATTGGGTAACAGGATCTACAAAACACAAAAAATAAGACCAGATGATGACGTCGGTGACAATTCCACAAAATAGTAAAACTTATACAATACGTACTTGTAATCCGCACGACTTTCTACCTGTTTGGAGAGATTCGAGGCGACCATGTCGAGCGCAAATTTAAAGTACGCATCGCCTGAGGTCTTTGCCATCTGCAATAATACACACTCAGCCAAAGACACGACTATTGCACGGGTGCAAGATTGACATAGTTTTTCTACCTGTAACAGTTGCTGGATTTTGCTCACAACATTTTTGATCGCGGAAGGAGCAGCTGCAATTTGGTTACACGCTCCAGCCTGCAAGCACGATAGGTCTTAGTGAGATACTACGTAGTATCAACCAAGTATCCACGGATACTATATGAGCACGAACCTCGCGCCTGATCTGCATCCGGATTTTCTTCACTGATAAATCAGGACTATCTAAGATCTCCGTCGTCTGGCAATGCAGTGTTTCTAAACGCTTAATGCATTCACGACCTTCCTGCACATGCTTTTTTGCTTGACTGGCCACTTCCTTCTCGGCAGCTACTTTTGCGGCTTCTACTTCTTCACGCTCAATCTCTTGCTTTCTACGCAGAGCTGCACGTTCAGCTGCTTGAGCCTTCGCTTTAGCTAGTGCTTCTGCAAGTTCGTTTTCAGCCTTCCGCTGCGCCTTCTGTGCCTCTTCATCCTTCTTGGCATCCTGCAATATCTACGACATGTGTATCGCATGGGCACATGATGAGATAACACATCATCACAATACATTTTTACATTAGCAAGTGCTCACTTTTTTGCGAGCTTCTTGATCTCGCCGGACCTTTGCCTCCTCTTGCTCCCTCTGTTCTTCTTCTCGTCGATGTGCCTCCTCCCGTGCCCGTTGAAAAGCATACAGCTCCTTCTCAATACTATCAATCCCCAATCTTTCCTTCAACCAAATCTGTATCAACAAGACCAATACATCACATTAGTCGCCATCCTCTCTGCTCTCTTCTTTTCCATCATTACCTGTTGTAATTTGGCCGTAGTCTCTCGCTCCAATTCCTCTTGTTTCCTCAACAGATCTATCTCTTCCTTCTCTCCCTCCTCTTTTGCTTCTAGTCGTTGTAACTGAGCTTCTGCATCCTGTCGAGCACGTTGCAGCGTCTCACATAGCGCCTGATACGCCTCACTACCTGTCACAGACTGCACCGCCTTACGCTCGCATGTACGTTCCACCTGCTTTAATAGCTCTTGACGTGTATTATTTGTTAGCTGCATCCTTTCCAGTGCTGACGTCGCTGTGTGAACGTGAAAGCTATTGTCCATCAAAGTCGAATTCAATTCGTCGTCGTCTTCGTCGCTGGGCGTTGTGGTGCTGTCCAAACTTGGCGCACGGAGACGTCTACGACCTGTATCTGTATGATTCATCGGTTTCTGCATTCCCTGTACGTCCCAATACGTATAACTTGCTGCAGCTCGAGCCATCGGCAAAGTCTCATCCTCAAAGGTGACCGTAAACCTCATACTGCCTGAACAATCCGAAAGAATTGTCAATATATCTATATTTCAACATTTTGTCGTAACAATCTCTAGATTTGTAAACTCGATATCTTCTTGTTTGTATGTAATATACATCATTTAAACCGGATCAATGAACCGTAACCGTAACCATTGAAACCGTCAGCGTCTCCACCATTCATATTGCTCCAAGACGTCGCCTAGAAGCACGAGTCAAACCCACTCGCCTTCTTCCTTTCTTCGTGACCTTGAACAGCGCATAATCATGGTAAGCTCTTGCACTTATGAACGTAATAATTACAAACTAGTAGGTAGTCATGAATACTAAAAGAAAGAGAAAGAAAGAGAGTGAAAAAACATACACACATGACTCTTTTTCAATGAGATACAATACATGAAATGATAGAGACAAAACAGGGAGAAAGAGTTGACAGTTGACAGGCATGTTGAAAGCTTTTTGCTGTAGTGATTGAGCATTGCAATGCAATCAAGACATACTGGTCTTGTTCTTTTGTATTTATATAGCTGTAGCTCTTTCTAGCTGTTGTTGTAGCTCTTTCTAGATGATATTGTTGTAGCTCTTCTTACTCTTTTCTTCACAGTTTGTTGTTGTAAAAAGGTTTCTATACTGCTAATTGATTGCTATATGTTACTAATTATTCCTTAATTGTCATGGATATGTATGTATTCTACGTAATAGCCCCGTGACCTTTTGCATCCGTCTGCTGCTGAAGAGGCTTCCAAGCACAAGCTTCGTCGTCTTGTACAGACCCCGAATTCGTACTTTATGGATGTCAAATGTCCTGGATGTTTCAACATTACGACGGTATTCAGTCATGCCCAGACGGTCGTGCTATGTGGCTCGTGCTCTGTAATGCTGTGCCAGCCTACGGGTGGTAAGGCTCGTCTTACGGATGGCTGCCAGTACCGCAAGAAGACAGAGTAACTTTATTGTGTGGATACGCTGAAGCTTGCTGTCAGTTTTCTTCCTGGCAGAAAGTAACTAGATACTCAACGACGCAAGGGCAGAGAAGAAATCAAGCAAAATAAAAGCAAGTTGACTGCGCGTGCTCGGATTCTTGTAGCTCGCACGTTTTACTCGCTTCAACTTGCTTGGGAATTTTCATGTAACTGTGAAGAAGAGAGGAAGCTTTTCGACCTTTTTCCAGGTCGCTCGATCGGGTTGGCATGTTTTGAGGGGGAAGAGCTACTAACGTAAATTGAGGGACGTAAGAGTTGATTATTTTGCAGGCTTTCATTCATTTTCGGTCGTCTTTTCTTGGTGCTGCTTTCTTCGTTTTCGTACTTTTGCAGGTGTTGATCGGATCAAGTGACAAGGAGAAATGCGATCGCTTGTTTTGACGTTTATTCGTTATGAGTAAACTCTAGTGCCGGTTCTTCAACATTGGCACAATGTGTTTTGTCATATCTGCATATAAAAAAAGGTTTTGGGCTGTACATGAACCGCCACCACCGCTCACTATCTACTTACTTCCCAGCAGGTCACACTTACTTGATCCCTTTCACTAGCAAGCATGATGTCGATAAGTACATGTACACACTTACGCGTGGATAGCAGTTCTATCCTTCTCCGCTACAATCCACATGCTATCATCCTCCAAATCCAAGCGTTCAGCAAGCGCCATGATCGATCCAGTCTCCAGCAAATACGATACCAGCTTATCGTTTGCATCCACCATCTCATCCAGCACATCAGCATTGACTTCCTCTTCAGTTGCAGCCTCCTCCTCTTCTTCGGCAGGGGTGGCCACACCGCCATCCTCCTCCTCATTCGATTCATTTGAACCGTTATCCGAACCTGAGTCGTCTGCATCCTGCCGTCGACGTCGACCTCCTCCCTCACCTCCTCCTGACTTGGTTGATGAGGCCTCATCTGAAGACGAGTCATCCTGCTGTTGACCCCTTTGCTGTTGGATTTGTTTTGATCCCTTACCGTTGGCTGGAGCTGTCTTTTGACCACGAAGTAGAGCTGCCTTGCGCTCTTTGGTACGCTGACGCTTCTTTTGACGCTTGCTACGCTTCGAGGCCTGGCGTGCCTGTTTTTCATTTACCTCCTTCTCTGTTTCTTCCTTCCATAGGCTTTCCTGGTATTTCAAATGGAAGACCGTGCAGTCACAGTTCTTGCATACATTGCATTTGCACTCTACACAAAAAAAAGTATCGTTCGAGTGTTTCGAGAACGGACCCAGACAGATAGCGCACGTGACAAAATGTTGCTGCCAGATGCGCGAAGCACGCTTCGCCACCGTAGCCGACTTGTGTGACACCAACGTCTCTATATTTGCAGAAGCCATGAGGCTTGCATACGGATTTGGGGAGTCCGTACGCTTTGACTCCAGCTCACCGACCTGGAGAATGCGTTCCAAGCCTTCGAGTGCCATCATTACCATACTCGTTTCCTCCAAGAGATTGCCTAGGATCTGAATGCAACCCTGATTGACGAGATACTCGATTTGACTATCCGATCCGCATGATGTGGCGTTAAGTACTACCCAGCAGGCTTCACTCTTCACTTCAGCATCTGTCGTGTCTGACGCAGCCAGCCCCATCAAAGACGGGATACATCCTGAGTCAAGGACGCACTGAATTTGGTCAACTGTGCCGGCGGCAATGTTAGACAGAGTCCAGCAAGCTTCCTTCTGAATTTCGCGATTTGAGTGTGCAATTAGTCGCCGCAACGAAGGCACAGCACCACACTCGATTATGTGCTGCGTATAGTCGTGATCATCTTCAGCGCACACAATATTTCCTATCGCACGTAGAGCTGGTTTCGTGACTCGCCAGGACGAGTGGCTTAAAAGCTCAACAAGTCGGAAGCACACGTCCGAGTCAACTACAGCCTGGATGTGTGTACTTGGTCCGTCACACAAGTGTGAAAATGCCCAGCATACGTGACTCAAGATTTCCGTGTCTGTACTCGTCAGCATCTTGGCCAGATACGGTAAGATAAGCCCGATATCGAGCACTGGTCGCGGCTGACCATCACACAAGTTGCTAATGGTCCAGGTCAAAATACGAAGCAACGACAGACGATCCCAAGAGGTTTCCTTCAGATTGTTCACAAGCGGCGTCAGCGCTCCAGCACTCAGCACGAGGTCCCTAGTCGCAGCCCCTTCACCGGCCAGGTTGCCAAGAACCCACACGGACTGCTCCAGCACCTACTCGATTCACCCCATGTACACGCAAACTCAGCAACCAGCTTACAACGTGCCGATAGGAGACCATTTCTCCTACTACCAGCCTACCTCTTCATTGGACGAGTCCAACAACGAAACCAGTGTCGGAACCACACCATTTTGTAGTAGCACCGATGTGTTGTCCGTAGCACCCGCTGCAATGTTCGTAAGTGCCCACAGCGCTTCAACTTGAAGAGTCGGTCGATCACGCAGTCGCAGCCACTTGATAAGACGTGGTGTCCAGTTTTTTTCGAGCATCTAAACGTTTGATAACGAACAAGCCCGCAATAACCAATATAGTCATTAGCATGAACCAGTCAGCAGAGTACCATTTCTCACATAAGCACATGCACATCAACCATACCTGACGAATCAGCAAATCACGCTCCGAGGACAATAGCACACGGAGCTTCTTGGCTGCTTCAAGCTGAACACCAGCGTCTTCTGAATTCAGTCCCGCATCAATCTGGTTCAAATCTCCTTGAAAAGTAGCCGAAGCAGCCATCGTCACAGAACTCATGGATCCGTCGATTCCGTTTCTTCCTAAACTTCCATTTGCAAAGCCACTAAGACTACCATTGGCCAAGAGATTGGCTCCATGTGAAAGATGATGATGATGATGGTGGTGGCCGTGCGAGTGCAGCGAGAACTGTGGCTGCGGCGTCAAGGCTGCAGTACTAGTTGTCACCCCCGTTGGCGTCGTAACACCAGCCTTTGTCGTGCTTCCCATATGATGTATCGTTGTAGTTGTCGATGTCACAAGCGTTGCATTTCCCCCGCGATGTGTGGCCTGATGGTGGTGTACAATGTCTCCATTCTCCGTACGATGAGCACTAGATGTCGAATTCTTGAGCAAAAGGTGATTGGCTTGTGATAATGTACTGGGTATAGCTGCAACTGCTGCAGCCGTGAGTTCTGCCACGTCTGTTGGAGATAAAAATGCTTTCTGATTACTACTCGTCTTGAATGTGCCACTCATTTTGACAAGTTAATGAACGAGTCAAAGAAAAAGAGACAGAGAAACTGCTACTTGATTTGATATTTGTATGAGATCAAGGGGCTCTATATCTGGTACCATACAAATGAAAACAAACAGCACAACAAGATGCTTAGAAAACGGGTCGAAACGTGCTTGGTAGGCAACGGCTTTGAGTGAAATTGATACGAAACGAGAGATGATACACGTGCAAATCTCACTTTCTTTTACTCTTGATCAGATAGTACCGATTCAAGCTCGGAACAACCGTGTAACGCACCTCTTCTGAGAGTCTTTGAGCTCCTTAGCGTCTTCTTCCTCTGAGAAATAGCGCAATCCGTTCAATTTCGAGTAAATTGTACTTCTATGATTTGATACTGTAGTATAACAATGTTTTATTAGTTATTACAGTATCTGGATAAAACAAAGAGCAAATGCATGGTGTTTATACTGTGCTTTTTGTCTTTTATCTTGCTATAATATTAGATTAGAAAGCTGTACCTTAATAGTTGCTATCTTTTGGTATAAAAAGCGTAAGCATTTGACAGATTTGATACTTTCTTGCAAGGTTTCATATTTTTGTACCTATATTTTAAAAAAAAAGTCTTTCAAACAGAAATGTAGCCATCCATTGACTAGATCATGAACCCATTCAACCGTCTGACCGATATACGCACAGCTGTCGAGGAGTTATTGTCCCAAGAAGAGCAATGCCAGAGCTCCAATCATTGTTAGCCACAGTGTGTTGAATATCCACCACTGGTAAAGCATGGGCACTGGCTACACTCAAAGGTATGGGCTCTGGACCACATACCTCACGATGAGTAGTAACGTCCCACAGCGTGACGCACTCAACATCATGAGACCACGAAGCTACCACCGAGGAACCATTTCGTTCAGACCATATTGCCGATCGAGACAACACAGAGGCTGTCATATGACCAGTAAGCTCCACTTTTGGCACAAGCTGTCCATCTCTTACTGCACGCAAGTCAAACACGCTGTGTGTCAACGGTATCGATCGCGATGAAACCACGGCTTGCTCCGAGTGCAGCTGGTTCGACGCAAGTGAAAAACACGCTTGATTACTCGAAACGTGATCAAGCCGTGTATCTCGATTGTCGACCGATCGGTCAGCTTCGCTCAACACATCGGCAACATCTCTCCAAACTGACAGTCCACGAAATGTAGCTGCTGCTAAGCCCTCGGTGCTACGTCCTTCTTCATGGCTATTGAATAACTTGATTGAATGCACCGGTTGCCGTTCCGGGAGCGTAAAGGTCTTTACGATGCCGCTCTCGCCTGCTGCTGGCTTTCGCATGTCATATTTCGCTACAGTACCATCTTGAAATCCGCAATACATTGCATTGGGGTCTGATTCGCTAAAGCAGCATGACCAACCATGCCGTCTGCCTACAGGACATTCCACCTCCAATATCACTTTCTTTTGGCAAAAGTTAGTCACAGCTAGCTTGCCATCAAAGGCTACCGTAAGAACATCGCCCATCATTGAGTGAATACAAATATCGCGAATGGCAGAGCTGTGCACTGGTACTTGCAGTCTGTGTCTTGGATCTTGCGCATCGACTGTCATTACACCATGCGAATCATGACCGAGCTTCTCACCAACACATAGAAACGAACACGACCGAGCGATGCTGAACACACGCGCACTTGACAAAGGAATGTCAAAGATTGGTTTGTATTTGTGTTCACCAGCAGCAACTGCATCCTCTGCAAGCGGCTGCGAGATAGAAAATCCAGGCGGTTGCAACTCATTTGCAAGACAAAGTGCTGCGTCTTGTGAATCAACATGAAACGGCGTAACTTGCATTGCAGATTGTCTCGGTGACGTGGTAGGCAAGAAACTGCTACAACCCCAAGCAACAGATGCAGGACTAACAGCTTTTGTAGCATCAGCAAGCTTCCTTTGTTCCGCCATACACTGCCTGTGTGCAAAGTCGTTCTTCAATTTATCCAGCTCCATATTCAGCAATAAAGCTTCATTTGTCTTGACCTCCAAGTGTCTCTTTACAGTCTCAATCTCTTTTTCCAGTCGAATGCTCTTTAATTTCTCCTCCTGATACTTTATCCTCATATTTTCAAGGCCAGAATTGTCCACCACTGCGACGTGATCTGAGAACAATAGACACATATCCGTGCATTGTACTACAGTGTTACAATTTGGACACTTTTGTCTCTCTTTTATCCAGCGTTGAATGCATTTTTTACCAAATAAATGGCCACATTTGAGCGCTACAAGACGATGACGACCTACGATAGTGCATCCTTCACAACAGATGGAACATTCCGTCGGCTCTGGCTTTGTTGTCACTTCCATACGCTTACGTTTACGAATCATGAGCGTATCAATTAATTTATGACCTGCTGATGCTGCTGCTGCTACTTCAGCTGCAGCCTCTGCATCGGTTAATATTTGTACTTCATTGTCATTCTCCTCGGGAATTGCTATAGCTTGAAACGTAACTACTTCTTGATTATTGAGTGTTGTAGCAGTAGGAGACAGAAGAGTTACAACTGAAGTAGCTCTAGAAAGTGGAAGATGAGACATGACAGACGACGACGACGACGAGATCTCCTGCTCACTATAGTTGTCATGATTCTCGCTATTGTTTGCGTCAACATTTTCTTCTTGCATGATCTGATATTTGTTAAATTTTGTTATGGACGAGCCTTTGATACTTGATAAATGAATTACAACAGGTTCGTAAATTCGCTCTAAGTTCGATGTCATGACAAGCAAATGGGACTTCGAAGTCGACATCGGCGTCTTGCAGGTATTTATTACCCGCGAGAACTCATACGACGTCGAAACTACCTCGATTTACAAGCAAGTTACTAGAAGGTCTGCAAGAAAGATAGGACTATTTTGCATCTTAAATTTGCTGTATACTTGTTGATAGACCACTTTCAAGCATTGATTGAAAAGGTAGATGCCTTTAACCTCATGTGGAAGGTGCGTACGTCATTCTTTGCGATATGTAGACGACAAGAGACATTTGAAACCTTCTACTCTCTTTATGTTTGAGTGTTAATTAGAGAACTGTAGGTCATGCTGGACTCGTGCTAGTTGGCCACAAAACTTTCCTGTTGTTTCAGCTATTGACAGACAGTGCCTCTACGGCACGTCTGACTCGATCGCTTGCTCTCAAATCTCTATCCTATTGCAGCATTCTGTGCATGCGAGATTATATACAAATTGGTTGCAGTCAACGTTTTCGTCTGAGTCTCTTCTTCTCCAGCAGCTACGCACTCATGTGGCTATACTTCTCCGTATTCCTGCATCTGAGTTTATCAGCTATCGAAGTATCACCACTCTGTATCATATACTATCTGAATAGCCTTGTCGTGCTTTAACTTGTTGGTGGTAACACCAAGGCAGAGCTTGCACGTGCCCAGCAGCTTGACAAAGTGCACCGTCTCATGATCGCATAGATACATACTGTAGCCATGTTATAGATAATGTGTAGCCATGTGGAATCGTACTTATGAGAAATCTCGTTTGAAAGTTTGAATTGTGTCCGTCATTCCAAATTCAAACCATTCGAGCTAAAGTCGCTTTGCTGCGTAGACGACAGCCTTTATTTCCTTCTACAATGCCAGATCGTTCCATGCATCAACATGTATTTAAAGTATCAAAGCAAAAGCATCCATTGGTATGTTTTATACGTCATAAAGCTCATTCAAACAAAAGTTATGCCTTGTCAAAGATGTTTGTTCATTCGTAGCTTTGTCTATTTGTTTGTTCTTCTTCTTCTTCATCTTAGGATCTACTTTGTGAGCAACATAACCGACATGTTAGTAAACATCGTCAAGGTCTTCCAGACTGGCAAAGATCATGTACACGAGCTGGAAAATCGAGTCAACAACATGTAAAAACGCCAGCATTCTTTGCGTGGGATCAAGAGAGCTCACCATCGACATGGCAAACGGAAACACCTCAAGTGAGTGGCAACGTCATAGTGACAGTTGTTGAGAGAGATGATGCTGGTGCTAATTGATGTCGAGGTGTTTTGTTGTTTTGTGTATACAGAAGGTAGCAAGGACGTTGGAGATGGAGAGTGAACCAGATATGGCGTCCGAAAGGTTTCGCAATACAAACGTAAGCGAAGAGGGACCGGAATCGGTCGTAATAGATGGACACAGAGTAGACACGGCCATCGAGATGGATGATTGTGATGACAGAGTGTCGGAAGACGATCAGCATGTGGTGACAGGTAGATGCATTACTGTGAGCCCAATGAGAGAGGACATTCTTGATCGATTGCCTCCTTCTACTACTGTCGCGGAACCATCGCAGCATGGTGGTCCACTGTCAATTGCACAGGTATCACCATCGCCGTCGCCGTATCACCGTAGTCCGAGTCCGAGATACGCACATGGTCGTCGATTTGAAGATCATGATGTAGTCGTCTCGCCGTCTCGTATCCAATCGTATGCTGCAGGAGTCACAACAGAGCAGGCGGATCGGTACAGAATGAGCAGGTCAAGTGGCAAGCGACTGCGGTCACCGGCAAAGCGAACAACGTTGTGGGGGGATTCTCATGACAGTCACATCCAAGGAGGTGCCAGCGCCAACACGGACATACCCAGTGTTTCCCACAAGCGTCAACTTCGTTCTGCTGCCGAACGAATGTTTGGCGGTTCGTCGGTGTTTCGGACGCTCAATATGGACACGTGCAGCTGGCCTCGGTCCGAGACGGCGCGCGGCCAGCGTCAGCCTACTTTAACCAGTTCTGACGCAACGAACGTTGCAAACCAGGCTGTACGCGAGTATCTTACAGAACGTGAAGAAGAAGTGAACCAGGCGAAATTGCCACTACAACAGGCCCAGTCTCGAGATCGCAGCCTAGACAACGACAATATTGGTTTGGTTCCTGCCGGTATTGAGGCGTTTGGTGCGCCTACCGCTGGACCAAAAAACTTCAGGAAAACCAAGAAGGTATCATTTGGTGAAAACGCGCTTGCTGTCTCTTCAAACAAGGCTGCACTCTATTCACAGCCTCGAACTCTTCCCGTGCTTGCCGATAAAACTACGCAGACAGAGGCTTTCCTATTGCCAACCCGATCACCGAATAGGTCAGATAGAATTGGCGCCTCTGACCGCCGCGAAGCTCAGAAAAAAGACCATGGATCACCTTTGTGCTATACTGCCTGCGATACTACCAGGGGCGATCTCGAGCGTCCTTGGAAAATTTCAAGAAAATCTGCTAGTTCTGTCGGCACAGGCTTTCCAGAGCAGCGCAATTATCGTCGGACAAGTAGTCATCTGACAAATCCAATCATGCTAAACCCTCGTTACCCACCAGAGACGACGTTCCCAGCAAAGCCAACGTACTCCGCAGCATTTAATGACAGAGTTCCATGGCGATAGCGTTCGATGAAAAGATGTCATCAGATCTACGAATGAACGTACAGCAGCATGGAAATGGCTATCTAACTCCCAAAGTGCTCAGTTTTTTCAACTAAAGCGACATTTCTGCTAGTGATGAAATCCGAGACTAGAAGACCTCTTAACAGGGCAGCAACTTCTATGGGTATATTCTCAACGTGTACGTCTACGGCAGCGAGATTTGCTTATGTCTAAAGCTCACTCGACCATACAATACGTTAATAAGCGTTCGGACGTAGTATGTGGAGAAGGCCAATTGTGCATTGTTACGAAAATGAATGAGCCAGCGTGTGGTAGCAACGTTGCTGATCAGCTCATAACATGGGTGACACAGTCGGCCAAGCCAGCTTCAAGCACATTCCTTCTTTCACAATTTACATCTTCTCGGTGGTCCATTCGCTAAACCAGGCAATGGATCCAGTCCGTGTAGATAGAAAAGTTTGCGGTGATTATTTTTAACTCGGGGCACTGCCACTTATCTGGAGGAATGGCCTACGGATACCTTGCAGTTGATTGAACGCGTTCCGTGCAGATTATTTACAAGACAAAGACCATTTGCCAAGGTGAAAATCGTGTCAGAAACCAAGTCGACTTCAGTGCGCAAGTGCAACAGAGCTCATCAAGCTGACCGATGTGTTGCAGCTGCTTGTAACTGTTCCTAAACATTGTTATGCAAATCACGCCTTCGTACTCAAGATTGTCTGGCACTTACGACGTCATCATAAATGCAAGAGTGGTGCAAAGCCATGGCTCCCTGGAGGACACAGAGCATCACTACGCTACTCAATATACTAGATAAGTCGCGTAAAGATACTTACTAGGAACTTTGTAGCAACACAAGCAGTCACTGATGCGTTTCATGCTGCCACTACATTCTGTTTGCGTCTTGACAACATTGACAATTGCAAGACGACGAAAAAAGCTCTGGATCATCCATTTGCTCAGCTCGGCAAGTCAAAAACGACGATAAGCTGTAGCTGACATAACAAAGCCTGTGCGTATCCAGTGAGCGATGAACCAAAACCACAACTACGAAAACGAAAACGACCATGAAATCTCGTTAAGCTTGAGCATCAAGTCGTACATTTTGCAAGAATTGCAAAGCACTAAAGACCGACAGCTCGCTGAAGTGAATACTAGCAATGAAGCAAAAGACATCAGGTGACAGTAGAGTCAAACGACTCGTCTCTTGTCTGACATGGTAGCAAGTATTCAATCTTGTCGACTCTTTCTCTTTTCATGACGATAAAACTCAGACATTCGAATTTCAAGTCTTGCTGGTTCCACAGGAGGTAAATTCCCCACATTCATCATAACTTCACGTGGGATTGGAGCGTACGTCTGTACTCCACTTGCTCGTGCATATTTGCAAACGTTTGCCATTGCACCAACCGACATGGCTCCAAGAGGGTCATTTGTACCTAATCCAGTTGATACAGCACCATTCGACGAGTCCAATGATGCCTTTGACTGTACAGATAAAGCAGAAACTCCTCCAGGAGGTACTTGTCGACACATTTGCTGCTTCTTCCACTGATAATAAGCAGAAAATGGTCCACCTGGTCTCAAAAAGGCAAAATCCGGATTATCCTGTTCCCGTTCTCTAGCTGTGGCTTCAAATGCGTCTCCATTACGAGCGACAAACTCCACAAGTCGATCAATACGTGTTTTAACGTCCATCGGGACGTTTTCCTCGGTAGAAAAAGACTTCGAACACTGGAAATGACTCGACATGGAAGCTACAGGATGGAATGGAGCGCCTGGTGGTATAGCTATAGTAGAAGTAAATGGTGCATTAATTAATCCATTAGCACCACGTGCAGCTGCAGCAATTGAAGCCAAACGTGCTGCTTCCTTTGCCTGAGCAATCCGCGCCTGGAATTGCTGCTCTAATTGCGTCGACGACATGGGAGGGGGTGTCATTTTTGGCAATTTCCGATAAAAACTAAATATTTACAAAGAAATTTTAAAATTTCTATTGGTCACTTTGACTAAGTTTCTAAATAGCTACATCACGTAATTGCCGAAAATGATTACCGTTATTCTTCGGCTGCTGCTTCCATTGCAAGCAATGCTATCAACTTGGTCAGGAGGACCTTTTGATCTCAAAGTCATGAGTCTGCTGACTCATTATGTAAGGCCTGCGCACGCGACATCATTTGTTACGAGCTATAGAGCGCAATTAAGAGCAACGTATATGACATTGATTCTTGTCAGCCATAACAATTACCGGTATTACTTATGGTTACTGTATTGTCACTGATAATTGCAATGCAACATATGGCAATGCACAAAATTGTAGGTACAATTAATTCACATTTCACAAAACAATTAAAGAATTGAAGGTATCAATTGATTGTTTCATTTGACATAAATGGTGCACAACAAGTACGACTTGTCATTATTCAAATCGTTCTGTTGTCAAATCGTTCTGTTGTCAAATTTAGGTACTACATCAAGAAAAAGAATCAAAAAAAGAAGCAAAACGTTATTAGAGAAAGTGGTCTAAAAAAAGTTGCACCCCTACACCCGTTCAAAGTACGTATTTTATGATAAAGTACATAATTCTCATTAAAGTGCGTAATTTATGGGTCAAATTGTGTAAGAAAAAAACCTAAAAAGTGTTTAACGTTGTTATCCGATACTTTTTGTATACCATGATGTCAATGAAGATGATAGAACACGTGTAGCACTATCTTTTCTTCCATAGTATCACAAATGTACGTTGTAAATAAAAATTGAAATGATTTGTAATCAGGGTATAGTACATCAGATAGAGAATTAAAAATGATTACGAAATACAGAAGCATCCCGTATTAGTATTGAGAAAACTATGTTTTTTACTAGATTTTTTATAAAATAAAAAAATTAATAACTTTTCAAATATTATATACTTTTCAATCTGACTTTTGCGTAGATGTTTTTTTAGTGATTATGCATCATGAGCATTTTTTGTTTTGGAAAAATTTAGTCAATTTTGAAAAAGTTTTGCGTTTTTGGACCAAGGCGACAAGAAGTTCGAGTTAGTGTCTTCAATCGACTTTATTTTCATTAGATTTTAGGATAAAATGAAAAGGGGTTCCAGAAATGATATAGCCGGGATTGCTGGCTATATCGACGTGAAATTTGGTGCTGATTACGAATCTGCTTTGATATCGACCGTACGATGTCTAGTTTTTGTGCTATCGCGTAAAAACGGTCTAATTGCAGTCATTTCGATACAATTTTGTACGAATTTTTAGGTACAAAAACAGTGCGCTTCGCATGGGTATTAAAGTTGGACAAAATCTGGTTTCGTCACGAGAAAGAGCATAAAAAAGTACATCTAGGACACCATGAGCCGGGGTCAAGTTTGCCTAGATTTGTAGGGGGGAAAAGTAGTAAAAAAAGAAAAAATAAGGGGTAAAGTGACCATTTTGGACCAATTTTAGACGATTTTGACGCCATGGAAAATGGAATTCTTCCATAACTACCGGGCTGATTTTGGTGTAACTTTCGGAGAGGTCGTGGGCAAGTCGTCGTTTAAGTTCAGTGTCGTAAAGATTATCAGATCCCGTCATTCGATATATATATAGATTTACGTATACTTGAGAACTGAACTTGTGCAAAAAGTGGCCGCTTTTTGATTCTTATTTTCGTGCTATCATGTGGATGGTGTTCGTTATTACAGCCGTTACGTCCTGCTGTCCATTTCAAGGGACCAGTTTGTATTATGCAAAAAGTAGACGACATAAAATCATGTGCAAAGTAAAGACGTTAGCAATTAATAGAAGACGTTAGCAATTAATAGTGACCGTAATGAGGATAGCAATGGACTAGCGTTTAGTGAGATGGTACGTGATTTTGAAATAAAACAGCGTGGTTTACTGCTTATGGCGATGGATCAAGTTGTGGATCAAGCTATAAAGAAGCAGAGCGAAATGCTTAAAGATATTCGTACCAAGGTGGAGTCACGTCATTGCATCGTAGCTAGCAAGCTTCATGATGAGACTTCAGATCAATCGGACATTGGATGTGCAACAGAATATCGGCCTTGTAAACTGGATTCGTGACGAGGCCAAGATGGACCTTGCAGTGACGTACTTTACTAAGCTCCGCAATCATTTTGAATCGGGTCAACCCAATACGTTGTGTAGTAACTTTGAAGCATTACTGTTTTTATGGATGACCTGAACATTCCAATGCGACGCGGTCTCGGACTAAATAATCGTATTGAAGATTTGCTGGGCGCTCAAAAGACGCTACGCTGTTATTATCGGAGAGTGAGATGCTGGCTGCTTTAGTGCGATTGGGGCAGGAATGCCGACACTTGCACTTGAATTTCAAATGTGTAAGCAGTCGTCCGTAGACGCGTCTCTACCAAGTGATACAAATTTACCTTTGAATACTAATTGGGAGACGGGTTTGACAATGTTGGCAAAGCTACGTCAAGCTGCAGGCAGCAACAATGAACAGACGCCCATCGAATGCATGTACCAATTTACAAACAAGAACGAATATGATGTCAATGCGAAGCTTCAGTAATTGCAAGGTAACGGGACGTCATCGCTACCATCTCGGTTTATCAATGACGGCTTTAGTTTATCTGGTCAAGCACAACCTTCAGCATCGAGACCGCCAGGTATAGATGACTTACATTTGACCAGTTTGGATTTAAACGGCTCCATCTTGAACAGCTCGACATTGAACAGCTTGAGTTTAACAAGTTTCAACAACAACGACAGCAAAGAAACTCAAATGCTATCCTTGTCGCAACTAGGTTTAATTGGAGCACTGCCACGAGAAGCAGTCAACAATTTTCACCATTTTCTTCTGGATACGGTGATAACTCTAGTAGAGTTTGGTCACAGCCGTCACTTTCGTCAAGTTCTGGAAGTCCCCAAAGAAATTTACCGCAGCCATCGCTATTTCCTGAGTGTGAAAGTCCGCAGAAGCAATCACCGTATTTGCTGAAAGCTGAAAGCCCGGAAGTGCACAGAATAGATCATCGGAATCTTCAACATTATTTGGTGGGAAGCAAGCTGATGACGTACCAATCCAGGTCAATTTGACACTTGTCAAGTCGCTCAAGTTTACTATGACCGACCGAGTGAGTTGCCTAGGGAAAGTGATCGTGTCCGCAAGGCCATGTTTGCACGTATGCTCAATCATATCGAAGGCTTACCAAAGGCGACGTTATGCCCACTCAAGACGGGCCACGATCCAACCTGCCCGCTTTCGCATACGTACATTGAGGTCATGACGTACAACCCATTATACAAGAGTTTAATCTGCCGTCAACCATCTCACTACTGGGGCAGCGAAATCAAGGAGGATGACAGCTGTGCGTGCTTGCATGTCGATTCTGGTCTCGCATGGGCGTGGATGGATAAGTTTGGTGACAAGCGTTTCTATTGCCTCCATGGTGATAAATGCACTAATACCAAGTGTTTCAAGTCGCATACGTTTGAAGACATGTGCTGGTACAATCCGTCATACAAGATCAAGCGCTGTACTGTGCGCACTCATGACCACATATCACGAACGCGTAAAATGATTGCGCCGCCACTCGACTGCGGTTACTACCACATTGACGAAGGCAAGAACGCTGATAAGCGCAATTATTTGGTCGAATCTGACCATGTTGGTAAAGAGGTCAAGATGCTGTTTATCGAGCGTACGCACAAACCTCTCGCTGATTTCCTTGAAACTCTTCGATACGTGCGCAACAACAATCTCTAAGTGATATTTCACCTCTGTAAGATGTACAAGCAATCTGCCATACATATTGGACTTTTTTTCAGCTTTGTTGCTTCACGTAGTATCAAGCTCGTGTCTTAGTTTCTATAGCGTCTTTGAGCGACGAATGTAGTTATCGACGAGTTTCTGAAGCGCTTTTGAGCGACGAATGTAGTTATCGACAAGCACACGCGTGTTGCAGATTCGATGGTAAATCTGTGCAAGCAATCATGCACGTAAACATTTTGCCCAACACTTGATATCCATCGTGTCCTTGCGTACTGGTGTGACGTGCTTAGCATTACTGATTGACTCTTGTTTCCATACGTTAATAAAATGGTAACAAAAACTTCAAGCACCCGACAACTTCACGTATCAACTGCCAGGACACGTCCCAATACTAACGGGATTTGAGAAATAAAAGAGCTTTATCTGCAATGGAAAAACTTTATCTGCAATACCCCCATCTCATCCACTGTCCCAGTTTTGGAGGTGCCACTGAACCTGTTCATAACTGGATTTGCCTTAGCCAACCTTAATCAAAGGACCTTAATTATGGCGTCTCAACTATTTCTCGTAAGTCCTTAATCTGCTATCATTCCTCAGTTCATTAACGCGTGCATAATGTCCACCAGAAAGGACGAAGTGTCACGACTATGAGGACTATCAGCAATCAGACGCTTCGCTCGCATCTAGGTCCAGGTCAAAAGGTTTGCAATGATCGTTGCCTTTGTTGTAAGTGGTTACATGGCTGACAATTGAAATGATAGCGTTCTTCCGTGTCGTGGACTTCGAACATGATGGAGAAGACGAAGAGCTCCATGAAGGATTCACCGTTACCGTGGTGGCTTTTCGGAACTGCAGGCTTGGTTGCAACAACACTCACTGTTGGCGCTGCTGCACGGCTCACACGAACTGGAGCATCAATGCTGTACTGGAAACCTCATTTCATGCACTCACCAAAGACTGAGAGTGAATGGCATGACGAGTTCAACGTTTATCGTGACTTCTGTGCTCGATCTCAGCGCACTCCACTGGTAAGTCAAGCGTAGCGTATTCAATACAACACTGCGGCGGCGAGATCTGATCATTTTTTATTACGGTAGACGCTTGAGGACTTCAAGCGCAATTACAAGTGGGAATCAGCTCACCGCAGACTCGGCCAATTGACAGCTCTCACGTTCGTGGGTCCCCTGACATATTTTGCAATGAAGAAAAAGATTCCGGTTCCAGCGCAAGCTCCTCTAATGTTAGTTGCAGGTCTTGGGGCTACCCAATTATACATTGGTCGACAAATGGTGGAGAAGAATGTTAGACGTGGTGGCAAAGACAGACATGACGACAATGCCACGTTTGAAGGAGCCACTTTTTTCCTTCCAATTCACGTAAGATGCTGCGTTGCTGTCCTCTTGTTCACTTTATAACTCTCTTTAACTTGTGAATGAACACACAGTCGGCATTATCGCTCGCAAACTTTTCTCTTCTTGTTTGGACCGGACTTGGAATGATATCACCAGTCTCACGAGCAATTACAGTGCGTGGACTTATGACGCCTGGTATGTTGAATGAAGTGGGCACGCTACGCAAGCACTTTATGGTCTTGACAGGATTGGCTGCCAGTACGATCTTTGCGGGCTCTTTGGTGGCGGAGATTGATGGTGGACGTGAGTTTCAAACGTTTCCGAAGATGGGCGACAGTTGGATCCCACATGGTCTTTTTGATCAGCAGGTGAGAGTGTATAGTGTATAGTAGTGGCTGTATGTCTAGCATCACGATCCTGACGCTAGTCCTGTATCTGCTGCTTGCAATCGATAGCCATGGGTCCGCAATTTCCATGATAATGTCGCGCTAGTGCAGTTGGACCATCGGCTACTGGCTCTGACGACTCTTGCCGCTTATACAGCAGTATACGTGAAAGCTCGCAAGCGCAATGTCTGGTCAAGTCTTCCAGAAGACGCAAAGCACGCGATGAATTTGGCAATGGTAGCTACTGGTGGTCAAGTGGCGATGGGTGCAACGATGCTTGTAAATGAGGTACCGACACCGTTGGCTATGGTACACCAAGGTGGTGCAGCTCTGGTACTGGGCTCATCATTGTGGGTCCTCCATGCGCTACGCTTTGCTCGTCCTGGAGGTCTAATGGCAGCTACAATTTCTGCTGCCGCCTCCAAGGTCACGTGATGCGGAATACGATGGACTAAGTTGAAGTGTGTAATTTTGACGAATCAAAATTGTTATGCGTTTTGATTGGATGAATATTGACTGATTACATTGTTGCAGACGAAAAAAAAGTTTGTGCGTGGTATTTTTACCAAATTTTGTGCACGACTAAATTTGTTGAGACATGAAATAAAAAAGTATCCAATCTGCTATTGCACTTGTTTACATAGGAATATGTATGTATCACTTAGAAGTATTTAATCAGTGATGATGAGTAAGGTGACATCTTTCGCTTTACGAGTTCGTAATCGTGGGTGATTTGAGTGGTGCAAGTCCTGTGTGAAGGTGTTGGCGTTTTTCACATGAATGATTCGATGGCTCCAGAGAGATTGAATGGAGGTGTCAAGAAGATTAAAATGGTAGTCAGTACGATGGCAATCGCTGTTTTAAAATAGTACAAGCACGCATCTCTTGCACACATGCTTTTTGCTGCGCGGGCGTAACAGCGTAGCACCATGAGGGTTAATCCCCATCTACAAGCATTGCTCAACATAGAAGAAGAAAAGCGGTATCAGCGCTGAGGCCTGAGGAGAATCTGCCGATAACTTTATTCTACAGACGAGTCAGTGACGTTACACTCATCGGAAACGTTGACAAAAAAAAGACCGACAGTATCGAAGTATGTATTATTACAAAAGCAGTTTTTGGCTAAGAGATGGCCAAGTAAAGATTGAAGCTCATACGAGACAATTCCAGATCTAATGGTGCTCACACGTTATGAATTGTGGTTCATGCGAATGGGTCATTTTTGATGTTCCACTTTCACGAAGGAAGTTCAAGATATAGATACACCAAGTTGATGATGGTGGTAACTTGATTGTGGCAGGCAGGCAATCCGATACACGTTATCACTTGAGTCAAGAAAAGTTCAGTTCAAAGCATTCTTTACGATACGTAACGTTGATTAATATCATCTCAGTCCATCAGGCATGAAGAAGAAACATTACACGTTCATTGTGCAATCGTATGGATGTATGTTGTGTGTTCATTTGGTTCAAATTTTATTCTTCATGTGATATAAATACCTACGTATGTCCCCTCCTTCCACTCGGAAGCGATCGCTAGTGGTCGCCTTCATTGTCGTACCTCCTAGGTTTGCTGTGGTCTTGTAGTGTTCTAACAGGTGATACTAATGCGGTCGTAATACACAGTCAAGCTCCGAAAAGGTCTCCCCTGTCGAAGGGTCTAGCAACCAGGCGCTAAGCTCACACGGAAACTCCTCGTCATCGCCCTCGACCGCAACTTTGACAAGTGTGACGCTCACAACAGCACGTATAACCTGCTTGCCAATGTCAAGGGCAAGCAGCTCCGCTCGTGGCATCTTGGTCTGCTCCTCTGCAAGCACCATGGATGACTTGAGCCTTAACACGGCGTATTTGCCCGTAAAGGCCTTGGGAAACTGGAATCGGCATACGGGGCATGTGTACGGCTCTGCAGCCAAGACGAGATGCATGGATAGTGGAATGAGTGGCCACATGGCAGCGTTACGTGGCCATCGCACGGATTCTCACTTATGCAAATGACGCACTTGCCCTTGTGCATCTCGGCAGCCTCCTGACTCTCGAGCTCATCTAGAATAGTCTGGTCTGCCGGTGACGAGCTCTTGAGCCGCGGCGACACGTAGCGCATCATAAACCACACCCACGTCGTAGACCGAAACATCCCGAGCACGTCGCGCGTAATAGCGTTCGTCGGCGCATGGTACTGGACTTCGACACGCACCGTGATGTCCATGGAAAAAGTGTTTAGCTATGACTTGCCCGTAATGGGTGTGTACAATGTGTGAGGATTGGTGATAATGGTCAGGTAAAGTCTCTTTGCTCTGTCTGGAAAAGCAAAAGTGAGCGAGAGATCAGCAGCGAGCAATGACAGGCAGACAAGAAGACGTCTCCGCATCTATTTCCTACCGTCTAGGCTATGCCCGCCCACGAGCAGTTTCGATGATCTCAACTATAGGCAGGCGCTGAGTGTGGGTGTAGACGGTAACAACGCATGTACATGTATACACTTGTCTATCCTCCCTCTTTCACGCCGTTGCTGATAGCAAGGTTTGGCTGAGCCGCCCAGAGCGCTGCGTGGACACTGCAATCTATAATGGACGACTTAAAAACAAGCAATCACTCAACAAAGTCTACAGCAGATTCAGTGACAAGCAACAGCTAATTACAAGTCACGAGGCCGAAAACCGGCGCCGCAAGGTTTGCTACAAACACCTTGCGTTTCTACGTGCGGCCAGCCAACGGATGGAAGACAATGGATACAGCCGTACACAAACTGCGTTGCAATTGCCTGGTCAATCTTGTTGCTTCCCGCAGATCGGGCACGCTGGCGGACAAGTCAATGACAGTAAAAGCGCTGCAGCTACAGCTTCTCATGTGCTGTAGGCAGTAAGTTGATCGAAGCCTGTTGGATAATGCTTGCTAAGGAGCAGATATTAACGGGCTCCTCATGGCTAATGCAGCCATTTTGATCAACTTTTCTGCAGGCTTGTGTTGCTTAATCCGTTTTGGTTACTTTGACAATGCGACGCTGACATTCAAGTTGAGCTCGCGGCTCCGCTTGATTTGAGACATTCGTCCTACGCCTGACCTGTGACAGTCTCAAAGTGCAAGGAATGTTGGGTCTAATACTGCAACAAGTTGCGTCGCCGTTGTTTTAGTCGAAGACGGCAAAAAGCATCATGCTGGGTCGCAAGCGAGAGACCAGGCCAAGTGTGTCAATACGAAAAGCCTTCCCGTAGCTTTCGACTTGACTTGAAGTCGACACTACTTAGTGTGGAACGGATGATGATGCACGGGACAGGTACAGAAAGCCGGGTCATCTCGACTACGTCCGACCGAGCCATAGCAGTTTAAGCGCGGCTTCCCGCTGTGCAAATATCATTCCATCACATTACGCATTTATGACGTTTACTTACAGGCTGCGGTGTCGTGCAGGCGGTGAGAAGCTCTGCAAAAGCAGTGACCACCACTCTTCTGCAGTCACACCCCGATGTAATAATTTCCAAGCCGGGTCGACACCGCATCGACCTTCTGCTTATTTCTGCTTTTCGCTCGCTGGTACGCACAGAGCTGTGTCATGAGAGCAACTTCCAGATCAGGCAACAGCGTGGCATGAGTGGTGACCACGTGCACTACTGCACACCACCAGATACGGTTTCGGCGATGCGCTTCACTTGCTGCGCTCGCACACATGGACGGCCTACATGATCCAACAATATATTGCAAGAAGATGTTAGCTCGTGGACACTTTTGTGCGCCGACGACTTCGATGATCGTCTGTCGACTTCACCGCTTGAACGATTTAGTGCTGTTCCATGGACTAACAGTGCGCATACCGTGGTCTCGTATGATGCCAAGCAGCAATAACGAACGGAAAAACTCAAAAGGCGCCCACTGTTGCGAACAACATCCAGAATCTACCTCGACTCCGGCATGTTGAATTCACTTTTAGGGTATTTCAGGCATCCCCGTCAATCATAATGTTGAAATCGACAATCTGTTCATCTATCTATCTCTTAGTGGGGCAGAAACCAGAGATGCTCTCGTCAATATTCTGAGAGCAAGTGGAGTGAGTTGGAGACAGACAGCACTGTTAAGTACTCAAGAGCTTTGCTAACAAACCGTTTGCATTCATATTGCTGATGCCATCTCGCTCGTAATGCGAGCTCGTTGTACCTTGCCACTGCTTATGTCAGATTCAAGCGATAATGACCATCCGAAAGCAGCATTGCAACGACGATATGAAAGCAGCATTGCAACGACGATATGACCTGCAGTATCGTCGTTGCAATGTTGCTTTCGGATTGTCATTATCGCTTAAATTTGACATAAGCAGTGGAACAGCCGGTGAAGTACGTAGAGCTGCATAATGTTAGCGATTGGTATTGTCGTAGCTACGACTATGGCTTGGTAGTGTCTGAGTACGAGTGGTAATTTTCTAGCTGCAATGAGGAGCCCGACGCCTAGTATTGAGACAGGGCTGCTGCAATTGAAGCACATCTTGCCGACTGACACGATGGCCGCTCACAACTCTGAACACTGCAAGGCCGTGAAGACCCTTTAAGTGCTTGTTGCCATGGCGTATCGCCATCAATCCGTCAGCTGAAAGACTCAAAGAAGAAAAGGTTCTACGCGCTAAGTAATAGACGAAGCGTCTTTGCGAAGCGCGTACGCGCCTCCGACTGTGTAACGAAGTCTTAAGACCTTATACAAGCAAATTGTTATTGACACGTCTAGAAACGACGGAGTTCGATGAAACAGCAACAAGAAGCAGCCATTTTGCTAACCACTTGGCCGCCGTATTGCTTTCATTGCTCATCGCGGGAATTTTGCATCGAACGTCGTCGTCTTTTGTAACATTACTGCCAGCGACAGAAGGCATGGTCGGAAGACTCATATAGCTGGAGTTATTGTCTGTGCTTAGTGGTCTTTGCGAAGAATTGCAGCCAATTGAGCCACAAAAAGCTTGAGCGGCCGCAAAGATGACAGACGCACCACCGCTATCATTGAGTGCTAGCGTGTTATCATTCAGCTCATTGTCCCTGGATCCATTGTTGCCAGCCTGTTGAACTGCAGTGCCAATGTTGACGATCGTGATAGTGTTGCCAATATTAATACCATCCAAGTTCGTCAGGACGCTAGACTGTGCGTTCTGGTCGCTGGCGCTTTGATTGCTCCTGTCGTTACTGTCTTTAATATCATCTTTCGCATCGTTGTCGTGGTCTTTTTCATCGGCATCCTTTTCACCGCCGTCATCGTCGTCATCATCGTCATCGTCATCATCGTCGTCGTCATCATCGTCATCTTTTTCATCGTCATTGTTATTATCTCCAAAATCATATTCGTCATCGCTTTCATGGTCGTGATCCTGGCTGTGGCCGTGACGGTTGTGAGTGTGCATACTTTCCTGAGCAGGATCGATTGAACCCACTAAGTCTTGAAGCGGATGCCACCGATGATCTCTTTTCTTGAAAATGAGACCCTGTTTGGTCCCCGAACATTCCATAGTATCTACCTCGCAGGCTCCTTTTATCATATGCTGTCTCCTCAACATAACCATTCAAACCATTGCTATTGCTGGGCTGAACAAAGAAATTGGAACTCACATGAGTGGTAGCTATTACAACCAGAGCTACCGTATATGTTGCTCGTACCATCACTGCGATTCCAAAACACAGCTACGCCCTGACAGTGACAATTCTCAAAAGAATTGATGGATTTCGTCACGCCATAAAACTTCTCGCCAATTTAGCTCACATCAATCACGAATCAAATCCAATGCAATTTCATTCTAAGACTTGCGGCAAGCATCAATCAAACGTACCGTGCCTAACAACGATGCTTAAGCAGTTGTTTCCATTACAGCGTGGAATCATCAGATGTCTCCGACGAGCTCAACGAGTTTTCACGTGCGCGTTTGTTGGTGGGGCTAGCAAGCGGCCGTTCAACCGGTGGCCTTCCGTACTCGCCGATGGCATATGACTTTTTCATGCCCGCCAAGCACCGACGCATTGCGTTTTATGATCCGCAATGGGAAACGGGTATTCTTTTCCAATAAGGCAGCCTGCAGCGTGTTGGACAGTCATGGGTGCTTTCCAAGGTTCATAAATATATTTTACTGGCATCTTGCTCAGTGCCGGCACGTATTTGCGGATAAATAGACCGTCGGGTCCCATTTCTTTCCAAACGTTGACGGGGAGTATACCCGGAAGTAGGCTGTGAAAAAATAGCTACTGCTAAGCCAAAGCCAGTTGCCAGCGTTGATACTCCAGTCGTGATCGATAAGACGTTCTTGGAAAACTTCAAGTCCACGGACCCAAGAAATATATAAATCGCCACGAGTAAGTAAGCATGCAACCGAGTGACGCGTTAGATGATGCATCCAACCTTCTTCCTTAAGCTGGATCATGATGGCGTCGATCCAAGGGCAACCAGTTTGGCCATCTGTCCATGCCTTTAATTGTGAGCGCGCAAGCTTGTCGTCATCAGTCATATCTTCTTCCTTTTCTGGAATTTTGTGCCATCTCCAGTCAATTTGCAAGCATGTAGGGCTTTCCTCCATTTTGTCAAAATATCGATTGGCAAGACCGTGGCAATGAAAGAATTCACGCCAAAGAAGCTGGCCGTCCAAGCTCACAGGTGTAGCTGATATTGCCTTGGCGTGGTGTTTTTGAATGCCTCGTACGTGGTGCAAGAATGTTCGTGGACTGATGCAACCAAAATATAAGAACGGACTTAGCGATGTTGTCGACGCAGAAGGTGTCGTCTGTGCTGGAGACGTCTTAGGCTTCTCGAACTTAACCACACGACCTTCATTACGACAGTAAGTACGGAGAATGCTCAGCGCTATTTGCTCACCGCCGTAGATAAATGGGTGCCGCTCGGGTACATCGTAGCCAAATTCCGTCACCTCGGGGATTGTAAACTGCTGCTCAGAGCCCGCAATTTCTTTAAGGTACTTTGCTATGTCTTTGGAGTCGTCTATCTCTTCTTCGTCTTCCGCCTTTTCCTCCTTCGCGTCTGACTGCAGCACGTCTCTGTCAGACTTGACACGATTCGTCTCGTAGTCCACAACTTGCTGATACAATTCGCTTGGCAAGAAAGCAGGAGCAGGTACTTGTTCCGGTGTCGGTAGAGGCTTTGGAGGCATTGGCTGCATGGCCAATGCCCGCAGAAAAGCCGTGTACGTTATAGGTGGCTCTCCTCCGTTCTCTGCAATAACGTTATTCAAGTCGTAAAGCGTGTATCCGTGCGTGACTTGTGTTTTGATACCCAGTCGTATCGCCAAAGCCACTGCACGTTTGTCTCGGTCAATAGAAAAAGGTTCACTTGCTGCGTCAAAGAACAGGTGCGTGATGCGCCAGGCTGGTAACAATCTCCGTAATACTTGTAAGCCGTCTCCTCGAGCAACCACAAGACGCGATCCACGAGCCGCCAATGCGTCGGCCAAGTCCGATACGCTCTCGAGCATAAATTGAAAGCGATTTACATCGCATAACATGATTTTGGGACGATGCACAATGTAAAGCGGGATAAAGACCACTTGGCATGCCAAAACCTCCTTTATCACCTTTTCTTGCTGTTGTTTCACCAGTTCTAATGCTTCATCAACGCTATATTCAAGGTCACTTATCATTGGGTCTTTCAAACTGCTGATGGATGATGTTGGCTCTACTATTGGCTCTAGTGGTGGCTCTATTGGTAGCTCAAGTGATAAAGTATCGGTTGAAATCATGTCTGCATCAAGCTCAAGACGAGCATCAATGGCTGCATGGACGGCATCTAGAGTAGCAGCATTCAATGTTGCTTCTGGAAGCTCCGAGTCCCCATCGGCAACGTCCAGTAAAGAAGACGCAAGGTTCACAAGATCAGCAGCGTCGAGATCCTGGGGAGGCGTTTGGCGATCCGTCATTTTGAACGTTTGAAAATGATTGATCGACGATTGGTTGATAAGGGACAGTCCATACCTTGTGATTCGTAGAAAACATTCGATTAGAAAATCTTTATATGTAGTCTACGGAATCTCGTGATAGGTCTGATCCATGTCTGACTTGAGTCTTTGCGGATTCCCAGCATGGGGAGAGAAGAGCTCAGCTTCTTCCAAGAACGTTCCTTGCACCACGTTCTTTTTGCTCTTAAAGTGTGCAAAAACACCCAAGCCAATGAGGGCAAGAGGCACACCAAGATCTGCAACTAGCCACATGGTACGAGCACCATAATGCTCATAAAAATACCCACCAATAAGTGTCCCCATGCCACGTGCAAGACCGTTTTGTACTGCATTAAGTACACCCATAATAGTTCCTTGACAACCAGGAGAAGCTGCTGAATAGACGAACTGTGTACATGCTGCCCATGCTAGTCCATATGTAACACCATGTAAAAATTCAAAAGGAATAGCACCATGCATTAGTCATGACAGCATAATAAGAGACGCGAAGAGCGTAACCTATTATGGACAGCAGCAATACATTAACAATACCAAATCGATTGATAATTTTATGAGAGTAGAAGAAGGCCGGTAATTCGGAAGCTGTTTCACACATGATGGCAATGCCTACAATTTGTGCATTCTTACCCGAGAGATTATACAAGTTCAAGGTAAGAAAGCTAGACAAAACACCATACATAAGCCCCATGAGGAATACCACATTCAACAACACAAGTACATCCCCCATTTTGTAATCATCCGAACGTTTTCCATTAAAGATGGCGGCTTTACTGCGCCATACTCCAAAACAGCATCATTTAAAAATCGACTGTGCTGCATTGGAGGAATCGTACGCAGTACAAGCAGAGACGTTAGACCGAGTCCCAAGCTGACGTTAAATGACCACGAGATGCCAGCAACGGCCACGATAAGACCCGTGACATAGGCACCGAGACCGTAACCGAGCGCACCAAATAACCGCTGCTTGCCGTACTCACCGCCGACTTTGTCTAAGAGGTTGAGAACTGTGTGATCCAGCAACGATCCGGTCGGGGCCACCTGGAAGTTAGACACTATAATGACAACGACCATCCAGTCAAAAGACCAGTAGAAGAAGTGCACCGCGAACATGAGCAATGCGCCCGTAATAATGCAGACAATTGGATGAGTCGTTGGTTTTCGATACGGTCAGCAACGACGCCCCAGAACGGAGGGGCCAGCATAGTGCACAAGCAAGGCAACGTTTGCAAGAAGCCAATCTGCACTTTGGTGAATTGTGCCATCTGCTGGTAGAATATGCTCAGAAAGTTACTCTGCGCAGACGTCCACGCGTTGTTGATGAGGTACATGAGTTTGGGCTGCCATAGCGAATGCTCAGTCTGCACTGTAGCCACCAGTGGCGTCTTGCAATTGAACGCTGCCTGACACATGATTTCAACGTCTCAACCTTTTGTGTCGGTTACAGCCTTTTGATAGCCTAAGGCCCGCACTAGAACTTGAAGACTGAGGTCCAGCGCAGAGTAATGCTTCATGTCCGTTCACGTTGTAATGCACCAGCAGCCGCAAATTGGTGTGAAAGAGATTTTTGGCCAAGTGTTTCTCCTTAATACTTTACTCCTTCGTCTATTTTCTGTTTATGTCTTGTTTTCACTTCAAATGAGGACGGATGTCATGTTATTAAGGTTTTGCTCATCATTGTGTCACGGTGGACTTGTCAAACATTTCTTTTCACCAATCATAATCTTTCAAGCTCAAATCCAGCTCTTCTATTGGCTAATCAGGTTAAACCGCTCAATCCGTCACACGTCACATAATTTTGGACGTCAAACGTGTATCATCCCATGACGTTGACTGGTCTCAAGCAGCTTCTGGCTGACAATAGCCGCGTTATTGTATTGGATGGTGGCTTAGCCACTGAATTGGAAAAAGATTCGCGTGTTGATCTGAGCACCAATCGTTTATGGTCAGCATCTTTGTTGCTCAACAGAAATGCGCATTTACACCAAGTGGTCGTGAATGCTCACAAGACCTACTTTCTTGCAGGGGCGGACGTAGCAACAACTGCCAGTTACCAGGCATCAATAGACGGTTTTAAGCGTGAGGGCATAACGGCCATTGAAGACGTTGAGAAGCTCTATGCCAAGAGCATCAACCTTGGCGTGCAAGCGCGTGACGCTGCGTGGAACGAATCGGGCCAGAGCCAACGTATCAAGCCTCTCGTGGGCGCCAGTATCGGCTGCTACGGCGCTGCACTGGCCGACGGATCGGTAAATAGATCTTAAAGTTGCATCAAGAAGATGAGAAAGCAGTGACTTACAAACTTGGCTGGCTGTTGACAGGAATACCGCGGTGACTACAACAAGAGCAAGCAGCAGCTCGTAGCATGGCACAAGCATCGTTTCGCCTTTTTCACTAACTACGCGCCCGTTGACTTTCTTATCTGCGAGACGATTCCGTGTCTTGTGGAGGTAGAGGCGTTCGTAGACCTGTTGAATGAATTCCCGGCTGCCCACGCCATTTTTGCAGTGGCCTGTCGCAATGGAACGGAACTTAACAGCGGTGAGCCAATTGCTCGTGTTTCTGAGATTTTGTACAAACTCAAGAACAAGTCACAGTTGCTTGCGGTTGGCATCAACTGCACGCCGCCACAATACGTAGAAAGCCTGCTGCGCGAGTTGAAGTGTCCTTGGCCTAAGGTAGTTTATCCAAATAGCGGAGAAGGCTGGGATAGCGTCAACAAGAAGTGGCTTTCGGCTACTAATAGTGGTGGCCCGAGCTCCTGGGAAGAGTTACTGCCCAAATGGTACAATGCCGGCGCGCGCTTCTTCGGCGGCTGCTGCCGAACGTCCCCAGATGACATTCGTGCTATTCGCGGATACTTCGAACGCCGTCAGCTGCTGTAAACAACACCCGTCGCCTGTGATCAAATTATTGTCTCAAGTCTTTTAGATAGTTGAGAGCTGTTGAGACTGTCAGTAGGTTGAGGCAAATCGATCTTGTAGGGTACAACGTTACCGTTTGTAATCGGGAAATAGCTAAAATGAATGAGACTTTGGCTCATTGCTGCTTGAATGCTTCGTCAATTGGCAGTGGCTGATGTGGTTACATGACGTAGTGGTGACAACAAATATGTACGTATTTTCCATTATTCTTGCCGCACTTGCTGCGAGGAAGCAAAGGTATACGACTACCAACGGGTAAATCCTGGGGTCTTCCTCATTATCAAATTGCTTGACTTTACTACCGAATCTTTACCTGAAAATGGACAGAAGTCATCCACGTGAGAATCTCGTTGTATGACGTGCACAACAGGATATGGCATAATAGACATTTCCTTTACGACTTTTCATTGTATAGCACTGCCTTCATTTCTGTGAGCATTATGTTCGATTGCATCCATCATGAATCAAGTCTTTTCTACTGCTTCACCTTACCCGCGATGGTGTCACTCGATGACAAAGCCTAGACCTCTGCTTGATTCCTAGTCAGCGCAATCTCTCGGCTTTTGGTTGTTCGCTTCATTACAAAAAATATCAATCCTGTTAACGGCTTCACACGAGCACGTAACATAATTCTAAAAAAGAGATCTTACTGTCTCGTTTCGTCTATGCCGTATGCAGTCGTTTGACTGTAAACCTGTCTAGCACAACTGTTGTCACTCACTGTCGCCATCCTCAGCTCTTCTGAAGTGGTCGTCGACACCATCAAAAGAAAAGTCCGTAACAGCCTGCTTCGACAAGAAGGCGTTGTCTGTAGCAAACAGCATCGTGGCAACTCACCATTCTGGCCTTATTCCGCTGCGTATGTAATTTCATTGGATGATCATTGTCGGCCGGATCAAAAAACATATCCGATTCTCACTACATCGCTGTCTCATAATGTAATCTGTCGATACAAAGCAGCTCTTACCCAGGGGATGGATAAGCCCGCAGCGCCAAGCAACGTCCGATACAAAACAGGTTATTGTGTCGATTAACAGCAAAGTAGCAAAGTTGTCCCTCGTGTACCACCACCCCCAGATACGAGAACGGATCAATAACATGGCAATTGTTTGTATGTTTCATTCTATGCTTTGTCTAGCATATAATGGAGCTCATAAACGACCTCTTGTGAGTATCCTTCGCACCATTTATTCCGAAAGGGCTTGCATGCGCTAAGACACGGTTAGTCAATAGCTACAACAAAGATTGCAACCAAACGCCATGGGAAAGAGATCAAACTGTTTTCTCTGCATGTCACGGACTCACAGGCTTTTAAAGGTGACGACGGTCACTGGAGTATCACGAGATAAAGTGACTTGACACTTGCTTTATGTATGGTCGTTGTTAGTTATGGCACAATTAGGATGGATGACATTGGACGAGGGAGGGGAAGGCAGTATAGAAAAAAGCATGGCGTATTTCCATCCTAATTTTAATATCAAGAAAAACCATGTCGAAGGCTTGTCACCCCTAATGCAAATGCTAGCAGGTCGATTTCAACTTCAGTCTATTCGTGCAGCCTCGATATCCTCAGACAATAGAAAGATCTTACGATGTCACGACATTTGCTACCTAAACAATCAAGTAAATATCGCCACTTGCTATGGGAGCTCAAGCTTATGTACGCGCTGAGTGCTTGCACGGCATCACATTTGGACTGACGTGGGCAGCTTGTACACAGTACGCATTTTCTGCAGCGCCTTGTAGATGCGAGGGAACTGTCATGGATGTGTTTAGTGCTGTTCTAAATGGTTGGCGCTAGCGTTGGGCACACTTATTGGTGGATACTTTTACGAACGCTACGGCGCTCGGGTGATGTTGATTGTGACAAGGTTTGGTCTACCCTCTGTCTATGATTAGCATTGGCACATTGCATATTTGAAACATGACGAATTCATTAAGGTGTTGGAGAAGAGTTGTCACAGGAGCAAGCTGCTTTGTTTGTGTCTCATCGTAGTGATGCACAGGGTTTAAAGTCTCTGTTGCATGCACAGAAATTGATCATGTCTTCAAATCTTTTGTACGACTCTGCACAATGAAAATACGTCACAATACGCAGTTCAATAAGATAAATTGACGTGTTGGATGATGGTTTATCATGAACTCGTATTGGAACGGTCTATCCGGTCAGTACAATGAGAGTTGCGCAGCACTCACAGTTGTATTGTGAAGAAAGTCCTGACAGCTTTGACGTCTTGAATATTGTCAGAGCCTTCACACTGGGTCGTGTTGACTCCAAACTCTATGGATCACCATCGCCGGTGTCGGCGCTGAAGGAGCTTGACCCACAGAACGCGCTAGACCTCGGTGTGTTCGCGTTTGAGCTGCCGTTCGAACATCAGTCAGCAAGACTAAATGGACAGGTCTCAACGGTAAGACAGACACACGCAGGAGTACTAGAAATTGTGGTGAACGAAGGAAATGTGTGGCTGCCACCGATCGTCGCCGCGTTGCTATATAAACGGACAAAAGAGCTACCAGACAGCGTTCAGATGCGCTTTGTGCGCTTGGAGAAGGGAAAGTTTGCGAGTCTGCAGCTGAGAGGAAAGGGTTTGGCGATTATGGGTGCTTGAGCGCTCAAGACGCGCACAACACTGACGGAGGGTGACGTACTGTTCGTCCGACATCGCAAAGAGGCGGTTGAAAGTGCTTGTATCGGAACTGAAGACCGAGCGAGCTGGTAACCTTATCAACACAATTCTTGGGGTGGATGTGATACCATGTGAAGCTGTGATGAAGGAAAGGAAGCTGAGAAGCGAATGGAAATGAGGCTATGCGTTATAGCACTGGCGCAAGAGTGCAAAGGAGCAGTGAAAAGCGAACAAGATGGCGACTTTGTTGCCCGAACCTTTTGCAGAAGAACGTGAACTGGTGTTTGTGCTCAGATTGCCTGAGTAGCAGGCTAGCAGGCTACGCGCCGGTTCTTGCCCTTGTCTTCGCTGCAAAGCGTTTGAATTCGTCAAGGTACTTACGGGCGAGAACGCGCAGCTATTTCAACTGGCGGCTACATATCCACGTCACCTTTTTGGAGATGAAGCAGCTGAAAAGACGCTGCAAGAAGTCGGCCTAAACGGCCGCCAAGAAGTGCTGTTTGTTGCAAAACTGACTGCAAGTAAAGTCATCCGTGAGCCTGCTACTACGCAAGAAACACTACGTGCAGATCAGGCACCAGTTGCTGGCCTCGAACGCAGCTACCTGATATTTGGGATGAAGCTTGACGGACTAAAAAATGCGGCTTGATGAAAGTATTCATCCCAACTACAACCACCGTGTCTGCTATCCCTGTCGCGTTGTCTGCAGACCAAGAGATTAAGTAGTAGGCTCATTATGCGAGCTATACCAGATGAGCTTCATCGATCGCTGAATATCGAAAAGTGCTGGAGAGGTGTCAGGGTCGTTTGCTTCGCGTTGTGAATTCCTTGTCTGAAATGATGTAAAAGTGATGACAGCGGCGTTATTGTAATCAATCTTGAGCTCAATGAGCAGCAAAAATAACGCATCAGATATAGCAACAGCACAATGATCGCGTTCAAAAGTAGCGAGGCAATGGTCTCTATTATTGCGTCATCATCGCAGCAAACCAACGCTCTCTACCCTTCGTCCCCCCTGCTTTGACGTCTCTATCTCTTTGCTCGCGCAAAACCTGCTGCGGTAGTTTAAACAGATCGTTTCATAGCGCACATGCCTGATCTATCATCTGCAACATCTCCTCCGTCTAAATGGCGCCCGTTCCGATCGTCTGGACACCGCTGACACTCCTCTTTAGCATTTCTTGTTGGTTGAGATTAAAAACCACAAACCTCTTTGAGTGTATAAAATCCGAAAGAGAGTGAAATTCTGCTGTTGGCTCGTCATTATACCAAATCATGTCGTATAAGGTTTTACAGGATATATATAGGACATAACAGATTTGCACATCCAGGAATTTATCCTTCCGCTTTTCTGAACTTAATTCCACTTTTCTAAACTCCATTCAAAAAGCTTAACCTCATTCATCAAAGCTAAAAGCATGCGACTTCTTTGTGCAACCACGTGCGTTGCTATGACCGCATGTCGACTGAGCGTTTCTTCACAAGCAAGGTCGCTGGACACAATATCCAGGTCAGATCCATTTCCAGCTGGCACGACGAGGTCCTTGAGGGCACACCAACTTGCACAGGAGACAATAAAGCTGAAGACTATTGCTGGGCTCGAAGCGAACGCTAGCGCATTGAATTTGGATAGTGAGCATGAAGTTGCACAAGCTATTGAAGAGGAGAGGACTACCCTTCCTTTTGAACTTGATACGCTCGTCCTGAAAGTAAGCACTGACCTCAAGAACTTGCTTGCACAGCACCATCCATCACAGGAGAATTTGAATATAAAGAATCTTCACGATGTGATCGACAAGTATGTCCACGAACCAAACTTGGACCATTGGAAGTCGTATGTGGGAAACTTCAAGAACAGTGTTTCCGAAAGTAATGGAGCTGTGTTTTACGATGCCCTTATCTATTACTTTGGGAAGAACGGTTTCGAGAAAATCATGGAAACTTTAAACATCCAGAAAACTGGTTGGGAAACAAAACTAATGGAAAAACAAAGTGGGTGGCTGGCAGGTGATATATCGCCTGAAAAGATTTTTACGGACTTTTTGATGCTAAATACGAAAACTGTTGATGAAATTTTGAATGACCCGTTGCTTGTATATTGGATTGACTACCTACAATGGTTCAAACGAAAACACCCAAACGATAAAACCACGATTTATGGAACACTGAAAAAAGTCCGCAACAAAGACATAACCACTGCAACTGCGGAGGTGGACCCTGCTCTAGCACTGGACAATATATATAAGCATTGGCTGATTACTGACACAACACCGGGCAAAGTTTTCGCGATATTGCAGTTGACGAATGAATATAACGACATTCACGTTTTTCTGACCAGCCCAGATTTCCCGCAATGGTCTGAGTACATGCAACACTACAACGCAAGACACCCGGAGAGTCGAACGACGCTTTTTGAAACGCTTAGTAACAGTTATGATAGCGATCAAATAAGATGGTATCTGGGTTTCCTATGGGATGACTGGATGACAAAAAAATCGAGCCCAGCGGATGTCTATGTTTCTTTGGAGCTTGACAAAGTCGACCCTGCTTGTGTTTTAGTGCCGCAGCTAGACACCTGGATAGATTATATCAACTGGTATTGCAAAAATACAAAAACTGAGCTGGCAGTCGTGCTTTCTGATTCGATGTATAACTACCCCAAATTGGTGGATATGGCATATACTGGGCGAAAGCATCCATTTACGGGATTACCACAGAATGTGCTACAAGAGCTTATGGAAATTTGGTATCGAAAAGGCACGTCTCCAACTGACCTTTTCATACTTTTCGGTCTTGACCAGATCAAAGTCAATATTTTTGAAAAGCCTCGTTTCAGTTTTTGGTTGAAATATGCAGAAAAATTCAAGCGAAAGAAAACGAGCGAGATAAAAAAACAGGCATTGAAGAAGAAAAATGGCACAGATCAAAACCCTACTGCTTTGTCGATATTGAAGACTTTCCATGATATGAAAGCTCTCCTGGGCATGTATAAGCAGGCAGATTCCAACAAAAAATTGCAGCCTCTTACAGACGACTTTAGCAGACAATTCAGTTACGCGCTGGACAGAACCAATAAAGATCACGTGGAGATAATTAAAAAATTGGTACCGGCAACAGTTTTTGATAGAATGATGGGCGTCAAGCAGAAGCGTTTGGCGGGAGGGACTGATAGCGACACACCTGCAAAAAAAAGCAAGCAATCGATGATTTCGACTGATAGCCAAACCTCTTCGACGAAGAAGTAACGTTTGGGGAGACCGACTGATAGCCAGACCCCTCCGAAAAAGAGGAAGACTGCACCCTGAATATGCACGTTATCGCGGACACTGGGGACGTGGTTTATATTCTTCGGATCCTGGATGTTTTCTATTCGCGATAGAAGTGTTGTGGATGGAATTCAGTGATCTCAACCGAAATGATAAGACAGCAATAACGGAATGAAAGTCAGTTACGTCAGACATTTACAATGCAAGTTGAGAGTACATAAAGTGTTGATATATCAGTGAGATTTATTTTCTACTATGCATTAGCGTATACTTTTCTTGTTTTGCCCGTTGGCTTTTCAAACGCATTGATCAAATATATGCACTACTGTCATTAGCTCTGAATTACTACCTTACTATAATGCTGCAACTGTGCACGACCGGGAAGCACACAAAAAGCGGTTATTGACACTTGTTTGTTATAAATTGTAAAGAAATTCGGCTTGTTGAAATGTGGGACAATGAACGGATTTCACTCTGATTTGTGATCGTTTAGAACCCATTAATTCGTGCGGTATTATTTAGCTACGTATTAATACGTAAAGGGTAGTCTCGGTTTTACTACCACAATATTAGAGCAACCTCTAGCTGTTCTCTCTAATTGTCAGCAAACTATCGCTCTCTAATCCATTTATAGTCTCCGTGTGGTTGGTTAGTTATGTCGTCTTGCGAACAGCTCACTAGCTCCTCAGATGTAGCGTCAATATGCCCAAGTACTACAGAATTACAAGTAGAAATGTCGAACTCGACACTCGCACTTCTCACATCGCCTGAACTTCCTTCCTCATCTCCTAGTGATACTCTAAACATTGCCACAACGGCGCTGCATCTGGAATGCTACGCATCGGAGCTTTTACTGTGGCTACAGCGCTCAAAATCAACATCTCTGGTGGATGAATCGCTCTTCTTTTTTGAGACACGGTATCCTGAGCTTTTGGATGATTTGCCGCTTCTTTTCACGTGGCTCTCCCTCTTCCTAGTGCAGTATGAGGACTCGTCCGGGATCGACGCCATGCAGCAGCTCGATAGCTCTGGTGACATGGTGACAGTTGCAGAGCAGTTTTCGCTCAAGAGTACGCTCACGCTTCTCTATTGGAAGCACGAGGGGGAGCGGCATCAGCTCGCTGAGCAGAGAGCAGAAGCAGTAGAGACAGACGTCAGCAGCAGATCAAGGACAGCGTTTCAGGACGAGAAGGAGCTGCTGCAATGGGTACTCCAGCATAGAAAAATATCACTTACAAGACAAGGCATTATTAACCACGTGCTGGAACAGTATCCAGTCTTTGCAGCATCAAAGAGCGCAGCGGCGCTCAAAGTCTGGACGTCAAGGTTTTTGAAAAAGCACATCCAGCCGCAGTCATTGTTGGTGTCGGCAACAATGACTGCGGCTGGATGTGCTTTCTCGGCAAATAACGCGACAGTGCCCGAAGTGATTCCTTATGTAAGTCAGGCTGCTGCTGAGACGGAGTCGGTGTCGGTGGAAACGTGTCAGAGGGCGTCAGATGTGGTGCAGGTCGAGCCGGTGGAGAGTCCTATACCGCTGCAGTCCCAATGTGCGATCGAAATTCAAAAGAACATGGTGGATAAAGTTATTGAAAACGGCACGATGAAGGTCCAACATACGGGCAAACGGCGTTCGTGTTCAGGACGCTACACGCTGTTCTCAAACGAGTTCAAGCTGCATGCAGTAAATATGCTGGAAGACGGTAAAAGTATTGCAGAAGTGGCAAAAGAGCTGGGACTGAAGAGTTCCAACTGCTTACATTATTGGAGAAGTATCCGTGACAAACTAGTCACGTCAGAGCGGAAACGATTTTGTTTAGCTGGAGGAGGACGACGTAGTAGTTGTACGTTTGAGGATGAGCTGCTCACGTGGGTCAGCCAGCGTCATCAACGAGGACAAGGTCAGAGTTATAAAAGAATGAGGAAAGGAAGCTGTTGCTTGTATGGCACGTTTGGGCTAACTTGCTTCTGCTTTCGTGATAGGTACCGATGTCAATGCTGTTTTAGAGTACATGAGGCAGTATCGCTCTTCCTTTACGGAAGGTAAAAAGGAGCCGACACTACGCAAGTGGATTCTGCGCTTTTTTAGACGCTGTTGGCGAGCTCCATTTACATTTATGGACTCACAGGATGCCGACAAAGCGTATATCTTTGTTTAGCATGGTCTTCATGTAGAGTCGAACATCACTGTGTTTACCTGGAAACATCGAGCCTTTCTCAGTTGAGGAAGCAGGACTAGTTGATGGAATGTCATTATGATTAGAAACGATACCAGTTGGACAATTTTTCAATCGTGAATCAGCATTCATTGACACGCGACTACCATTGTGTGCCGGTAACAGCATTGCAAGAGCAACCAACAACAACGTATACCCATGTCAAGTTAAGTCGGCTCTAGATACCTGTAGAGTACTGTCCTCAATTCGAGAACAACATTTGCATAAACTTGATACTCTATTCAATTGTCGCAATGTAGTCGAATGTCTACTTGGCAGCAGCACTAGCAACAAATTCCTTTGCCAAGTGCTTCACGTGCTCGACACAATCATTATCACCTTGCTCCTGCTCAAATTGCAAGAATTTCTTGAACAAAAACTTCATCTTCTTAGCTGAAAATTCCATAGCCAATAGCCGCTCAAACAGCGCGCGCACAAGAACAATGTCTCCAAACTTGATTTCCTTATCTAGATACACATTCCACAGATCGATTCGCTTCGGGTAGTTGGCCAAGATGCCCTCAAAGATCGTGCGAGCCTTGTCCAGTTCAGCCTGTTCGTACAAAAGCTGCCCGTACTTGAGAATCACCGGCAAGTGCTTGTGAGCAGCCAGACTTTTCAGACTGCGCTGCAAGGTCTCCGCAGCGTCAGAGAATTGCTTTTCACCAACCAGATACTGCAACGAGCGAATCCAAGCTTGTTTACTTGTGTGAAACTTCTTTTGCATCGTAGTAAGCGTCTGTTTCACGTCCTCGTGCTCCTCTGCACGAGCATACAAATCCACCAAAAGACGCTCGTAGTCACTCGCATTCTGAGGAATCTCCTCATTAATCGCAAGAGCCTTCTCCCGCAGTGCCACCCACTCATCGCTCTGCAGACGCTTCTGTTTGCCAACCTTGGACGAGCTCAGATTGTCCTTCTCGCCATCATCTTCCTCATCAGAAGACGACGCGCCGTCGTCCTTCAATTCTGTTTTGTTGCTTAGCGCGCTCGAAAATCCGTCCCAGCTAAACTCAACTGGAGCCACGCAACTCTCATCCTCGTCTTTACTTAAGAGCTTGTCGTCACCCAGGCCAGATTCCATTGCCACTGACTTCGACTTTTTGAAAAAAGCTTCCTCTTCGTCGACTTCCATTCGCTCAGCCTCCTCCTCATCAAGGTCTTCATCCTCCTCTTCTTCTTCGTCAGATTCGTCATCAGAGCTGCTCTCTTCATCCGCAAAATATGACGGCTTTAGTCCAAATGAAACGCGACGATTTTCAACCTTCAGCACCTTCGCTTTGACATAGTCGCCCTGCGAGAAGATCTGATCCAGCGGCTGCATCACTTTCTCGTCTGCAATCTCCGAAATGTGGCACAGACCACTAATCGTGCTCTTCTCAATACGAACGAAAACGCCATATGCTTGCACCTTCGTGATCGTACCCTTGATCGTCAAACCCTCCTTTAGATCGTTCCACTTGAGCATTGACACATCCTCGGAGACAACCGACGTCTTCAAACTGAGCTCTAGACCACGGACCGACTTCTTCGTAACTCGCCCAGCCACCAGCTTGCCAACAGGAAATCCAGTCTGTGGGTCCTTCACAAAGTCGTCACTGAGGTCACGGAGCATCACACGCGCTGTCGTATGACGGTCTAGACGCACGAAACATCCGCTTGTTGTAGTAGTGGCTACAATCCCAGGCACCAAGTCACCTATGTTGCGTTCTACTGGCTTGGACGTCTTCGTAGCGTATTCTGACGGATTCTCCAGCGCATCTGAACGTAGAGACAAGTCAATATGGCTACTGGTGGTTGATAACACAACACAGCGCACGACCCTAGCAGCTCCAAATTGAGCCAGCTCTAGCATCTTATTTTCCCATTCAGCCAAAAGCTCAGTGATGCACACACGACCAAATGAGTAAGTACCAAGCTGCACCATGATCGAAGGTGGGCGAATGGCCGATTTTTTGGTCGAGATCACACCGTTCACAATAGAGCCGGGCTTGATACCGGTCTTGTCTCGGGCTGAGCGAATCATGGACAAGTCTACTACCTTCTTATTATCGTTAACTTGGAGCACAAAGCACTTTATACGCTTGCCCACAGGAAATTCGTCCTGGAACGCACGCACCACTTTCACATCGTCCGACACCTCAATACAGCTTAAAGTGCCTGTAACATTGCTGCTAAGTTTGACAATCAAGTGGTCCATGGACTGCTCCAAAACAACACCATGAACGAAGTTGCCCTCCTTCAGTAATGCACGACCCGCGCTGCCTTTTAGCCAATCCGGGCGAGCAAATCGCTGCACGTCGTTCACCTTTTCGTCACCAGCCAAATCCTCTGTACGCAGCGACAGCTGCAGGTCATGAAATTTTGCCGGGTTTTCCTCGCTGACAGCCTTGTGTTTGTTGGCTCCCTTCACAGTGACGGCAATCACACGACCCCTAATTGTGGTATTGACAGAGTACCTGTCAAAAGGGTGCGAGTGGCCGGATACATCATCGATGTCGTCGACATCAACAATAGACACGAGCGCGCGGACTCTACCGATCTTCTTCTTGCCTGTCGCCAAGCGAATCTCATCGAATTCTCGGAAATGCCCGCAATGATGCCGGTCAGCGTGTTGCCAAGCACGAGATCAGCCTGCGTGTACTTAGGCAACTTGGCCAATAACTTGTGTGAGACATTCTTCAATTTTGCCACTAACTTTTCTTCCTCTAGCGCCAGTAAAACCAAATCATTAAAGGGCGTCGAGTTCGAGCCACTCTTCAGCAAAGATTGCACAAGAGATGCACCTACCTCAATGCCAAGTTGGCTACTTGTCTGCGACGGACACCAAAAAGTCGCACAGCTCCACTACGCCAAACTGCAGCAGATCAGAGTTGTGTGGATCAGGGAAAGATACTACTACGTAGTTCTCCGTAGAACCAACAACTAGCACAGTAGCATCTATCTTTTCCCCTGCCTTAATACGCTGCTTTTGCTTACGTGAACGCTTCAATCCATTCTTAACAAGCAGCTCGTCATCTGTGCCGTAGTACACATTCTTGCTGAAATCGTAGTCCGTCAGCAGCAGCTTAGCAGTGTCACCCTCATTCCATTCATTGGTTTCCGTTGTCACCGTAGGCACTAACACCGTTACAGTCTCGTCATCCCTTTCCAAGGCAAACACAGCACCATATGGACGGACACCAACAAACTCCGCCTTCTCAGTCTTGCCAAGATAAAACGAAGTTTTCGTCACTGTAGCAGCATTACGTACACAAGCCTGCTCACAAAGGTATGCCTGAAAAAAGGCTGGACGAACCTTGTTGGTACTGTTCGTAGACTGCACAAATTTGCGCTGTTGAAACCCAACAATGAACTGCTTGTTTTCCTTGTCTACCTTCTCAATGCAGCATGTCACAGTTTCACCGATTTCAAACATAACTTCTTCAATTCGCGCGACGAATTGCTCCTTCAAAAATTCTTTGGGGGGCTACTGCAACGAGATTGTTCAGAAACTTCACAAACACACCCTTTGAGACGTTTAAGGACGCTACGTAACCAATAAGCACAGCGTTTTCCTGCACGTCTTCGAAAGTGCGTGGCAAAATAGCATTGTGTGAGGCAAACGCAAGCAATAATGGTTTCTTTGAGAGTGTCAGAACGCCATCAGATTCCTCAGAAACAACGAGTAACGGCTCCGCAATTATATCACCAGCGCTAAAGCGCTTCACAACCTTGTCCACTAGTAAGGTGTTGCGTGGAAAGTCCGTTAGCTGCACGAACGGGAGCACACCCTCCATCCCGTCATTCGTCTGCAAGCGAAAACACGTAGACTCCACGTTCGTAATCTTAACATTAGTGATCGTTGTTCCCACCAGCTTTGTAGCACTATCCGGGGCGGTAATCGGTTTATTACCCAAGCTGTTTGACGTCGTATCGAATGACAGCATTAACCGCTTCTTACCAACATCACAACGAGTGACGCGGGCCTTCACGACTTGACCAATGACATAAGCTTCCTCGAGATTGTCGATACCAGCTTGCTGAAGTACAGCCATGGGCACCAGGCCGTACACGTTATTGTAAAAGGTGACAATGAGGCCATACTCAGCAAACTTTGTGATGAAACCGTGAGCAATGCGACCCATCGTTGCTTCCTCGAATGAGCTCAGAACGGGAAGCTCCGAAGCCAGCAGTCCCGACTTCATGGTCAAGAACGTCTTTTTCGCCTCATGATCCACGTGCAGCACACGAGCGCTCACGGTCTTACCAACCTTGTACTTACCATTGCTATTGGCTTTCTTGCTCAGCAACAAAGTCGTCATATGCTGCGGAGTCACTAGGCCGCGCACACCCTCACTTATCTCCATCAAAATACCCCACGGCTCCGCGGACAGAATCTTGCCGCTGACCTTGGTACCAGGCTTAAGGTCCTGGTGACGCAGCACAGTCTGCGCACTTAAGAGTTCCTTGCAGCTTACGCTTACAACAGCGTCGAAAGGCGAAAAGCCCAGCATACGGCACTTAATGTTTGAGCCCACAGTAAACTTCTTGTCGAGTTTGTCAACGCGCTTGTCTGAGACGTTGAAAATGTGCACATACCCAGGACCAAAGCTTTCCACCTTGTATTTGTGGCCGATTCCTTCATCTCGCTCGCATCTTCCATCGTAGCGTCCTCGTTCTTGCTCCTCAGCGACAGCAACAATCCAACTCCAGCGTCAATCCGCTCGATGGTGGCCTCTTCAATGATGTCGCCCACCGAGAAAGGAGCCTGTGGTACCTGTAAGTGCACCACATGCGGAGCCATGGACAGCGTGATCTGCTTGGCGACATAGTCGATAGTCACGATACGTGCACGAGCTTTCATTCCTTTGCGGTAGGATTCTTCCCAGCCTCGCTCACGAAGCAGACTCATATGATTCTGCTCAACTGTCGCGGTGAAAAAGGTGAGGAACGTGACACTTAGGCCGTTCTCCAGCACATCTTCGATGCGGACGTTGAGCAACATACCCGGCAAGAGTTGTTTCAGTGTAAACGAGTCACCGCGTGTGACCGCCTTAAGAACCTGGTTGCGATCGATGGTCACAGTGGCCGTGTTGGTGTGTTTGTTCATTGACAGCACACTGACGAGTAAATGTTGACCTCTGTGCATCGATTTTACAAGTTCCTCACGAGGCACAAAGGCATGCACGCCACGGATGCCAACGTTCACAATAGCACCGTGGGTCCTCAACAGACGACACTGTGGCGAACAGCATTGCGCCTTTAATTAAGCTGCTAGGGCTAAGCTCTGCTTGAACAAGCGACGTGCGGAGCGATAGTTGAATCTGTTTGTGCTTGTTTGCCTTGGACGTGGCTAACACAATGCAGGGCACAAATTGACCAATATAAAAAATCGAGCTAAGCTTTGGAATCTCTTGATCGTCATCTTAATATGTTTTCTTCTGCTGGTTTTGTTGATGTTGTAAATGCTCATGAAATTCATCGGAACACTCGGCTAGAGTGACTGTCCCATTGAGTTTATTGAGGTAAACTAATGATCAACTCGTGCTTCTCAGTCATAATCTGACGTATACAACCCAAGAGTAACATTCCTTTCCGTATTGTTTTAAATGTCAATCCAACGGCCTTCGTCCGAATGAAATTGTCGTTCTTCTTGTGATTCTTTTCCGTGTCGAATGACGTTGTTTTCATCTTTTTCTTCTGTTTGTTAATTGAGCTGGTGTTGATATTGTAACAAGTCCACGTTTACCAAATAACGACTCAACTGGTGCTGTCATAGGAGGAGGAGGAGTCGATACATTTGATCGTTTAGGTTTCTTACCACGTGGAAAACACGCTAATGCTGCTGCTGCTGATGATGATGATGTTGTTGCCATTGTGATTGCACGATAAACAAGATCAAACTATTGATTGAGAAGAAGATGGACACTGGTGTCCATCTTCGAAAAAACAGAGGTATACCGTCGGTAGAACCGATATGAATAAACCTTCCCGAAAAGAAAAAAAGAACTGATCACCGATCAGTATGAACGTATCGGTAATGATTGGTATCTGCTTGATCCCACTTTAAGAGACGCGCGACATGAAATAGCGCGCTTTTTTTCTACTTGAAGTAAACTGGTTTTATACCTATTTTAACCTTGATTATTGTATGTAATAACAACATAAAGCACCACCAGCTACTGAGTGTTCACAATCTATTTATTCTACCAGCATTCGCTCGTCTTGTCCAGCATGTTTACAGGTATTATCGAAGAGATTGGCACAGTTGCGTCCATACAGGAACGTGATGACTTGGCGCTGTGGAATGGTGAGCGTGGTAAAGGTTTTGAGCTCGTCGTCTGTGTTAAACTGGCGCTAGAGAGTGCCTACTTGGGCTGCAGTATCGCTATCAACGGCACGTGTCTGACCGTCACGCGCATTGACGACGACCGTGTGGCCTTTGGATTGGCACCTGAAACATTGCGTCGTACCAACCTAAGCAAACTTCAAACAGGCCATAAGGTGAACGTGGAGCGCAGCATGGGCGTGGATGCGCGGAATAGCGGTCACTTTGTGCAAGGTCATGTGGACGGCATGGGCGCCATCTTGTCCTTCACACGGGAGAACGACTCGCTCTGGGTCAAGATCGCTACGACATTAGAGATCTTACGCGATATTGTACCGAAGGGATACATTGCCGTCGATGGTACAAGTCTCACGGTATGTGAGGTCGACCGCACCAATGGCTGGTTCTCTATTATGCTCATTTCGTACACGCAAAACCATATCATTCTTCCATTCAAAAAGGTCGGTGATCACGTCAATCTGGAGCCAGATGTGCTGGGCAAGTACGTTGCACGCTCAATGGGTGGCGTACTTGAACGAGTAGACACACTGGAACATCAGTTGCAGCTTGTGATGCGCGTGACGATAGGACTCGCAATGGTTGCTAGTGCTTTGGGAGTAGCTCTTGTCATTCGGAAGTGATAATGATGGTGATGCTGCAATGAGATAGGTGCAAATGATTTTGTACATAGCAAAACGTCCCAACACGAAGAGTGTGGCATTTTGCATTAGATTATCCCTCAAAAAGGTCTTTGTCGTGCGCTAAAGCTCGCTCGCTATGTCTCCATTTTAGGCTGGAAAATGCCACCAGCAAGCAACAGGTTACGCGGTGTGAAGTGCACACGGTACATGGGCGTCTGCTTGGAACGCAGAGTCTTCAGTAAGAACCGTGAAGATGGTAGCTCTTGCACCGCTCCCGGTCGTACCATTGGTACACGTTTTACAAACCGACTACGACCAGAGAGTTGAGTGCCGTTTAGTGCGTCTACACCTGAAGAACTCACATGCAAACCTTCCATAGCACCTGAAAGTGCAGAATGCGTTGTGGGTTTCTCAGTAAGTGCCTTCATATCCCAAAGACGCACAGTAGAGTCCATCCCACCGCTTGCTAGAATTGTACTCTCCTGGCTGAAATCCAGTGAAGTGACCATGGCCTTATGACCCATGAGGGTTTCCAAACGTTTACCAGCCTGCAGGTCCCAAATGTTAACGTACTGGTCCTCACCTGAACTCGCCAAATACCGACCGTTGCGCGAGAACGCGAGACATTGCACTCCCCGAAAATGGCCCGTAAATACACGGACACATTTGCCCGACTGCACGTCCCAGAGCCGTACAGTCTTGTCACTGGAGCCCGTGGCAATGTAGTTGTGATTTGGATGAAAACGCACACAGTCTACATCCGATAAATGACCAGCAAAAATGCGCAATGGTGTTATGTGGTCTGTACTCCAAAGCCGTGCAGTCCGGTCCATCGAACAGGTCGCAAAGTAGTATCCAAGTGGAGCGAAGGTAACATCCCACACCGGAGAACCGTGATGTGACCGATACACGACCAAATTGGTCTTCGCTGCCATACTCCATAGTCGCACTGTAGAGTCAGCTGACGATGTGAGAGCAAATCGATTATCAGGTGAAAAGCTTGCGCCGAAGACAGCAGCTGAGTGGCCTCGAAGTACGGCCATTTTTTCGTCTTCATCTGCTTCAGTGAAAGACGGTGAGGCGCGCTGGTTCGCAGATCCTGTGGCAGTTCCTAGCGGCTGATCGTCATTGCGCCAAACTCGAAAGGAGGCATCATCGCACGCAGCACCCACCATAGTCACATCATCACTGAAGCACATATTGTTAACGTGCGTTGCTGAGTTCAGCAAGGTGAAGCACAAGGCCGATGGAAGTACACTGCGGCTTACTGGTGCACGAACCCGGATATCCTCAAGAATATGCTCTTTCATACTAGCGGGAATACGTAGTACAAGTTTCTCCAATACGCCAGAGTTTAACGCATCCTTTCGGTCCGGAAGTGGTCCAATCTCCTCTAATAGCTCCTTCTTCATGCCTGGCGTTCCATCATCTGACAGCCTTGTACGCTTGTGTTTACGGTGCGAGTCTGTGGATGAAGTATATGCCTTGCCTTTATCTGTTAAGCTGTCAGCACCTGTTCTTTTGTCGCCGTCGGCGCCACCGGCTTCGTTACCTGCAATGGAACCACTTGCTACTCCACTCCCTGCTACACCATTAGCAGTCGCACCGCCATCTTTTCCCATCCCAACGCCATCATCTACTTCCTCTATCGATGGATCATGAACTTTGCGTTCAGGAAAGACTCCCCAGTTAACAGGAATAGCATTTAGATCCTGCACCGTATAGCCCATGCTTCCAGTAGTCGCAACATTGTTACTAATAGCAGTGCGCACCATATAATCTACATCGTAGGGGCCTGTTGTCAATGGCATAGCAATTTCGCTCTCACTTGGGTGGCCTGATGCAGCCACAGCCAATGCGAGTTCGTCCGAGGTCCTAAATCCACTGGCTGCGTCATCCTTTGGTTCCAAATTATTTAGTACACCTGGTGTAAAAGCATCTTGCAGCTCTTGAATCTGTATGCCCGGCTGGTTTGATGTCACCACAAGATTAACACGCTCGTTGACTATCGATAACAACAAGAAAAGACGTTCCTGGCTCAAGAACTTGTTTAGCAGCTCAAAAGACAGCAAACTCATTTCCACGTTAAATTTGCTATGAAGAACCTCGCGCACGTATTCGTTCTCGCGCAAATGCTGCGGCGAAAACACAAGACTCAGGATACGAAGCTCTTCCAAGTGTAGTCTTGTGTGATCAAGTGCATGACGACAAAAGAAACGCCTACCGGCTTCAATAAACCCCTTCGATAGTAGTTCCAAGTAGCAGTGAACAAACACAGGAAAGACCACTGCATGCAGCTCGTTGCGATACATATCTAACGAGTTACAAATCCAGTCCAATAGCTTTCGATATGCTTCGTCATACGTGTCAGGATTACCATCTGTTAGTCCGTAGAACAACTGCAGTATCACATAAAAACGTTCACATTAGTCAGGAATTAAACACAAACATCTTGTAATTCAAGTCTTGAACAAGGTTATAAACGTCATTCTTTGATACATAAATTGTATCAGGAGATAAGAGCAATACAAGTACTCGATAATTCTAACTGTCAAGTCAATTGCAACGTACCAAGTGATTTGCAGTACAAGCTTCTGTCGTTAATCCCAATTGTTGTGCATACTTGTCAATACTAATATCTTGTTCTATCCGTTCAATCTGTTGACCCATTGCCCGATATTGTCTTTCTTCTTCAATAGCATTATTCAAGTGATGTTTCTCTCCCTTTAAAACATAATAACCTCTCGTCTTGAGATACTTGAGCAAGAGTTTGTCCATGATCAAGGCATTTCTATCTGATTCCGTCGATTGAGGACAGGACCTGAATGATGTAACTGTAGGTATTTGACCAAGAGGTGATGGCTGAGGAAGTAAAGGGGACGTCGTAGATCGAGAAGAGGTCTCATGACCCGTAGACGTTACAAGTGATGACATTAACCTACTTGCTCTTTACCAAGCAAAAGACAGAATGAACGTCGTGAGTGCAACCCCCTTTCATGCAAACGATCGAATCATTACGGTACGTTTGAGGTGGTATACATAACATGTATGTGGCACACAGGAATTGACATTGGCTAAAAAAACTTTTGTTCATGGAAGAAGTGTTACTACTTATAACAACGTTCGTGTCCTGTGCAGGCTGTAGCTTTCTATTGGCTACATGGAAACGAGTCGAATCACCTAATTATGTTAGCCGACGTATTGTAACATCGATAGGGTTTTCTGGTCTCCTTACTACTGTTGCCTTTTCCATGTAGAATCCGTTATACGTACTTATTCCCTTTCTTGTGATACGTCGTTTGAATTGCTTACATATTTCATGCTATTGTGACTATGTGTATACTACTATTAGGTCAATATTTGTCAATGGAAATGGACAGAATTATCGGCATTATGAAGGACTATGCTACATACAGGCCTTGACATTGCAGTACTTTTATTTAGCATCATACCTCTGGACAGCTTGTTTTGCCTTCCATCTGTACCAGCTTATTGTAAAGCGGTAAGTGTTGTCATTGAACAACACGAACGATACTTGTTAAACGATATTTATCTGAACATAATGGTTCTTGTTGTGCAGGAACGAGTACTCGGAGGTGTTTTTGTGGGTCTATCGTGGTATTGGATGGGGACTACCTGGTTTTGTGCTGCTTTATCTAGTGCTTCGTCAATTGACTGGACATATTGGAGTCGGTGGAGCTGATCGCCGATGGTGTTGGATTGCGAATTACACTACGCAAGAAGAAACAGGAAAAGACCCGCTTGCCTGGCAACGTACAGGCGCGTTGCAGCAATTCTTGCTACTTTACGTACCTGTTCTTAGTGTGTTTGTCTTCAATGTGGGCATTTACCACAGTATTCTTAAGTTCCTGAACATGGATCCCATGGCATCACGTTTCCGAGAAAAGGTAAAGCTTTACCTGGGCATTATTCTCGTTTGTTCGGTATGGGGAATAACCAACAGGTTGGTGCAATTCTTCCGCGCTGACCACACACCGATCGAGTTTCTAAGTGTGATGGAAAGCATTTGTGATCCGCTGCAGCCACTGCTGAACGCTATAGCATACGGAACGAACAAGCAGTCTTTGCAAGCGTACAAAGATCGGTTTTGCCCTAGCTGGATCCATTCGTCGGTACCGTCGTCTGACGAAGAAGAAGAGTCGTCAGGAATAGACGACTCTCCTTTGCTTCCCCGCATTGACGATTCAATGGCTCATGTGTCATTGGACCCTCTTGATCGTGAATTTGGCCATTACTTTGACCGACGAGGGCGACGTAGCAAGGCACACCGTATGCAGTCGAAGGAGAAGTGTCTGAGTACTAAACCAGTCTAGTGTTGGCACATTCTCATATTTCGACAATTAGAAAGCAAAACCAGTAACATTCGAATGCTAGCTTAATTATACGCAGTTGATCACGGAATGGCAGTGTACGACTAACTAACTACCTTCCAGCCTAACTGTCTGATCCCGGTGCTTGGATGTATGTCTGCGTGGTCAGACATGTTGTTCCTACAGAACCTCGGCAAGCTTCGCTAACCCTTAAAAAAGCGAAGGTGACGCCACGTGCGCAGTCGAACAGGGCTGCGAGCCGCGCTTTGACTTCACCTTAATGTAGTAATCCTAAACAAGTATTACATACAAACAAAAGTCAGTGACATAGCGTCACAACCATGTCCACAACCATTCTAAACGTACCCAGACGTATTTTCGCTTGTTAGCGTCCTGCAAAAGCTTAACGATCTCAGGCACCAGGTCCAGCGTCTGCTCAGTCGAAAACTTGTTGTTCAAATAGTTAGCAAACTCTTCGTCCGTGCAGCGGTTCTGGCCGTAGTCCTTGCAGCTAGTCTTGAACTCGTCTACGCCGTCAGGACCCGAGATGCTTTCGATAAGAAGCAGCACACGGTCATATACGACCTGAACATCTGGACCAACGGCAGCTGCAGGCATGCGGTCCGTGAAGGGCGACATAAGCTTCTGCTTGAAATTCTGCACGTTACCTGACGGCGGGATGCTTGCAACGCGCTGCAGCGCGTCATACAGCTGCGAGGCAGCAGCAGGCTGGTCCACAGCTCCGGTCAGGATTTCCGTGGGGGTAATCTCTCTACCATAAAACTTCTTGTTAATGTCAGAACGAGCCATAATGCCCGAGCCCTGCAAACCCACGCCGCCAAAGAGACCCTTGCTATGACTGTACGTATAATTCGGGGCAACGCCCGAGGCACTAAAGTTGGCATTAGCACCAGCCGCACGCCCATAGGGACCAGCAGCAAACTCCAAATTAGCACCAGCGGAGAGTTGACCCTTCTGCATAAAACTCTTTACAGCAATATCCGAGTTGAGAATAATCATAAACTCAATCATTTGCGCACCCATCTCGGCCCCAAATCCCAATCCTGCCGTTCCAATGGCACTAGGTGCTGACCAACGGCCATCTAGAAGCTTTGAAATGACGATACCTGTGCCTACTTTGCCCGTCCAGATAAAACCAGCCTTCACAACTGTAAGAAACGCTAACCCCTTGGCTTCATGGAGAAGATCAATGGGAATACGTTTATCCTGTTCGAGACTTGGATTAAACAGATGTTCTAACGTTTGTTCTGCAGAATGAATCGCACCTTCCATAGTTGTAATCTGATGTGTCATAATGACGCAATCGAATGTCAAAGAATGAGAAAGAGATCTGACCTTTAACTGCTTTTTTGTATTGTGTCACAAACAACAAACAACAACACTCTCAATGACCCAAAACTGTCGACAAGTCAATCAATGGATTCTAACATGTCGCATTTTCTCTTCAAATAATAGCTGTCATAAATGACTAAGGCGAGTTCTTTCTATTTGTTTTAAACCATTTACAACGTTCGAATTCACAAGTCGGATTTATGTAAAACACGTCACGTTTTTTTGTCTTCCTCCTGCTTATTTTCTTTGTGTAAAATTGCTGATTAAAGTCGCATCCGTGCAAGATAATCACCCAGTGTCGGAGTGTTGGTCACTTCAACCATAGCACGACCAAGTTGTTCATAGTCCTTGCGTTCATTGTAAATTTGTGCACTAATGCGCGCATAAAGCTGGTTCTGAAACGGCACGACACGCACTACAATACGGTACTGATCGTCGAGAAAGTCCATAATTGCATCACACAGCGGGATTGCTTCATCATGGGACATTGGCGTTCCTTCTAATGTCATTGGCCACTCCACAGGTATACGTACATTACATACAAATGGAGCACGTTGCCAATTTGGAAGCAAAACATTTGTCTTCCATGTTGTAGCCAAGTACTCGCCTGCCCAGTCAATCAACGACTTGTTATGTGCGTAAACACGACTTACACCGACACTTTCGTAAAAATCCAGTGCGGATACAATGGTCAGAAAATTGGCTTCGTCTCGTGTGCCCTGAATCGCAAATTCTTCTATAAAGCCCTGGCCGTATGCAAGTGACGTTACTACGGGACGTACAGTATTTTGGTACGCCTTGCTTACGTGCAGGAACGAACAAGACTTGCAGCCGAACAACCATTTATACGCCGTACCCACGTAAAAGTCGGCACCCAATTCGTTTATGTTGAGTGGTAGCTGGCCAGGGGCGCTGGCACCGTCTACCAATACGGGGATATTTCGTGCGTGAAAAACTGGAATAAGTTTCTCCAGCGGTAGCACGAAACCTGTGGTGCTAGCAATATGATCAAGCACAGCCAACCGCGTATTTGACGTGATTGCATCCGCTACTTGCTCAACTAACAAGTCATAGCTTTCAATTGGCAAGACAACATCCACCACCTTGAGCTCTACAAACTCCTGGGTGCAGTAACAAAGATGACGGAGCGTATTAAGCACGGCTGAATCTGTCAAATGAAAAACAAAACGAAGCACGGTAAGACTCACGAAAACTGAATACAGTCAATTATTGTCCTATCATCTACACACCAAGACACGAAAAAAAACTTACATGTGAGATTGAGGCACAGCACTTCGTCGTCATTCTGCAAGTCCAGAGACTGCAGCACAGCATTCATACCCGTAGTAGCATTTGTCACAAAGACCACATCTTCTGCATCTGCATGAATAAACCTCGCAATATGTGATGCTGCCTGGCGCAGCATCAGTGGCGCCTCGCGACGCATGAACCTATCTGGGTTCATCTCCATCTTATTGACAAAGTGAGCTTGTGCTTGCATGACTGGCTTGGGTGCCACGCCATATGCGTTCTGGTTTAGAAAAATTGTGTTGGGCTCGAGGTTAAACACATTGCGACATTCACGGCCTAATACGAGGCTGCGCAGGTAACGTCGGCTGTCAGGCCATAGTGTTGTCATTCCTAGAGCAGTATAATCTTCTGCAAGAACCTGTTCTTCTTCTTCTTCTTGCTGCAATGTCTTCTCCTCTACCGGTTGTTTTCCCTGCAGTGTAGACTCGGCTGTCACTACTGGGGATTTCAAACTAATAGTAGACGAGCTAGTATCATCGTGCATTGGAGCGACAGCAGGAGTCGTAGCCGTTTTCATTTTTTCTTCCAGAGCACTTTTCACGTAAATATTGGAAACAATGAGCGCTTAATGAGGTCCTTATTTTAGAGAGACACAAAAGCACACTTGGAGAAAGGAAACGTTGACACAAAGTAGCAACTGAGTCGACGTCGTGAGAATGTCTAGAGTCTTTTTCGGTTTGTGACTAAATCGGTTTTTAGAACTGCACTGGCTAATTCGTGACATGTGTGGATGCTAAACGGGGTGTAAATAGGAGAAATGATATTGTAAAAAGGAGTAAAACAGTCGAAGATGCGAGAATTTTTTTGTCATTGTTAACGTAGCACTTATGTATGGTGCAAAAACAATCTACTCCTTTTTAAGGACTTTATGTCGATATTCTTTCGTTTAAAACCCAGTTTACGTCCGACACGAGATCTTCGCGTGACGTAACATTAATTGTCAAGCGTGCGGCTATCCAAGCTGTAGTCATAGCACGCGCTGATTGGCAATCAGTGTAAGGATTCTTGTGTTTTGGCATTGCGGTTCCAAGCAAATTAGCTAGGACACATGCATGACTCCGTAAAAGCGGGTGAAGTACGAGCTATTTTGGAGCTGTACTGAAACGTGTAGGAGTTTAAAAATGGCTGCTAAATATACATGAACATATAGCATGAAAGCTCTTCTGTATTGAGTAAGATGCCGAAGGAGATGAACAGTAGTGACACATGCGCGTGTGTAGCGTAGCGTTGCACTATAGAATGTGTCAATAAAACCAAGAGCCATCTCTCCAACAGCTTTCTTTTCGTGTTGTTGCTTTGAAACAAAGGTGCTGTATGTTCTTTTGACATTTAGCTGTAACCTCCGCAGTACCTGTCGTTATCTAGAATGCGTGCGGGTCCGACCTTCACCTCAATAGCACGCATCAGACCGTTTTTCCTAGCTGCCTCGGGTCCATCCTTCCAGATCAAGTGATCATACGCTGTTACTGCCTCCATGAAAAAGAGCTGGTGCTTACCGTCGTCGTCTGTACCTAGTTGACACGCAAACACCGAATTGGTGATCCCGTTCGCCCCAAAGCCGAGAACATCCGTAATCTCACCGCCCTCCTTCACGCGGACTAAGCCGCCGCCAGTTGGATACAAACCAGACTGGACAATGCTGGCCCAGACGCAACCTTCTGCATCGAGACAAATGCCATCGATGAGAGAGCCAACGTCAGCCCAGACCCGACGGTTCAAAAGCTTTTCATCCTCGCCAATATCGTACGCTGTCAGTCTTCCTTCGAATGTTTCGCCAACAATAAGCGTCTTTCCATCAGGGGTGATAACCATTCCATTCGGGAAGACTACGCCAGTAGCTTCCACACGAACAGAACGGTCCGTACCAACGCTTATAATTGTAGAGCTTCTTATTGACACGCTGTCAGCAAAGTGGAAGCCAAAACTACCAACAAATGCACGACCAGCAATAGCAACGACCATGTCATTAGCTCGAACCTGTGTCACATGTTTTACATCTGCGTATATCTTTGTAGCTTTGGTCTTCTCGTCGTGAACAATCACCTGTCGTTTGTTCATGGACGAAATGAGCAAGCGACCATCGGGAAGCCAACCCAATCCGGATAACATATCTTCTGAATCCTCGTACACAATCGTCCTCTTTCTAGTCACTAGCGAATACTTGACAACCTTTTTATCATGCATATCCGTAAAATAGAGTTCCTTTGTTGCAACTCGGAAGCGTGGACCTTCACCATAGATAATATCGTCTAGTAGCGTTCTTGCTTGTGGAGCATGTGAATCTTCTGCCCAGATCTTACGCTTAATCCAGTAACCAAGAAAACGAAATGGAAAAAAAAAGTAGCGGACATTTGGAAACACCATAGGGAATAAAAGCTGTTGGGTTTTGTTGTCAAGGACGCTAGGAAACTGTTCCGCAATAGCATTATGTTCTTTCTTGTCTAATTGAATGGATTGACGATTACTAGTTGCTGACATGACTCACGGATTTGTGTACAATTTGGACAATGCTTCGGTAAGCAAGACGTAGTTTTAAGAAGTAATCTTTATGGACTAAGTGTATCTTCATGTGTGCGTGCCAATCTTGATGCTGACCATTTATTTCTATCGACGTCTTTCGTTCTTTCTGATGTGGCCCACTGCGACAGATAGAGAGACGTCACCGTCTAGTTGGACAACCGCTAAACATCACGACCACGAAGGCTGAAATTTTTGACATTGTTGGAAAAAAAAAAAAAAAAAAAAAAAAAAAAAAAAAAAAAAAAAAAAAAAAAAAAAAAAAAAAAAAAAAAAAAAAAAAACAAATAGGAAAAAAAAAAAAAAAAAAAAAACACAAACAAAACAAACACACCCCAACACAACCCCCCCACAAAAAAAAAGAAGAAAGGTGATGTAAAAATGATTGTGAAGTTGTCTCCTGGGTTCGACTAAAGAATTCCTGTTGACGGTTTCTCAAGAATTATAACTACGCTCAACTTCAACATCAATAGGGCAATACCTTCTTTACCGTATTTTATTCGATTTCGTAGGTTAGACCTATTCAAAGACTTGATCATTGATATTTGAATGAGTCTATCGTACAAGGTCACAGACGAACCATGTCAGAATGAAATTATCAATCAATTGCAGAGTAGTTCAAATCTGTTTTATGTGGACCTGACGTCCTACGATCGACGAACCATCCAGATAAGAAATCGTAGAAATTGAAGCTAAACTGACTATTTGACGCTACTTCCACCTTATGAAGCAATTCGGAATCAATCGCGTCTGTCGCTCGTACCATTCTTAGCAGGTCTTTTGCTTGAATTAACAACAACGCAAGTCTGAGCACTTGATACTCAATCTTGATCAAGGAAAACCCCATCGACTTTGAATCAATTGCACTGCTCCACGCCACTATTCACTTTATTTGTAAGACTTTTCAAGTCTTGTCCTTTACCTCCTACAGCCAAATATGATTAAACTTCCTCTTCATCATCCACCATTTCCGCCTCTTCACCTCATGGACAGTGATAAGGATACGGTCATTAGTCTCGTGGACACAATACTCACCGAGGCAAGAGATGAATTCGAAAAGCACCTTCATTGCAACAACGGGGTCATACAGACAACGCATTGGGCCCAAGTCAAGCAAATTAAAGACGTTGTCGTGTATCAAGACCGAAAGGCACACAAAACCCGTTGACAATCGCGTGTCAATCGATCGAGCAATATCAAGGAAAGTGAGAGGCTTAATCTCCTGTGGTCCGGTACGATACGTGGTAACTTGGACGACATCATGTTTGCCGTCGTCAATCGCACCACTGAGGAAACTAAGGTCAAAGCTGCCTACGTAAAGAGTAACATGCTCGACTTTGCCGTGCTTGAGACTCTCGTACACCCTTCAGTTGACGACCCATTTAGCGGAATGCAAGTCAAGTGGGCAGTCAACGCCGGTCCGGCCATGATGCAACCAGCTGTGCGCAGTCGAGATTTTGTCTACGTCGAGTCGACAGGAATGACGACCATGTCCACTGGTGAACGCGTTGGGTTCCAGTTACTACACAGTATTTATCTCCCTGGGGCTCCCGAACTCCACAAATACAAGTTTGTCCGTGGCAACATGACACTTTATCACTTGTTTTGGCAAAAGAGCGACGGGGTGGTGGAGCTATATATCAAAGCTTTCATTGATCTGATGGGCGCTGTGCCTCTTTGTATGGCGACGATGCTGTCAACAAGTGGTGTGGTGTTGGTGTCGAAGCTAGGGGAGTACGCTTTGATGAAAAAGCTCAACTGGCTGCTGCATCAGCGGGGAGAGATTGTACCGAGTGACCGCTTCAAGCTTTGCCACGTGTGCTCAAAGATAATAAAGAGCACCATAATGCGACGACGGACATGCAAGGTATGCATGAGCAAGTGTTGCACACGCTGCTGCGTGTCTACAACAATGTTCTTTGTGGCCCCGCAGAGTCAGGGTGTGGCTCAGAAGATTGTCAACGTATGCAAGAACTGCATCCAGACTGCATCATTCATAAATGGTTTGGACGTTGCAAAGGATGAGCTCTTAAACGGCAGTAAGCAGTTCAAAGCGTACGTCTACTGGTCTACAACCTCTATGACGACGTCCACGTTGTCTCTTAGAATGTGAGTAGTAAAATGCATCGTTGTTAGATAGTAATAAGAGGATTACCACTTGTCATTGTTTGCTAAGAAACTGAAACTTTAGCACAGGACACTAAAGTCGCTGCTACCATCACAAAAAGAGTGAAGCTGTATTCGAGGCAGAATTACATTTGAGCAAGCAAAGCTGCATGCAAAGGCTTCGCGAGATGAATGACAGTATAGCACGCAGCAGCATTAGAGTGATGTCCAGCGTGGTCAATCGATTGTACCGAGAATACGACTTAGCATAGTCGAAGTGTTCAATGGCGATGACTGATGTACGCAGCGCATTAGAAGTTTAATAACCATGCAGTGCGTTAAGGAATCTGCATAGTATCCCCGGCATCATCAAAAAGATGATTGCATCCATTCCAGGCTTGTCAAGGTCATGTCTTGTATCACTGAAATTGGTCAAATGGACAACAACATACTAATCGAAAAGGCAGTATGACCCATGAGCACATAACATGAGACTGTGACCCTCACGAGAGTCCTTCTCTCCCTAAGAAACAATCGTCATCATCATCATCACGCTCAGATTGCTATATATCTATCGCCTCATACACATAAGAGCAAGGAAGCATAAGACCATGAAGCTTTCGTTGTCAGCGTACCTGCTACAGCCATCAGACCTGTCGAGATAGCAAGAAAATCATATCAAGGTGTATGCTGTTCCGGTATCAAGCATTGAAAGCTAGTCAAGCGCAACGTTAAGCCGCTTTGCACATGTCGTAAACGTTCAGGATATGTCAAGTACAACCAAACGGACCATTGAATAAAACGTGTACGATCCGATTTTGCATCTTCATCTACACCAGCTCCCGGGCTACTCAAGTCCTGATACAGAGAGTGCTGTAGCACGGAACAACCAATTGCGACCTTGATGATCTTATCATTTAGTGGAACCCAAACCATTATGCAGACATGTGGACGTCATACTTGGTCATCCTTCTGTCAACGAACAAGCACACTGGTCACTGGACTTTCAACGACCTGCAGGTCAAAGACAGGTCAATCTCGGCACACACTGTAGGCAAAACCGCTCATGCGTCCTCGTGATTTTGTCCGCATGAGAAGCACGATCATTCATTACCTAACAGCCAAGCAAACAGACTACCACATTTGCAAGTTGCTGGAGCTGCCTGACGCTCCTAAGTCGTAAGGCTACAAGCTCGTGTGCAGCGAGCTCGAGCTGTACCACGTAACTTCCAACAAACGAGCAAGAGAGTTGTCGAAGCATACATGTATGACACTTTCAAGCTTGAAAGCCGACCAACGCTTGTCTTTTTCGACCTAGGCAGGCAGTGTTTACGCTTTCATTCACTGCCTTTGCGCAAAGAGACACAAGGCCATGTGGTTGCTCCATACCATGGAAAACCGTGCATCAACCTTTGTAATGTTTGCACGAAAGAGCGTAAGTAAGTGGTTGCTACCTTTTACGAGCAAGGCGTGTCAAAAACATCCACTCGGTCGTCTTTAGGCACGAAGCTGAGCTTTCCCAAGTGACAACACACGGGGCGGGGTCGTAAGAATAAACATATCGACATGATGCACCCTCGGTCGTGCTCCTTGCATGATCTTACAGTTGCACAGGATGAGTTGCAAGCAGAATGTAGTCGAAAGAAATGTACATGTATTTCAATGTGCTGCAAATTGTGTGTGCCGTGTTACTACTACTTGGCCTCTATCAGCTGCATTGCTTTCGTTAAAGGCATGACCATGTTACATTGGAATGCTAACAACTAGAGACATCAACGCGTTTCTAGCGCTACTGTTTTGGCACTTCATCTTGCTCATCGAGACGAGGCGATCGATAGCAATGTGACTGCTTAGGTTTATACCAACGTAGAAATGAGAGACGCAATCTGGCATCTGTTTGACGCTATCCAGCGTTGAAGAGAAGAATCACCACCACAACTTTTGAGCAGTCCTTACCGAAACGTTTCCATCCGACGACGTTTGGCCATCTGGTCTGATGAATTTGTCGCGAAGAGGCTGGTATAAGCGTGAGATTGATACTTTGCTTCTTGACAGACGGTAGAAAACGTTTTGATTGAGACCCACACTACCAAGTAAATTCGCCTTACAAACGTCATATGGCTACGATCAGCTCGTTATACCAGCAAGTCGTAGTGTTGGCTATTTAACCTGGCACATTCGTGATCAATGCTTACTACGTTTCATTTGTTAAAGTGCTCAACGCTGCCAACTAATCCTGTTACTATGACTACCGTCTGTCCATTTGAGATTCCTCTCACGCTTTCGGAACGCGACCGTCAATCAATGCACAATTTGGCGGAACGTTTTGTCAACGAAACAATGCTGGATTATGAGCAGGTTCTGGCAAGCAAAAGCGGTTTGCCTAGTGCCGCTCGTTGGAAACCACTTCGACACAAAGATAATGTCGTGATATACCAGGATCAGCTAGTGATTGAAGAGATCAAGCGTGAGAATCGCAAAACGAAATCACTCGGTGATGTTATTGATTTCTCTCGGGTTGGTGATCTGCTGTCGAGAAGTATGGGCCCAGGCACGTTTCCGTCATCATCTGCATCTCCTTTCAATAGAGACACAGCGTTGATCGAACCAAAGAAGGCGCCGAAAATGATCTGGATGGGAACCGTCGAGTGCGAGCTAGACGATCTCATGTACGGCCTTGGTAGTCAGAGTGAAGAGGTGACTCGGATCAATTATTCGTATGCTGGTAAAAACATTCAAGACTTTACTACACTTGCTTCGTTAGAAAAGTCAACACCCAATGACGTGTTCCATTCCTTGCAGCTCAAGTGGGAAGTCAACAGAGCTTTGACGAGAGCAAAACCCGTGTGGCGCTGCCGCGACTTTGTATACCTTGAGGCAACAGGCGTAACACTGTGCCGTTCAACAGGACAACGCATTGGCTACCAAATCTTGCATTCCCTGGACGTTCGTGGTGTTCCTGAGCTACCAGGACGCAAACTGACTCGTGGAAAAATAACAATCTATCAGTTGTTCCGCCAGAAGTCCAAGGGCACCGTTGAAGTGTTTGCAAAGGCAATGGTAGACTTGGCTGGGGACATTCCTGTCAACATGGCATCATTTGCAACCATTGAAGCAGCCAATTCTGTGAACATAGCTGCCAGGTGTGCTCGCAAACGGAAGCTCAACTGGCTGCTTGTCACTGCAGCGGATCATTATCCGAACGGCGCTTCCGCGAACCAGAGTAATTCTTGCTGTAGCGTGTGTGCTCGAAAGCTTCGCAACGCTTTTGGACAGAAAGCTTTTTTTGAATGCCACATTTGCACTCAACGGGTATGTCACCGATGCCATGTACGCCAAGAACTGAGCTTTATCAAGCCCAACAAGAGTTTGGTCATTGTCGAGCAGAAATCGCTCGACTTGTGCACGCCCTGTGTACACAGAGCAACACAAACGAATGCTCGGCGTGTAGCACTTGAAGAGAGTGCGCTCAAAGACCCGGCATCGATGTACAAGTATATTCCTCGTAAGAAGAACTTTACGTTGGACAGGGGCACATGTTGCGACGAGGTTGAAACTGCGATAGCGACGACGGGAAATACAAATAGTCTAACCCATACAGCCGTTCTCTTCGATCGAGTCACGGAAGTATTTCACCGCCTCTTTTGAGGTAAACGTAGACTCTAGAAGCACACTTCTATCAAAGCGTTGAATGGTGGGTGTCCCTTATCCAGAGGAAGATGAGGCTTAAGTGAGTATTGTGGTTATATGTAAGTTTGCTCGATTGCATTTATGTAGTGATAATTTACTTCTTTACCCCTTGACGTAGTAGTCGTTTTACTGTGTACGTGCTGTAGCACTAGCAACTTTTTTCAGTCGTTCGTTTCTTGAAACTTTGTTAGTGTCTGCACTCGTTTTGGTTTAATGGCATACATGCAGGACTGACAGCAGCTCAGATGCGCTCTAACAACATGTTCTTCGGTGCTTCTGTATGGTCTCGCATATATATTGTAGTCTCCTTGTCTGTCACGGGCTCGATGCGATCGAGAATAGGCTCCGTGCCAGTATCATTCAAGTCAAAATGTGCAGCCATGTACATGGCGAGATATCTCATTCCACCGAAACCCCAAAACATCCATGACCTTGCCACCTTCTCGCATCGAACGAGGTGCCTCCTACGATCCGTATATCCCACCAACTTGCAGCACACCCGCTACTTGAATAGCAGCAGGCCACCCTCTCGATGCCGTTGCTGCTGAGCTGGGGTCGCATTGATCGAGGCAGTCGAGCGCTGTAACAATGTTGCAACGATAGGCTGAAAATTGAAGCGCTCGTCACGAGAGCACAGAGACTGATGTCCAGTTGATGGGCAGTATGTGAGCTCATTACCACATCGCTTGAATGTAAGACGCGCAGCTACGGCGCGTGGGGAGCGTTCTTGAGTGGCAGCAGAGCCATCAGCGCTTGGCAATGCTGTCAAGCATCTTCGCAACCTAAGTTAAAGTGTCCCTCGTGCGTAGTCACGTCAACCGACAAATCTAGGGCTTGATGATGGGCCGCTTCGGTTGACCGGACGATGTCAATGATGACGGGGCGAAGGTGTCATGTGGACTCGTTAACATCGGCATCGTATTGAAGAGACTATTTGCAATGTTCTTACCCCAGGTACCAGGGATCAGATACCCCACCAACGCCGTGGAGGCAGATCGTACAGACTGCAGCACGGTTTGTGCTATGTGAAAGGATAAGTCGGCAAAGGTCGAGTACTCGTCGCAGTCGACGCCTTTGAAGTTGGTAAAGGCGCCATCGATGTACCATTGACCACGGTGTGAGATGCACGGCTTGCCCGACAGCGCGAATGGTACAAGCGATGAGGTCATGATAGAGCCTGTGAGATCCTCTAGACTTTCCCAGGACGTGTGTTTCTCTGTCTTCATCGATGGAAATCTCGTTACTGCAATTGACGCTGCTCTACGCGTTTGTGAATGACTTTGTCCTCGTGCCAAAGTTTGTGCAGCGTTTACTCTACTATGGTGGCGTAGAGACAGTAGCCCGAATACCATTTCGGCGACGTAATAATCTTGGCTTGCATCTCTTTAATCACTCGCCATGCCTCTCGCACTGAGGTTTCGGATGCCAACAACGTGGCTACCCATGATCCACCAGAGCATCCTAAAAAGCGACAATTGGATAGATTAAAGTGATCTTGCAGGAATGCAGCTACTCCCATCTGATACACAAACATACCAGCAGATGCTGAGAATGCAATTTCAATTGGAGGTGTGGAGTTAAGTTTCCTAGTACAAGTCAAAGCCTCTTGTGTTTGTACAATTGAGGTCTCCATGTCAACCTCCATCTCGTCACTGTTGTCTTTCATTTCAATTGCTGGTGAATTGAGACAGTGACGTTAACAGTCGTGCATTGCATTGGCATGAACATTTGGGCATCATTAGTATTTCGATGAATCTCTTTGTCTCGTTTTGTCTTGTCTTGTTTTGTTGTGAACACGTGATGGCAAATGAAAGAATGACGTTGTCTGAATTAATGGCAAAACGTATTACGTGACATGAATCATGAAACGCTGATGTCATGCAATTCATTGAATGACTGTATGACGATCGTCGCGACGGATGCCACGCATGACACGTTCGCATATAGGAGTTTGGAAGAACAGACCTGACACTGGATTATTCATTACAAAAAACTGACATGCACCTGATGCATGGATATGGGTACACTTGAAATCAGTTCGCTTTTGATTCAAATGGTATCATAACCACCTCTTTAACTACAGCCTGGACAATTATGCAGTGAATCATGCACGTAGATATCACACTCATTGCAGAAAATACTTTGACAAGTTGTGCACTCGTATGCAACACCTTCACTATCCAGTCCAAGCGGGAGTAAACAGCCAAAGCATTTCTTCTGCACTAAGGTTGGTGTGACCTTGGCTCCTATTTCACCAGTTGATCGAGACCGCAGCAAGTGCTGAGTAAACTTGGCCACCGGAAACAAATGGTGATACGATCGCGCAAGATGTGGCGACGACACTAGCGGCAAGTTACAGACTTGGCATGTTGTTGGCAGATCACAGCTCTTGGATTTACAGCGCGGACACAGGTAACCTACCGTCGTAAAAGCCTGGTGGCACGTGCAGAGGGACAGCGCACCACTGCGACGCTGTGGAAACCCCATCTCGACTAGCTTAGCAAAACGCGAAGCTGCTGTCGCTACCGTAGGCGATGGGAACGTAAATGCCGTCATAAGTCTCTTCATGTGGTCAGCATCTATCGCGACATGGTACGTGCCATCTGTGCCGTCGGCAATGCGACGAAGCAAACTCATTTCTGCTCCAATACCGATAAATGATACACGAACGTTTTCTCTCTTCAACGACGCGAGTGTCTGAAAGATATCACCAGGATCGGCCGTCACTAGATTACCATAGACTACCACAATCTCTCGGCTGCCATAGGACGGCACTGTTTTTAATGAACTTCTGGCAATATCCAAAGCATTTTGCAATGATGGTTCTTTATCTACTGCTAGAGCGGCAGCAATACGTTCAATATGGGTCTTTGGGTTGCCTGATAGTTCACTGAGCTTTTCAGCAATCATCCCTTTAATCCCAATGACTCCTAATTGAGAAATGGGGTTCTGATCAAAGTAATCCTTGACAAATTGCTGTAAGACATTGCTGGTACAAGCCAATCGATGTGGTTTCCAGTCCTTATTGGCCATACCTCGAGATAAATCCATCACCACGTACGTATAACGAATCAATCCTTTACGTACATTACGGGCAATTTCTAATCGTCTATAAGAGAAAAGTCATAACAACATAACGTGAAGTAACATGTTTTGAACTGTTCTAAAACGTGATAATGCATAAAGTTTTCAATCAAGTTATAGAGAACTTATTATAAAACATATATAGACATACCGCTGACGATGTTGATTCTTAACTGCTTGATCAATCTTAAGATTACCAGCATCATCTTCTTCAATTACATCCCAACTACGTTCTAATGCACCTTCCCATGCATATCCAGATGATGCTAAAGATAAAGAAGAGTATAATACAGAAATAGCGTCACTTAGTACCAAAAGAAAAAGAGAGAGAGATTCTTTTCACATAATCTTCTAGTGTCCTTTCTAACCTTCTTCGTCCATTTTGTAACTGGTACATTAATAACAGGATCCAAGATTCCACTTGTGTTACTTCACGTTAAAATTAGCTTTATAGTAAGGTGTCAAATTTGTACTAAAAGAAGGATAAGTTAAGGAATTTTAAGGATAGGACGACCTAGCCATCCATTCTCATGGTCCTAATGTACTTGTCAAACAAAGAACATTGTCGTTTTACGTGATCCTGCTAGAGCTGATACTCCCACTGGACTTTCACATACGGATGAATACGCAACCGATGGAGTAAAGAACAATGATGATGGTTCATCATTGTTCCTACTCGACGTTGTACCGACTAAATCCGTTGTTAGAAGTGACACATGGTGTTTCTCAATCATTGAACATCTTTGGTGATGTTCCAGTAAACAATCCACATCCACTGATGTAACTTGAGTGATGGAGTGATTGGTTGAGTCTTGAAACGAGTAGTCACAACAACTGTAGCCACTATCACCTGTTGAATCCCGCTTTTGATATCCATTAGCATGATTCAATCGAAAAGTTGGTGATGTTGTCGTGACTTGAATCTCAAATAGCTTTTCACGCACGAAATCTGCTAATCGAGTAGCGTATTCATCAGGAGGTACAGCACTTACATCGTGCGTATCTTTACATAATAAACAGCCCAGGAACCAACGCTGTAATGTCCAGCGCCAATTATACCGTTGTAACATGTCGACAATACCAACGTAGTACATTTCTTTCTCGTCACGAGATAATAAACCATTGTGATCCATCCTCCGTCGTTGAGTCGAAGTATTGTATCGAACACCAAGGAGAATACTGTAGTCAATAATACCGCGGCTAGCAAGGAAGACAAAATCACTGCATAGTTGATCTTGTAGTGAGACTGTGGTGGCATATGGCAATGAGATACCTGAGCTGATTGTGAGAAAATCAATGTCCATTAAAAGCTGACTGATGGCTTTCCTGTCCTTGGCAACTAGGATAAGACCCTCCATGTCGGTCGCGTTTACTGCCTGTCGCCGATCGCGATTACCCTTTAGGTCAAAGCGTTGGTGCACAGGACCCTCGTTGAAGAGATTTTGCATCACCACAAAGTACATACGACGTTTGCCGATGGGTAATGAGATCGAGTGACAACCAAAATAGCGGCACAACATTGATTGTGGATTCGATTGCAGGTACTGATGGTAGTGTGGTCTGCAAGAAGAAAAATGAAGAGAATGTTAGTAAACCCAACATCACGTTTGACCTAAAACTGCTATGAAACACAACGCACAAGATGGCTCGCAACGTATCAAACTCCTCCTTTGGTACACTTTTTACCATGAACTGTTTGTTTGCTGCTCAACAACAACACACGTGCACAGAAAATGTTAGCATTATGCGTTGCTACAGCATGAGCAATCAGGACGGATCGCACCAGTAAAGTAGAAAATGTTGCCACTCTTTCCTTCCGAGCCGTGTTCACTAAGTATTCGAGACGGATCAAACGATTCCCTGTAAAAGTCTTGGTCAATGTTGAACTGAGCTCGAATCCGATGAAAAACTTTCGGCGCGCAGTCACGAAAGTTGAGCATAGTGCTATTCTTGAGACCGTAGACGACAACACCCATGCTCTTGACGTAGTTATAGTCGTTGTAGTTAATGCTTGAATAGTACTCGCCATCATTTGATCCAGCAACCTCAGTATCCGATCCCATGAATTCAGCGCTTGAGCTGACCCCCATTGCCTTCTTCTCGGCAACCTGTGCCATTTCAATGGACTTCATGATGCCTAGCGACATATATCGCATCACATCCATACGAAGTTTGTTTGACACATCGATTTTATCCCTTTGATTGTTGTTGTGAGGCGCAGGAGCAAAACCTCTCGATCTAGACATCATCGCCGCTCCTCCAGCTTCAATCTGTGAGATAGTGGTTTGCGAGGGGTTGTTGGAGTTGCTGTCACCACTACTAGTTTCGTCTTCATAATGCTCCATTGGTGTCTTGAAAACTCCAGCGTCACGGCAGAATAGCGCAAACAACGCCAAAGTCTCAAGCACGAGCGAAAGTTGGTCCAACGCGTTGGGTGTCACACTACCAAACGCTGAACCCTGCTGCATCAGGTAAATGGCCATGGCCAACAGCGTATGAACAGCAAAGACACCCAAATACGGCAAAATTCGCTTTGCCATCCGCCTTGTGGTGGCATGTGCGTGTGTTTCAAGTATTCGAGAGCGGCGCCAGGACTGGATAAGCGCAAACCCGATGTAGATCAACCCTACAAATGCCGGCAAGTCGAAGTAGAGCACAACGTTTGCGGTTGCCTTCTCTTGGAACCCCCCAAGAACGTAGCGGAAAATAAGACAGTAGATGAGTGATACTGGCCAAGCGCAAATATGATGCTTGACATTGTCAGCGTTGAATGGCAAGAAGGGGTTTGAGAGAGAAAAGATCAAATCCAGTGCCAGCATGAGATACCACAGCGTCGCAGAAGTGCTAAAGAAGAAGTAGCACCAGAAAAAAAATGGTACATAGGATTCTAACGCTCCTGCATCATGGCCTAGCTCTTCGTTGGCAACCCTGCTAAGGGTAGCGGACATCGATCCTCCATCATCATCTGGATCGAGACAAATATACCACGCGTGCAGTCCTACGCGCATGATGCTCGCAATGCTCACGCTCATGAAGATGCTAATTAGCACCATGCCCGGATGCACCCTTGAGCTAGGATACTTGATAAAGAAGAAGATCATGGCTCCGCTTGACAATAAGCTCGAGGCTAAGGCCATGAGCTGCCAGACCATAAAGAGGTCGTTCATCGTCTACCGACTAGATTAGGCTCGACTCTTCGCGGTGATCGCGCTCGACACGAATGTCACGCGCGACCTGAGCGAGTGCCGTTTGGTTTGACTTTGTTGGGGTCGCCAATAAAAAGTGCACACCTTCGAAAGGAGCAAGAATGTAATGAGGAGCTCCAAAAGCGAGAAAAACGCTTAATGGCAAGACAAACGAGCTAGCACCACGGACAAGTTGCACTGGCTCACTGGTGGACTGTTTCGTCCGGCAATGGGCGTTCCTTTTTCTAGCTTTTTCTTGCGTTGAATGCTACCTCAATTCCAGAAAATGTGTACAAGGTGATCAGATGATAATATGACAACAGAGTAGAGAGCAACACGAAGCGAGAGTTTTCAAAGTATAATGCCCATAGTCTTCAGCTCTAAGAGGCACAAGTCTGGATGAATGAACGGCTTGCAAAATCGTATTTCGCAGTCGATCGTAAACTTGGTGCAGATTGCTGGACTTAAATGCTGTAGGTGCAAGACAGGCGAGACCATAGTAGCTGCTAAGTGGGAACATAGACTGCTGCTGCAGCTTATGGATTACTTACTGGCACTCGACACCTTCAGCGTATGATCAGCCTCTGACATTCTTCTTCTGATAGCACTGTCATCATCTTGTACAGTGCTTCGACGGCTGTTATCATGAACGAATATCAACTGCATAAAGAGCACCGATCAAACCTTATGGACTCAAATCAATCATACGCGCTGGCCTGCTCTACGTTCAGTACACACAAACTTCAACATCTTTAACTTCTGAAGTAGAATGAAAGGACGTGAACACGTTCGTATCGAGTCCCTATTGCACGTGTTCATTTTCTCAATAGGTGCTGCGGACGGACCGAATTCTGAGTCATGGACAATGCAATGAACTGCACTGCGTGAATGGAATGATGTATTTCTTGGAGACATACAAGTATTGGTTGAAGCTACTGGCAGGTGCTAGAAGAACTTGTCGATTGCGGCCTCGTTGGAGCAACATCCTTGACTCGCTTAGACTGTAAAGTTTCGAGCTCAAATAGGGTCTGCCCGCGTAGAGCTTGAGCTATTGCGGTTAGTGTGGGAATTGATGATGGTCTAGTCACTTATTCACAAGATGTCGTTGCTGCTACATTTGCTGCAGATTAAGAAAGCTACGGCGACCCCGCAGTCATTACGAATGCACTGCAGCGCGAAGAAGAATCTCTGGTAAGATTGGTGCGACTAGAATATACCGAGCTTTGCGACTGCAGCAACATGTTTCATGGCCAAGTTCGTGTAGGAAGTTGTTTCGTGTAATGGGAATAATGTTGTCCTCGAGGCAAGCACAGCACCGAGATCACTCATCAGACGAAGAATGCTAGCCATATCGGAGTACAAATGCTGCTTCTTTATGCATCTAGACACTACTGCACAGACAGAGGCAAGCTTTGTCTCTTTCAATTTCATTCTTTCTTGTATCCCAGCGTCCAGTCACTAAGCAGATTCAATGACGTCCTTAAGCTTGTCTTACTGGTTAACTGACATGAAACATGGACATGAAAAGCTGCAGTTCCTTAGTATCAGAGGTCTTGGCCTCGTCCCTCTTATTCTTGTTCCTGTCCTTGGGTGACAACTTAGCATAGGGTTGCTGTCGTCGTCGTTGTCTCATTACCTTCATCAACGTATCATCACGTTTCTGTTGACGTGGCTTGCTGCTACTGCTGGACCAGGACGCTTCGTCGTCATCATCTGCCTCTTCGTCCTCGCTGTCCATGAACGTCGCGATTGCCGCCAGCTCTGCATTCTGCTGGAAAATGGATGGTAATTCGTCCATAAACAAGAGCGGCATCTCCTCTTTCCTCTTGGCAGTGTCCTCATTGAATTCGTCACTAACCGCTTTGCCAGAGCACGCGTTCACGTTCTCCATGATTCAAAAATGAATCTCTCACTATTGCAATCTCTTTATCTTTGTCAATTCACCAGCATCTGCATTTGTCAAAGCACACGCAAACTGACTCTGATCATTCGTTGCTGGGATTTCTCTTATGACTTGTGTTGCATGACTTGGTCCACGGCAGTATCCTGGATGTATCAACTGTTCCCTTTCTTGCAGGTCCTTTGGTTACAATATACAAAATGCACGCACGCTTCGTGCTGCTGCTCCTAGTTTACTTACTACCTCAGCATGTCATGGATACTTTTCTAGTCTGGCTGTTTGCTCTACAACACTAGCAGAACTTGCCATCAAGGTCGCAAATTACTTCCTCAAAACACTTCAAATACTAATGACGTTGTCTCATTGCAGCCGATTAAGCTATCAATGGTTCATTCAAATCGCTAACTATACCAAGGACTTCGTACATGTCAAGGCGTCTGAAGAAAAAGTTGGCTCCTGGTCCGCCATAGCACCTTTACCCACTATCGTTGCCTCTACTCTCGCAATCTGAAAAGATAACAGGGCGCGCCGAGTCCTCAACCTTCATATAGCAGTTGCTACCTCCTGCCATACTCTTCTGACTTTGGTCACTCTATCGATGCTTCCGGAAACGGTTCGTTTGTAAGCAAGTAGCGCCAGATAAGCCAGCCAAAGCACTCAACGTGGAGTGTCACCCGATGACCATTGCCAAACAGGATTACCATAGTACCAGCAAGTGGCGGAGTCGACTTGGTGGTCCATGAAACAAAGTATAGACTGGATGTTGGCGAGAAGGACTGGATATCAAACTCCAAAAAACGGTCACCTGGTGGAAGGCGAAACAGCCACGCCCAGAACGAACGGATCTTGCCCTTGTTGCGCATGCGCAACGAAGTACGCCAAAAGTCCTTAATGCTCTCAATGCCGTAGTAGCAGCGTGACGGCATCGATACAGCCAGCACTGAATTCAAATCCCAAATCGAGCCCGCATCAAGGACAAAGTCCTTGGGCAAGCTTTGCGTAAAAATTTCCTTGATCTTGAGCAAAATGTCCATCTGAATACCACGCTTCAACGAGATTCGGTGTTCCTCCGCTAGCTCCGTGTTTTTGACTAGCATTTCCGAAAGAGCCTGGTTCTCCGCTGCCAATGACTCCGCCTTGTGTTGCAAATACTCCAGCTTTAATGCCTGACGCTGTCGACATTTCTTTACAGCTGCACGATTGCGCTCACGCTTCTGCTCGGATGAGTAGTTCATACTCTTGCGTCCACAGCGGCGCTTGGAGCGCTCCTCACCTTCGTTTCCACTCAAAGGAGAGGTGGTAGAAGCCCCAGAAAACGTCTTGGCAATACCGGTCTTAGCCTTCGCCGCTTGCTGTGTCGGCGCTTTTGCAGGATCATGAATCAGTGGGTTATCCGACCGTGACCTCTTGTCCTTCTGGTGCATAATCGATCGATTTGACCGTTGTAGGCTTGAAGGCGGGTCAACGATGCCAGCTCCAGGATCACTCGGTGAAAGGTTTTCGTAGCCATTGTTCTGGGAAATGCCGGCACTTGTAGGAGCGCGAACCAGCTCTTCATACAGTGCTCGACTTTCGGTCCCATGCCGATCACGGGGCAAGTCTGAATCCTGAAATGATCGTTTGCCAGTCATCATCATTTCGTCTTCATTCAAGCGTTCACTATACTGGAATCTCCTTGTCATCTGGTGGTGCACTCGCTGCCGAGAGGGAACGGGCGCCTGTGCATACTCACGTTGTCGAGACATGCATACTGTAGCAGTAAAAGGGTCATTTTCATCCGGATATATGTTCAATGTAGCTGGCTCCAGCGGCATATCGTCTATCCGTGGTCCAAATTCAGGACTGTTTGTCGACGGGGGCGCAAATGCATTGTAGTGTCGGTTTCGTATCTCTCTCGTGCCTACATCTTTCGTCAAGCCGTTAAAACGCAACCCAAACGATGACGACCCGGCGTTTGGCATGTTACTAGCAATGCATTGTGGTGGATCAACCGACGACATGTCATTCAAAGGCTCTCTCGCTCTTTCTTCCTGAGCGTAAAACCCATAGTCCATCGTGTTATTATTAGATGTTCGTCTATAAAGCTGCGAAGTCAACGAGTCACCTCCACCATCTTCTTGCTGCATCTGTCGATGGTATTGTTTTTGTTTTTCATAGCGTTGCAACTGATGTTGTCTGTGGTTGCTTGGCTCGATCTTATAGTCCGTCCGAAAGGTCCTAATGGTCTTGTAGTTCTCCGAGCCCTGACGTCCATCGAGATGATTAGAGTCAAATTGATTGCCATCAAAACCTTCCGAGACTACGGACGATACTTTATATCCATGTTCAACTGCTCCTTTTGTCGTCCTAGGACTAAACTCCCTAACGTCCATCGCTAACGACGAAAGTGGAACTCTCGAGTCAGCTGACCCATTAAAGGACCAATCACTCATCCCCAATGACGTTTGCGGCTCGATGGCTACAAAATGACAGAGCGTAAACAAAGAGCAACATCATAAGCTAACAGTAACTTCAACGAGTCGACACATTAGTTCATAAAAAATCAGATTCACGCACACGGGGGCCCACGACGTGATGCCAATTGTGGGGGTTCGCAGATCATAGGATGGCGACAAGATGAAGATTGCAATGTTGTAACTAGGTCACTAGTAGTTAAAAGGGCGCCGCTACCTTCGTGGTCAGCGCTATTTTCTTCGTCTACGTCCCAACGCCGCGGGGCGGAGCGTGACATTGGGGACTTAACTGTAAATAATTTGAAGGTCATAAAATTACTACCAAGAAATTTGTTTGAAGTGGGAATAAGCAACTCCTCTTCTATTTTTTATGTACAACTAATAGTGCAGTTGTATACATGGTTCAAACGACAAGTTCGTATTATTGCTCGTTTATTATCTGCTTTGTACATATCGTAAAATGACGTGGCAATGGCTTGGTATTGTTGTTGTTTCAAGCAAGAGCGGTACAAAACTGTTTCCATTGCATTCAAAAACAGAAGAATAGTATCTCACAAATCATTCTTTTCCACGTCGAAAACTTATCCATCAAAACATATTATCCATGCGACATGTAAAAATGTTCTTGCAGTGATGCTAGAATGCGTATCGGGCAACAAGACGATTAATGACACTTTGCTTCATCAAATGTGTTCGACAGTACAATCACAATTCAAAGAGGTAGCGATAATATGATGTTGAGGAGATGTCGTAACTGCTTCTAAAATGCTTTTTTTCGAATGATAAGACTACTAAATTTTAGCGTTTCTATGCTATTTATTTTAATCAATTGGGAATTTGTGATAACTTGTTGTAGTCATTATGTAATGGTGTTACACTGATATATTCCTGTCACGATTTGACAACGTGGTTATGCGCAATCCTCGTTTCAACCCATCAAGCGTCATACTCAACATGCTTAAAACCAGTGGAGCGCGCCAAGATACTACTGAAAATGCCTAAACATCATCCGTTAAGATTACTTTCGAACGCATCTTACGTACGTAATCAAATCCAGACCTTTTCTAAGCATAGATAAAAAGCTTACTGGAACCTCCGTCCGTCATGTCGATGACCCTTTCATAAATGATATGACTAAATGCCGACGTTGTAGCAAAAAAAGCCTGGCTATAACCGCCAACGAATTACTGGCTGTCGAGCTATGTCACCTACTTGTCAACCTAAGCATTGGACCTATAACATTCAGCACATTACGTTCACAACAATTTGAAACGGTGTCTGGCGCATGGTCTGGCTCAATTTCGTTTATTTAAACGAAGGGTTTAGTTGAGTCGCTTTGCCAACGTCAAGCTTACCCTTATCATCTCCAACTGCAAGGGTCAGGTTTGAAGTCGCTTTACCAGTTCAAAGGAGTCTAATTAGCAAGAATGTTACTGCTTCAACTAATAGTCGATTAGACTGACGACATTATCTGCTACGCAAGCCATTGCTTCTTTGACAAAAGCTTCGAAATTATGCGTCTGCACTTCGAATTGTGCAAGCATAAACAGACCAAAGCTTCTCAACTGGAAGGAGCGTAACAATATTAGTGAACGGCTTTTGCTTGTTCTCGTTGCTTTGGCGAGCCTACGTTGGTATTATTCAAAACGAGGGTAGACATAGACACAACACGGCGCTCATTGCAGATTCGATTGTCACCAACTTATAAAAACCACGTAGATCTATCAGGATAAAAGTAAGCATCCAATATCTTGACGGCTACCACCTTCGGCAGCGTGTAACATCCATGCCAGGTACTCCAACCGTCGACAGATATCCGTCGAGCTACTTTCCAGCCGCATTAGTCTGCAGCTAAAATTTCTGCTACTGGTATACGCACTCGCGAACGTACACATGACGCGCTCGATGCGGATACCAGCACTTTACGCCACCGAGTTCCTGAAGCGAGCCTTCTTTTGGTTTTTCTTCCGCTTTTCCTTTCTGCGTTGGTTACGAGCCTTTTTCTGCGATTCCGAAAGATCTGAGGCGCGACCCACCTCCTCCACGCCATCAGGCGACTCAAAGCCATCACTTATTGTCGACACCGACGAAAGTGGAGCCTTTACAATGCTTGTTTTACTACGGCCGCGTTTTTTCTCCTTCGGCTTTAGCTCAGCAGGCTTCACTATCTCTTTGAGCTTTTGCTCCGCAGCCGCCATCTCCTCAGGCTTCGGCTTCGCAGGTTCAACCATGTCCTCGGGCATCGGCTTCGCAGTTTCCACCATCTCCTCAGGCTTCTGCTCCGCAGCTTCCACTATCTCCTTGGCAGCAGCCGAAAGCGTTACCACGGACGCCTTCTTCTCCGTCATCTCAACCTTGAACGAGTGCGTGTTGTCCGCATTGCTCGTGACCGTCACCGTCTTACCCACCACAGTCTTGGACGCTGTTGGCTGGCTCGTCACATTCGTCTCCACAACCGTTGATCCGTTCGTGGTCGTAGTTGTAGTCGTGGTAGTCGTGGTGAAAGACGGCTCTACCTCCTCAATCATGACTGTTGCTTCCTCCACGACCAAAGCACCACCAACCTTGGGCTCCTCAATCACCACCTCCTTCTTTGTTTGCTCGCTTCCATCCTCCACCTTCTGCTTAACTTCAACCTCCGCCTTCACATCCTCGTTCGCTGCAACCTTCTCCACCTTCTGCTCGACTTCACCCTCCGCCTTCACATCCTCGTTCGCTGCAACCTTCGCCACCTTCTGCTCGACTTCACCCTCCACCTTCACATCCTCGTTAGCTGCAACCTTCTCCACCTTCTGCTCGACTTCAACCTCCGCCTTCACATCCTCGTTTGCTGCAACCTTCTCCACCTTCTGCTCGACTTCAACCTCCGCCTTCACATCCTCGTTCGCTGCAACCTTCTCCACCTTCTGCTCGACTTCACCCTCCGCCTTCACATTTTCGTTCGCTGCAACCTTCTCCACCTTCTGCTCGACTTCACCTTCCGCCTTCACATCCTCGTTCGCTGCAACCTTCTTCACCTTCTGCTCAACTTCACCCTCCGCCTTCACATCCTCGTTCGCTGCAACCTTCTCCACCTTCTGCTCGACTTCAACCTCCACCTTCACATCCTCGTTCGCTGCAACCTTCTCCACCTTCTGCTCAACTTCACCCTCCGCCTTCACATCCTCGTTCGCTGCAACCTTCGCCACCTTCTGCTGGACTTCACCCTCCACCTTCACATCCTCGTTAGCTGCAACCTTCTCCACCTTCTGCTCGACTTCAACCTCCACCTTCACATCCTCGTTTGCTGCAACCTTCTCCACCTTCTGCTCAACTTCAACCTCCGCCTTCACATCCTCGTTTTCTGCAGCTTTGTCCACCTTCACCTCTTCAATTTGTGGCCCCACCTCGATCTCTTCGACCTTTGTCTTGTTCTCCTCGTCCATCGTCTTCGTGGTATTATCCTTAACAGTAGACACCACTGCTGTCCCCGATGCAACATCGACAAGCGCCACCTTGCCCTCCTGAGCCTTTTCCATGAGCCCAGCCTTCTTCTGCTCCTTCTTGAGCTTAGGCACTTCCATCGATGATTCTTCGTTAGCACTTTCGTCGCTCGCCGTCTGCTCCTCCTCCTCCTTAGCCTTCTGCGCCTTCTTGGCCTCTCTCAGCTTCTTTTCTACCTGTAGAAACTCGCGCAGAAGTTTGGTCATGGTTCTAGGCTGCTTTTTCTTTAAATTGAACGCAGTCACGGCTTGCATGAACGCGTCTAGTCTCGGTTGACGGTCCTCCGGCTTGGGTGCAAAGAAAAAGCCACGTTTAGGTGGAAAATTAAACTTAAATCTCCGATCCGCTGCTCTGAGCTGTTCGTAGAAAGCTAAGAACTTGCTATAACGAATAGCAAGCGTCCAGGAGACGCCATCTAGTGTCACAACTGTCGTATAAGTGTGAAACGATGAGTGGTGTTTAAAACCCGTCACACGCGCCGAGAGCGTTGCAAGTGAAGTCATTATTATCGTATTAAGGAAAAAGGTCCTGTCCTACACAATGTACACACACGTTTGCTGTTTGACGAAGATTCTAGAATGCGGTGAAAGCCAGCAAAGGCGGTAGTGGCCGGTCTGGGTTTCGCTTTCACACTCACTCCGCTTACTAGACTGGACAGTCTAAATATCGACCAGAAAGTGGCCAGTCTCGGATTGGCTCTGTCATTACGATTTGTCACTAATGGCACAGAAAACGGCTATGGTGTCCGAATTCTACGCCTATGGACTATCTTTGTTCTTGATAGAGCCTGTTTGTCATAGAAAAAACACGCTAAAGGGCAACCCCATAAATGACGAAGATTGAAGCGCTCCAATCAAGCAATTCAACTTGTGAGGTCTTTTATGACGTTTCTTTCATCTCCATGTGATAATGATAGAGTTGTTACACCTGTTAGTGATACAGAGCTGTAAGTACTATAGCGCGGTTTCAGCTGCATGACGAAACTATCCGCTTCAACGTTTTGAAATTACAATAGTGCAACACTTGCCAACAGATGGAAAATGAGTCGGCTATAACACGTTACAGCAACGTTGCTGCTGCCTGCTTCACTTTAGTAGAGTCATAGAAACACTGATACTAATCTTATGATCAGTAGAAGCTTCAGTGCGGGTTCTCTGAGACTGTTGAAGCAGACGCAATAGGCTTCTGAGCCATGGCTACCAGTGTTTTTCCTACTACGAGGTACTTGGTAGTAGTTCCCGACGCGATAATTGAATTCTATAGTAGGAAACGTTCACGTGAATATGGGAAAGGGTTTATATGACCGTACTGTGGGGGCATGATCACTTCATAGACACTTTGCCACGTATGGTTTGTATTGAGATCGTACAAACGTGGAAAAACGTACCAACTTGCACATAGATAACAAGACAACAGAACTTATCGCAGTCACAATACGGAATTCTGGTAGTGAATCATTTGGATAGTCTCGGCCTTTCGCTAGCCACGAGTAAAGCAAATCAGAAGCTTCAGCATCTTTCGTATCTTCAACACTTTGTTATACTTTTACATTATACCATACATTTGCTCACTTCATTTTACGTAACAACTCGCTTGCTAAATAAGCGGACAAACCTTTTCAAGCCATTTACACGACGACAATGCTGCCCAAATGCTGCGGCAAGAAGTACCAAGATCTACGCACGCAGCAATTGAAACTTTGAAAGAAGATCGGGTGACGGTAACGTCTCAGACGCAAATTCAGTTCCTGTTTCGCAAGCAGGAGCTCAGCTTCGATGGCTTCAACTTTGACCTCCTCTTCAGCCTTTGAGCGATCCTCATTCTTGGTCGCCTCAGCCTCTGCTTGCACTGCAGTCTCTTTCTCCGCTTCAACCTCCGTGCCATCCTCTCGCTTGATCGCCTCGGTCTCTGCTTGCACTGCAGTCTCTTTCTCCGCTTCAACCTCCGTGCCATCCTCTCGCTTGATCGCCTCGGTCTCTGCTTGCACTGCAGTCTCTTTCTCCGCTTCAACCTCCGTGCCATCCTCTCGCTTGATCGCCTCGGTCTCTGCTTGCACTGCAGTCTCTTTCTCCGCTTCAACCTCCGTGCCATCCTCTCGCTTGATCGCCTCGGTCTCTGCTTGCACTGCAGTCTCTTTCTCCGCTTCAGCTTTTGTGGCGTCCTCTCGCCTGTGATCGCCTCGGTCTCTGCTTGCACTGCAGTCTCTTTCTCCGCTTCAACCTCCGTGCCATCCTCTCGCTTGATCGCCTCGGTCTCTGCTTGCACTGCAGTCTCTTTCTCCGCTTCAACCTCCGTGCCATCCTCTCGCTTGATCGCCTCGGTCTCTGCTTGCACTGCAGTCTCTTTCTCCGCTTCAACCTCCGTGCCATCCTCTCGCTTGATCGCCTCGGTCTCTGCTTGCACTGCAGTCTCTTTCTCCGCTTCAACCTCCGTGCCATCCTCTCGCTTGATCGCCTCGGTCTCTGCTTGCACTGCAGTCTCTTTCTCCGCTTCAACCTCCGTGCCATCCTCTCGCTTGATCGCCTCGGTCTCTGCTTGCACTGCAGTCTCTTTCTCCGCTTCAACCTCCGTGCCATCCTCTCGCTTGATCGCCTCGGTCTCTGCTTGCACTGCAGTCTCTTTCTCCGCTTCAACCTCCGTGCCATCCTCTCGCTTGATCGCCTCGGTCTCTGCTTGCACTGCAGTCTCTTTCTCCGCTTCAACCTCCGTGCCATCCTCTCGCTTGATCGCCTCGGTCTCTGCTTGCACTGCAGTCTCTTTCTCCGCTTCAACCTCCGTGCCATCCTCTCGCTTGATCGCCTCGGTCTCTGCTTGCACTGCAGTCTCTTTCTCCGCTTCAACCTCCGTGCCATCCTCTCGCTTGATCGCCTCGGTCTCTGCTTGCACTGCAGTCTCTTTCTCCGCTTCAGCTTTTCCGTGGGCCATCCTCTCGCTTGATCGCCTCGGTCTCTGCTTGCACTGCAGTCTCTTTCTCCGCTTCAACCTCCGTGCCATCCTCTCGCTTGATCGCCTCGGTCTCTGCTTGCACTGCAGTCTCTTTCTCCGCTTCAACCTCCGTGCCATCCTCTCGCTTGATCGCCTCGGTCTCTGCTTGCACTGCAGTCTCTTTCTCCGCTTCAACCTCCGTGCCATCCTCTCGCTTGATCGCCTCGGTCTCTGCTTGCACTGCAGTCTCTTTCTCCGCTTCAACCTCCGTGCCATCCTCTCGCTTGATCGCCTCGGTCTCTGCTTGCACTGCAGTCTCTTTCTCCGCTTCAACCTCCGTGCCATCCTCTCGCTTGATCGCCTCGGTCTCTGCTTGCACTGCAGTCTCTTTCTCCGCTTCAACCTCCGTGCCATCCTCTCGCTTGATCGCCTCGGTCTCTGCTTGCACTGCAGTCTCTTTCTCCGCTTCAGCTTTTGTGGCGTCCTCTCGCTGTGATCGCCTCGGTCTCTGCTTGCACTGCAGTCTCTTTCTCCGCTTCAACCTCCGTGCCATCCTCTCGCTTGATCGCCTCGGTCTCTGCTTGCACTGCAGTCTCTTTCTCCGCTTCAACCTCCGTGCCATCCTCTCGCTTGATCGCCTCGGTCTCTGCTTGCACTGCAGTCTCTTTCTCCGCTTCAACCTCCGTGCCATCCTCTCGCTTGATCGCCTCGGTCTCTGCTTGCACTGCAGTCTCTTTCTCCGCTTCAACCTCCGTGCCATCCTCTCGCTTGATCGCCTCGGTCTCTGCTTGCACTGCAGTCTCTTTCTCCGCTTCAACCTCCGTGCCATCCTCTCGCTTAATTGCCTCGGCCTCTGCTTGCACTGCAGCCTCGTTCACCGCTTCTCCTTCTTCAAATTTCATTTTAGCGGCTCTTTGTTCCTTGTCTTCGTCTGGAGACAAACTGAACGTGATGATACGCCGAATCCAGCCCTTTACAGAGTTTTCAGGTTCGGTTTCCGTCTTGTATGGCTTGAGAACAGGCTCTTTGCTCTTCTCCTTTAAACGCAACTGGTTTTCTGCAATCGGCTTCTCTTTAACATTCGACGCCAAAATTGGAACGGCGTCCATCTTGATTGCTCCTGACGACTGTCCAATATCAGCTTCAGTTTGCACCACTTGTTCGACGTCCTGTTCTTCAGATTCTGTCAAGGTTGCCACAGTCTCAATGGCTGTCTGTGCGGAGGCAAGTCTGGTCATATCTTTTTGCTCAACCTTTGGAGTCTTCGTCTCTGCAATCGAGGCTACTAGTTTCGCTTTAACTTCCGCCAGGGCTGTCTTTGTCTGTTGCATCTCCAGCTCAACTTCCATAACTTTGTCTCCTCTGACCACGTCTTGTTCCTCTGTAGCCTTTTTCACCGTAGCAGACTTACAGTCCCCGGTATCTTCTTGCGTAGGTGACACAACTGCTGTCTGAATCGCTCCAAAGACAAGCGTTTCGGGATGCGGTGCCGTCGTACAATCACTGGTCGCAGCAACACAAGTCGGCTGCTGTTGATTGTCCTGAATTTTGTCTTCCATTTGTACTTGCTCTTTTACCTCATTTGCCTCAACAGCTTCTGTTTCAGTATCAGTCTCGACTAAGTCGGCTGCATCGTGTGCTCGGACTTGATCCTCAGCATCAGACTGAAGCTCTTCAAGATCCACACTATCAAGCGCCTCTGGTTTCGTTTCAATCTCGACCACGTCAACTGCTTCATGTGCTCGGACTTGATCCTCAGCATCAGACTGAAGCTCTTCAAGATCCACACTATCAAGCGCCTCTGGTTTCGTTTCAATCTCGACCACGTCAACTGCATCGTGTGCTCCGAGCTTGATCCTCAGCATCAGACTGAAGCTCTTGGTGAACGACCTGTACAAGAGTTTCAACTTGTCCATCATCTGCATCAACTTGTTCATCATCTTCATCAATGGGTTTTATACTGTGGTTTTCATCCTCATGACCACTCACCAAGTACTCTTCGTGATCTTCAGAGCTTCCCTCACTTGCTGTATGTTCCTCTTCTTCATCCTTGACATCCAAATGTTTTGAAATGTCCAAAAGTTCATCCAGCAAAGCTTTCATACGTTTTGGATGACCTCGCATATCAAAGTAAGCAAGTGTACTCGATAGAAAGTCATCCAACTGTTCCTGTCGTTCTTCTGGGGATGGCGAGAAGAAGAGACCACCCTTTGGAGGAAATTCCACGGTAAAGTATTTTTCAAGTGCAACGAGACGTACGTAGAACTGATAGAATGTATTATATCGAATATCTACTGTCCATGTACATCCTTCTACTTCTACTTTTGTTGTATAGACATGAAAACTCGTATACTTAAACCCAAGAACTCGTGCTTGAATGTCTTTCATCATGATAATAATAATACGAAAATACCCTTAACAGCTTAGAACGAATTAATCGACTCGGCTTTGACAAGGATGATCCAAAAGTGAGTACCATACATAATCAATTACAACAAAGAGTCATGATGATGGATGTAAATGTTAGAGATTCCCTATACTGGTCGTTGTGTGTGTTTTTTGACGTTGTTTTTATGTTGAGAGGTGAACCTGTATTTTGTACCCATACAATCCTATATAAAAGTTGGTAACATGATGCATGGGAAAGTCGACCACTGTTGCTAAATTTTACTCTCAGGGTGGCTAAGTTGTCGCGTGTCAAATCGCTAAGACAATCTTTCATACGCCACACCTTTGTTCTTTCTTAAATACAAGACCTGTAATATGGTGTATTAGACAAGAGAAATGTAAGGTGATTTGCTAGGTCCAACAACTACTTTAACTGACATTACAATAGCTACCTTTATATTTCAATCATTAGTCTCTTTCCTGACGTCAACAGATATTTCTCGTACCCTTCCAAGAGCGTTCACTCTTTGCTCACATGTTTTTACACACGACTCAAGCCACACGATTTCCACTACAGCGCACAAGCTGTAAATATCATTACGGGTTTATTCTAGACCCGCCGTCCATCTCTGGCCACTCTTATCGCAATAACGAAATGCAAGGGTTGTGTGTTGGCTGTTCCAGAGAAACTGGGAAATTTACAGTCCGTCCACAGGTCCATGTATTTTTGGAGTGGAAGATTGTCAAGCGTCGCCTGGTCGTGATGGGACAGACGATTTTCGTCTGTCGTGCTTGAAGTTATCGGATCAGGACACAAGATTGGATAAAAAGATGGGTAAAATACTGACGTTTTAAACCAATGAACTACTTTTCCACCGCAGACGCTCGTCAGACTTCCAACTTTAGGATCGTTTGATGGAAAATAGTAATATGCGTCACTACAAAATTCAAGTAGAATAGAAACTGTCGCATTGGACTACTGCACATCAAATCTTACTATCAACTTACTGGGCTTAATTGCCCGGCTTGCCGATTACGGCCAACTCTATCGGCGGGCAAGCGCCATTGGCAGCAGCAGTGCTAGACAAAGTACCACCAAGTTGGTCTTCTTCATGCATCGACGCTGGAAAAATCCAAGCAATGACTTGGGCACATAGGCGGCGATCCACGACGAAACTCGTCCACGTGTGGCGAGCTCATTCTCCTTCACCTGTTCTTCTATAATGGTGCCCTTCTCTTCGGCCACTTGCGGCATGGACGATGTACATTCATGTGCAACTAGACTCGACCACAGACTGCTCTGTAGCCGACATCACATCCATCGTTTCGTCCACTTGCAGCATGGGTGATGTACATTCATGTACAACTGACTCTACGACCGACTGCTTTGTAGTCGACATCACATCCATCTTTTCGTCCTCTTGCGGCATGGATGATGTACACTCCTGTGGAATAGACTCCACAACCGCCGACTGCTCCGGAGGCAATATCACGTCCATCTCCTCAAGTGACGAAACTTGAGAACTCTCCACATATGTTTTGGAAACAGCATCTATCGTGGCTGCTTCCTTGGTCTCTGCTGCGACGTCCTCAGCAGGCATCAGTAATGAAGCGTCAGCAACCTCTTCTTCAGCCACTTCTTTTACGACCTCTTCTACCTCTTCTTCTTCTCCAAACTCTTCTTCTTCGACCACTTCTGCTTACCCTTCTGCTCCAACCTCTTCCTCTTCTTCAACCACTTCTGCTCCAACCTCTTCTTCTTCGTCTACCTCTTTTACAGCCACGTCCTTGTCAGCGAACAGCGACATCTTCCTTGACCATCTCTTTGGCCGCTTCTGATTCTTCCACACGTATCTCCACTTCAGCCTCTACAGCGTCGAGTGCAATCTTCGCCTCCTCCGTGAGCTCTACAGAACGCGACTCATTAGCTACTGGGCTAACGGGCTGCATCAACTCGGACAGATCGGCGTCTTTTTCTCCTTCCTTCACGTCAGCAACGACCTTTTCTCGCTCCTTTACAGTTTCCGTAGCCACCACATGTAGAGCAAGATCCACAGTGGTATCAGCAACTTGTGTCTTCTCCTTCTCATCATTCTTCTTCTCAATGACAGGTTCATGCATTGGTTCATCTTGTGCACTCTCAGTGCTCGTTGAAACATTGTCGTCGTCACGCTCAGAGGATCTCAAGTGACGTGGGACCTTGAGCAAGTCGCATAGCAAATTCTCCATCTCTATCGAATCCGTCTTGCTACTGTAGTATGCAAGTACTTGTTGCAAAAACAGCTCAAGCTGTTCTTGTCTTTCCTCAGGTTTTGGTGTGAAAAAGAGCGTGCCTTTAGGTGGAAATTCAGCATGAAAATCCTTCTCCTGGACCATAAGCTGGTCATAAAAGTCGTGAAACTTGCTATACCGTAGCCCAAGTCGCCAACGGTGACCGTCTACAGTCACTTCCGTTGTGTATGCGTGAAAGGATGAACGATAGAAACCCGTAACATGAGCTGAGATGGTTTTCATCTTTTTCTCTTATTCTCTTTGGACCAATCAATGTATTGTATCGAACAAGACGTTAAATGAAAAGTGACCTACGGCGGCATTAATCATTTTGTCTGTGACGTGTGTGACTGCGTCCTTTTTTCCCGCAAATCATTTTTAGGGCATGAGCCTGTTTACAAATTTCGAAAATTAAACTTTGAGGCTTTTTTAACCGAATAGTATGAAATTTATCATATGTGACAAGCACAAGGGGTGTGACGTCAATGGAAGATGGCTACTTCGTGCTGCCATCTTCTTCCAAGCCATCGGCCCTTTATGCTTTAGGAGGAGTGACTTGGTTGACACTACCATGAGACTATGGTGGAAAGCATGAATTTCAAGTTGACGTGGTTCTATTGTTGGGCTATATAATGTACCAAGAAGCATCTCCTCGTCATTGCTGTTACCTAAGCTGTTATAACCGTATCTTTGAATTTAATGAATGGCTGACCACATTTTTACGCGATCATAAAAAGAACTTGCTCAATTCTGAAAAACGATGATGGGAGTTTTAGTAAATTATACCAGGACGTATACATTAACAAAAAGTAGCGCTGTCAAGACGCACAAAGAACGGTGCTGTAAATCTGCTGGCAAGTTCTTAGCTCATGCAAAACATGAAGAGGAGTCTTACTGATTTTATAGCTCATCTCTTGGTCAAGTATCAAAGTATGACATTGCACGTTCTTAATTGCTTTCTCTATTTCTACATACTGGAGGCTTGCTAGCTTGATCCATAGATGGTAATTTTTCATAGATTTGTAGGGTACTCAGGTAAAATTTTGCAACAAATCGCTGCAGCTAACGATGATCAAGTGTGCTTGCGAAAGGTCAGACTAGCAGGTTCAGGTTGTGGGTTCAATCTTGCGTGTGTGCTACTGTTATTGAGGCACGCATATATCTATGGTCGTCATAGATGTCAGCTGAACTCAAGCGGATCAAAGTGTGAAGAAAGTCAAATTAGTGCAAGGCGGTATTGTACGCGACGGTATATAAACCGGAGCTATCGGTATTTACATGTATACGACATACCTGCAAATGCCGATATCTACAAACAAGGGTCGGTAGTATGTCTACGTGTTTGACAAACATAGCGTTCTCCACATAAAACAAGGTATCACTATACTCTTTAATGAACTGCAAAAACTTATCGTTTGGAGTGTGTTCATTAGGTTTTCAAACAGTAGAATGCTTTCAAAAGCCGCTAGCTACACTAGAAAAACTCCCAAAGCTTTTTACTCGCTCTTGATCATGTGCTCAATCAGATCCAACACACGCGAGCTGTAGCCCCACTCATTGTCGTACCACGAAACAAGCTTTACAAAATTGTCCGTGAGAGCAATACCAGCCTCAGCATCAAAGATTGACGAGCGAGAGTCACCAATAAAGTCGCTTGATACAACAGCTTTCTCAGTGTATCCAAGAATACCCTTCATCTCGTTCTCAGAAACCAATTTGATTGCAGCCTTGATCTCGTCATACGACGCAGGATTCACCAGACGAGCAGTCAGATCCACGACAGACACATCCGCCGTAGGTACACGGAACGACATACCAGTCAACTTGCCATTCAAGCTAGGAATCACCTTGCCTACGGCCTTGGCTGCACCAGTAGAGCTGGGGATGATGTTGAAACAAGCGCCACGACCACCACGCCAATCCTTGTTTGACGGACCGTCTACCGTCTTTTGTGTCGCAGTCACGGCGTGGACTGTTGTCATCAGACCCTCCTTGATGCCAAACTTGTCATTCACCACCTTGGCCAAAGGAGCCAGGCAATTCGTCGTGCACGAAGCATTCGACACTACGTGCATTTTCTTCTCATACAGCTCGTGGTTCACGCCCATGACGAACATTGGTGCATCATTCGATGGAGCCGAAATCACAACCTTCTCCACGCCGTTCTTCAAGTGCGCCGAAGCCTTGTCGATGGACGTAAAGGCGCCAGTAGACTCGACCACGTATTGCACCTGCTCCTCGCCCCACTTAATGTTCGCTGGGTTCATCTCGTTAAAAACACGAATGGGCTTGCCATTCACAAAAACATGCTTCTCATCGTGCGAAATCTCACCGTCAAAACGACCGTGGACCGTGTCATACTCAAGCATGTACTCCATGTATGTCGTCGTGATGAATGGGTCATTGATAGCCACAATGTTGATCAGCGGGTTTGTAGCAGCAGTACGCAGCACCAGCCGACCGATACGGCCGAAGCCATTGATGGCAACGTTCACAGCCCCACCGACATTGTCCGTCGGGTTTTGGGCGTTAATGATCTTCAGGAAGTCGGGCTTTAGTGAAGCACCACCAACAAGGAAGCCGTCAATATCCTCCTTTTGCGAGAGCTCGGTAGCGTTTGTGGCACCAACTGATCCACCGTAAATGACGCGAGTCTTTTCAGCAGCATCAGGTGAGACCTTCTCCTTAAGCCAAGCACGAATGCTAGCATGTGCCTCCTGTGCCTGCTCAGGTGAGGCCGTGAGGCCCGTGCCAATGGCCCAGATGGGTTCATACGCGATGACAACATTCGTCCAGTCCTTGATCTCGGCAGCGTACGCGTTGAGTTGCTCGGTGATGTAAGCCACCGTCTGGTTCGACTCGCGATGCTCCTTGGTCTCACCAATGCAGGCAATGACACCGAGGCCCTTCTCTAGTGCGTACGCAGCCTTCTTGGCCACAATCTCATTGGTTTCCCCCTTCTCGCGACGTTCACTATGACCCACGAGCGTGTACTCGGCACCCAAATCCTTGAGCATTTCAGCCGAGGTCTCACCTGTAAAGGCGCCATTGCCCTCTTTCCACACATCTTGTCCACTGACACGAACATCATCACGGAGTGATGTCTTGACAATAGCAGCATGTACTTGCGAAGGGGCGACAACGACTTCGACATTGGCCGGGATCTTGGCCGTATTAAGCATGCTCACAAGCTCTTGTACTTGACCGAGTGAACCATTACACTTCCAATTGCCACCGACAAAGAATTTACGTTTACTACTAGAACTCATATGACGTGATTGCGTTTTAAACACTTGACGGAAGGCCATGATAGAAATGATTGTTGTTGTATTACTAAAAGATCCACTTGTGACTTATAGAGACAATTCGAAAATGAACGGCATCTGAAGAATGAATGACTGACTGCCACTGAAATACGTGTCGAACGTGGCATAAAACCTCGATTGGTTACGACGTAGAAGACAACCCGGTTATGTGCAGAGATAGACTGCCTCTAAATAATTATATTATGGATTTGCAATCGACCAGGCATAAGCCTTGGTGTAGTGTGGGTGTATATCCGGATAATGGTTGACTTTTTATTGTAAACCAGACTTGTTGGTCAAAAAGGAGTTTCCATGTCAATACTATCAAAATGAAGATGATTCCTGCACAACATAAACTACAAATAAACTGTATCTCCAACACATGACAAGCAAATAGCATCATTCAAAACCATGTAACATTTATCAATACACGTCACTCACTACTTCCTTGTCCCTCAATTACAATATTGTTCAAAGGGTACATGCAAGTTTAGTAAAAGCTGCCAGCAACCTTATCGCATTCAGGATCCACTGCCTTCGTCTCGTGAAAGCGACGAAAGTCAATCACAGCACCACCAGTATCCGGATCCACATCCACGCAATTCACATGGCGGTGGTTAAATCTAATGTCCTCCGCCTTGTATGAATGCCGTACCTGGATCGTTGCCGACGTGACGGCATCAATGCCTTCAACAAGCACCACCACCTCAAGCTACAGAGCAGAACAGGTAAACAAATGTTGTTAATTAGCTTTTTCCAACACACAGCAAGTTAGATTGTTAAGGAAAACGCCCATACCTGAGACTCGGCCCAATACTGCTTGATCTCTTCGATTGTCAGCGCCTGCGTTGCACTCTGTGCATCATCCGCAACACCATTGCTAGCCGTGCAACGACATGCGTTATGGGTCAAAGTTGTGGTTGGTTTGACTTGCACAGTGCCGTCGCGGTCTCCACTTTGGGCATCGGCCGCGCGGCATAGAGGCTCTGGAAACAGATAGCCTCTAGCGGGATTGTGGTGGAGAGCGCAGGCATCAGCACTCGTTGGCCGCAGCAACGGACTCCATGCATCCATCCGGTGCACGACTACCGAAGGAAGCGCTAGCAGCAGCATGCCACCAAGATCGTCATCTGGATGCTGGATGCGCATCGGGTACGACTGAAAGTAGTACCGCTCGCCAAACTCCACGTCGTGTCGGATTGCATACATACGCACATGTGCTTCCACGAGCTGATGTTTGCGCATCTCACACACTTGAAACATGAAGTAGAGGTCACCACGAATTCGACGCGCACAGGCATGGGTGCTCATTACAATGGTGTTTGCACGCGCCTGAGCACGCGAAAAGCGCTGGAAAATAATTCCAATGGCCAGTGCATCTAGTAAAATGCCGCAAAAAGACTCGAGCGTGATAATCGTCTGTACCCAGACACAGTCGCCAAAGAAAACATCGCCACCATTGGTACCAAAACCAATCGTGAAAAGTACCGACACAGAGAAGGAGAAACCATCGAAAAACGAGAATATAGCCATTTTACACTGATCCGGTGGTGTCATGTACAGAGCACCAAACACGACGATCACGAAGATATACTACATACAAAATCACACAGTGTCAAAGTCAGTCAGTCAGGAGTTCACATGTATATACAATCTCTTGTGTACTCTTCTCATATACTTCCATCTCTATCCATTCATTATTCATACAACGTACTGCAAAAACAAGCGATCCAAGTACTTTACTAAGCCGTAGATTTACAACAGTATGGAATGGGTCCTGCATATAAAGTTTCCAATAATGAGGTACTTTGTGACGACGAATGCTACAATACACAATACACAATCATTCGTCAATCTCAATGACTTCTACTTTCTACTGTCCTCTCTACTAAACACCATCAACAGTATCAATTAAACTCATTTACGCACTTCCATTGACCCTTAGAGCGTTGGAACAGCGCGTCCTTACGATCCATAATACGTCCCGTACTTGTCGGTACATTCACACGCTTGACAGGACAATGCTCTGAATTGGATACGGCTCTTCCATTCCCTCTCGTAGTAAATGATGTACCAGTTTCTTCATATTCGGCATAATTTTGTCCATGTTCCATTCTCATAACCCCCAAAAAAGTGTCTCTATATGAACAATAATGTTATTGTATTCAGATATTGAGACGAAGGAGAATGAATGAATGAATGAATGGATGAATGTTCATACACACAAACAAACAGTGGAATAGACTGAACATGCTATAATGTCCCGAATAGATGGTACGTTATAACATGTGTTTTTTATGTATATTTATGTATTTATAGGTTGATCAAATCACGATTATAGAATATCTGAGATTCTAATAGAAAGAGATAATCACAGTTCTATGCCATTACATGGTACTTGATCAAAATAGAGCAAGAAGACGCAAAAAAAAGAGACAAAATGTGACAAAATGGTTCTTTCTTACAGACGCATTTCTACGGTGATCTCAATGCTCGTTTCTATATCATTACCATATATAAACGAACTACATGCAGTCGTTGCCTTACATTTGACACAGCGTCGAATGTAATCATAATGTCAGTCTATACTTTACAATAGATGCTTTTGTCTCGAAGACTTTTTTGTGACTATCTTCTTGCAATGCTCATTTTTCCTTTATTCGACCATTATAACATTTTACAGTAAAAACCTAAAGCTATAATTATTGGGCATGTTCATAGACAATGTTTTGTTATAAGGTACTAAGTAGACAACAAATCTTGATAGACTGTAACGACAGAGACCTCGATGGAGGCCCTTACATAGCTTACTATAGGTAAAACGCAAAAAAACTATGCATCGACGTAGAACGACTGGCTTTCTTTGCTGAAATTACTGACAAACAGGCGCTGTCGATCCCTTTTTTTTGGCTACTGCATTCAGTTGTTTTCTCAATCTGATGACATTTTAAATAAAATTTGCATTTGCGGATTCTGATAAACTCATCCTACACCCGTTGGACCAAATTATAAAAGGTGTCTTATCAGATCTTTTTCTAATTTATTTAGATTTAGTTTATGATCTAAATTTTGAGTCGTCAGACAGTACTAAATTATAGTAAAATCTATATCTGACTAAACTTTTCTGTCAATATAATAGTACTGACCAAAGCATAAGGTAACAAGTCTCACGTTTCAGAAAATACTATTCACCAAACGTTGTTAATATTCGAAACTACTATTTACATAACCATGTCACTCCTAGTTCCCGACTACTCGAGCTCCTCAGAAGACGAAGAAACTCTTCATGGATCTGATCCCACGTTACCTTTTGTATCAATAAAATCCGAATCATCCACTCATGACTTATCTTCTGATCCATTCAATACCGTTCCACATGAAATTATTCCGAATAAAAAGCACACGAAGAAGAAGAAGAATGTGAAGAAACCCAAGACAGTTCTCTACCTCCCACCAGCAATACAAAAACTACTAGAAACAGGAAGCAATGATGATAGTCTTCTTCTTTCTGATAACAGTGACGAGGATAATGAGATACTGATCAAGCACAAACAAGCCAAGAGGATGAGAAGTAAGCAGATGCGACCTGATACAGCTGAGAAACAATCGATCTTATCCTTTCTTCCACAGCCAAAGCACGAACTTTTAGTCTTGAATCATTCAAATTTTTATACTGAGGATGCAGTAGAAGAGAGAAAAGAAGAAAAGAATCAGAGACAGGATGTTCAAACAGATCAACAGTCAAGTGTCGAGGAAGCAAGTGCAGCCTGGCAGCAGTATTACCAGCAACAGCAGCAGTATCAGAACAGTGGTGCTGCCAATTTACAGGAATATTATGTTGCACAGGGAGAAGATGATGTGGCCGGGGGCAGCTCTAAACGCAGAAGAACACGGGAACGAGACATTGAGCGAGCACTTCAGGATGGCCACTTTGAGACTGTCGCTGGACAGATCACGGATGTACATGGTGTGATGCCTCATGCTTGGCAACCGCCAAGCAACACGTTGACAGGAGTGAATGGATCGAGCGATCAGCAAGTGAAAGTAAAGGCCAGCTTTTGGAACGCTCAGGCCGGCACGATGGTGTCAACAGTCAAGCCCAGCCGGCTGCAACGACAGAAACACCAGCTCAACCAACTTGCGTTTGATGCAAAAGCGCGTGACTTTGAGCTGCTGGAAAAGCGAGGCACATCATTGAAAACGAAGAGAGAGACATATGCCAAGTACGGCTGGTAACAAAAACAAATTTGCTGTCATCCAAAACTTAGCTAATACTTCAAACACAAACGCTTAACTGATGCCACTTGCAGACAATGTGTCCTGTACCTCGCTTCTTACGACACACTAAGATGTGCCATAGCTGCTGTCTGCTTCTCCGCATTAGGAGATATATCCTCGGCAGCTTCCGGCAGCCGCACTTCGTCATCTGCATCATCACCGTTTTCCTCTTCCTGCTTTTCCTGCAATAATTCTTCAGTGAATGCCTCCATCTCATGCTGCATCCGTGCCGTCTGGGCCTTGCTAACTTTGCCACGGTGACTGGCACCTAGTGTCTTGAGTTTGCGCTCGTTTTTGTAGTGCTTTCCAATTTCGCGCGGATAGACCTTCCGCACTAACACAAGATCAGGAAGTTCCTCCTTCAAAGATTGCGTTTGGCTAGAGCCAAAAATGGTGGACGAAAGATCGTACCCCTTGACTGTGTCGCCTGCAGCCAACACACCACCAAGATGCGTGCGTACCTGAAATGTCGTGTCATTTACGCCAAAATCACTTGCCCGAGCCACTTCCACGTCAGCAACGATGAATTTGGGCTTGAGCCCTCGCTCAGAGTCAGTTGCAGGGCCACCATGACGCAAGTCCCGTGGCTCCGCAGGCTCTACATCCAGTACAATAAACTCGACCATGTCGGAGCTGGTTGCCAGTGGTAAAAACGGCAGCTTCCAGTATCTGTCAGTCGGTAGCTCTGCCTTCTGTCCCGATATAGGATCCAACAGATGCACCATCGAAGTGGTGCGCGCACACAGTGTCACGTCCGAGATATTCCCACAACTTTGGGCACATTTCCTCGGCAACACCAGCAAGTCATCCTTGCAGATTGGACTTAGTTCAACGCTATACGTGTGTTGCAAGTTAGCTGTCGCATTGCGCACATTCTCCGAGATAAGCTTGCTGGAAGACTTGGATCGCATGGGAACATGGGCTGATAAGAAATAAATAAATTTTTCCGCCGTCGATTTCGTGCCAAAGTAAAAGTCCATGCCTTCTTTCACAGTCGTGATGCCAATAGCATCCTCATGCGCATTGTGCTTAAGAATCTCCTGTTCCAGTCTAAGAAATGTTCGTTTATGGTCGGCCTTCTGACGGATCTGCACAACGGCTCGCCACGTATTATTGTGATACTGCTTAGTACAGTCCGGACATTTGATCGAATTAATCACAAAAGTGACAACGCACGTGTTTTGAATCACAGCATGGTTCACAACCTCTCGCTGCAGTGTAAGTCGTAATTTAACCCGTTTCGAGTGTGGTTCCGTCCATATAAATCCTGCATCAATAATTTTCACCTTATTAAGACCTGGAATGCTCTTGAGGCAGAGCGCCATAAGTTCCTTGGACTCCCACTCACAATCAACCCACGCGCCAGAGTTGCTACTATATTGCTGCATTTTACCACGAGATTGAAAGCGTAAACATCCTCGACATTGTACCAATTCACACATTGTATTAATGCCTTCAGTTACATCCACTTCAGATGCAATACAAGACATACACATGTTCATAGCATTTGCTTCAATTTGAGTGCCACATATACAGCAGGAACTGAGAAAAGAAGACAGAGAGGGAGAGAGAAGAAGAGTAAATGACGATATAGTAATAGTAATACCAATATAATAGCAATATAATACTTATAAAATGTATCAATGATGATTATAAACGTACATGGCCATAATAATAATAGTATTAATCAAGCAAATGAAGAAAAGATGTTGAAATGTGAGTCGTCTGAATGTTGTTAATTTTGAAATGAAAGTGGGTTTTGTTTGCAATATGAGACTTTGCAAAGCCGAAGATTTTTGATTGGCTATTTATTCAATGTAAGCTGCAAGATATTAATAGTTGTTGTTGACAGTGACTTTATTACTAACGGTTGTGAGTCATGTAACGAGCAGCAGGTGTGATGTTGGAAGGCACTTGTGGTCGTGAGATTAGCAAAGAAGTAATAAAGTGATATGCTGCGAGAACTCTATACCTGCACGCACATGTATACGACATAATTAGGTCCTCCGAGATCTGACCGGCACTAGTTTCCGCAGACTAGCTTCAACATCAAACTCCAACGTGTTCGAGATTTTGAAGCAGTCTTGAGAACTGTAGTAACATGATTCTCGAACTTATCTTTCGTTATGCATTCACCTACCCTTTTACTCGCCATCTTTTCTGTCCAACAGATATGTAAATCCCGCATATCGTGTCGCACAACGTATGCACAATACGATTACAAAGTCAGCGGCCGCCATTCCCATCGTCGTCCCGCGCGCCTTGTGCGCAATTGTACTTACGACGACACTCTCCTTATCAATACAACTCCTCGGAACTGATCCGCGGTGGAATCCATATTGCTCCAGCTTATCATCAGCAGGTTGAGCAATGACAGCGCGCTCATCAACAGCTCTGTCGACGACTCTTAATGTATACTTCGACACTGCTCTTCGATAATAGCTCTGGCATTGCCACTCAGTCCAATTCTTGTAAAATCTACAAACTTTCGCAGTGTCTTTAAATTCTTGGATAGCAGACGTCTAGCTCAACCTTGATTTGAAGTCTTCACCCGAAGCGCAGAAAATGCTTTCGCGAGCAGGCTAGCAATCGTGTCCACGCTTGCAGCATATTGTAGCTCACGATCGCCTTCTTAGCGCAGTCCTGATTAAGCTTGTAACGGGGTGAGAGCATGTTACGTTTACTTACACTAAAGCTCTTACGAGGAAGCGTAAAGGAATACGCGTTTACATAACTCGTGATTGATATCAAATTCAACTCGTTTTTATACTTAAATTTCTATTTTTTAAGTAAGAGTGACCTCCGAACTTTGTGGGAGCCAATCAAATTAAAGGCCGCATCCTATTGGCTGAGAATGGCCCACTTATCAACAAATATGAATACGACCCGCCGTACTCGTTATATCGGGTACATCATTTGCCTACTTCTGTAGATATGTACTTAGCTAAGTCACTTATAAAGGTCTGCTAGATCGCACCTAGCAGGATGTGTACGGTGCACCCCGTTACACCCCGCACAAAAATAGCACACACCTTGTGTGCAAACAAATCTAACAGAAAGCACAAAACAATTACGAACGGTATCGTTGCCCTTGAAGCAGCGATCGCAGCCACCCATGATCACACGAGACGACACCACTTGCGTCACTTCACCAGAAAGCTTCGGAACGCGGACCCTGAAACCGTCATCCATGGCGGTGTTCACCAAACCACGATCATACGCGGAACCTCTTCATGTCTGGGAGCTATACGACTAAGTGGCATAGAACGTTCGCGTGGCGACCTTGACATGCGCGAAATGTGACATCGATGGAGACAGAAACGCGGCAAGCCAACCGTGGCTACACGCGCCGTGAGAAAAACTTCCTTCGACAAGTCTAGGACTGCATTTAGGCGCCGGTGGAATAATGAATCTTTGTTTGCAGATCTTGTGCCGATGCGTGAAGATCGACACCAGCGCTATGGCCTTGCATAGACTCGTAAAATCGTCTGCGAGTTGTCATGGGCTGATGATCTACCTACTTATACCGTGCACTGGCGCGAAGGCTGTAGAAGTTGTGAAGATCATGGTGCAGCGCGGCCTAACCGCTCTCGATGGACTACGATGCTCGAAAATTACCCGCTGAGTAATATAGAACACGTGGATCGGCAGATACGAGAGAAACCTTTTACGGGTACCGACACGCGCATCTATCGAGTCGAACAAACATAAATGTGCAAGATGACTTTTCATAAAACCCAAGAGCTCATTCCCGCGCACGGAGTCCTCCGATATCCGAGCTGTTCGACGCTCGCAATCTTGCTCAGCTCGCGATCGTAGCCGTTCACGATATCTGAAACATCCACCGAGATTTTTGTGCGAGGTTCTTGCAAGTCGATATCGGGAGGAATATCGATCCAGCGAACGCGGTAATATCGCGTGTTAGGAAGTGGCCGGATAGAACGTGTCCAGTGCCACTAACGATCTATAGCGTGTTCCTATGGTCCAGAATATACTTATCCAGCCGGCGTCGATTCTCGGTGCTATCAATCAATGGTGGAGAGCCATCACGCTATAATCTTACACGTAGCGCAGAATCTTGAAAGCAATACACCGTTTCCGAGCATATCATTCGCGGAGAAGATGCAGGAGTTCGATCGGTGGGCTTTCAAACCTCTCAAGGCTAACTTTACAAGCTTGTGCCTTTTGGTTGTAACAATTACGTCTTCAAGAGACCAGTATCAAAGATGCAGCGTTTCTTATACAAGGACTATGACGCTCTAGCAAGAAATGCTATTCAGAGCAGGTCTGACACTGTTTAAATGTTTATCTTCTAGTACTAAATATAGAAGTGTGGTGAAGCGTTTCAAGAATTGGTAGGTCAGAGGACCAGTGGGTCAAAAAGAAGGGGACCCGCCAAGGAGGAGCGACCGTTAGGTAAGAGACAGAGAGACGGGGTGCTAAAAAGGGACGGGAACGACCGTTGGATGAGGAGATTGTACGGTTTAAGCTTGCTACATTCAGAGGAGTTGTTTGCGGTTAGGCCAATGGAACGCGGTTCCTCGAGGTGGACCCCGGTCTGTCATTGGTAGACCTCGGTTTTCATAAAAATAGATCTTAAACCCTTCGGTCGGTGGACCCTCGGCCCCCCTGGACTCTCGGCTTCCCTGGACTCTCGGCCCCTCGGTCACCAGGCCTCTCAACCACTCGGTTACTGGGTCTCCTGGCCCCTCGGCAAGCAGAATCAAGAATCAGGTCTCGGGGGTGAAAATAGAGTAAAGAAGTTAACAGCTAGGACTATATTATATACTCAGTTTGCAATCTACATAGCACGCCTCCGTCGTGCTTCCAAGGTACTTACTTACCAAGTCTACCCACCTGTTCCGGGAAGGGATACGTTTCGGCCCCCCGTCGAAGACAGTTGTGTGGTAAGACCCAAGTGCGAATAGATCCCAAGGATATATTTGGCCTGTGGGTTTGTCTGCGTAGTACCCCCCAAATCAACCCGCTTTCGGAAGCGATCTCCCTACCCTAGTGGTCCGGGAGCAAGTAAAGTCCAGGAGGTTAACACCCCTGAGATATCAAGGAAGGAAAAGGCCAAGGTTGAGAATCTCCCCTGAAGAATTTGGTTATAAGTCCACCTCGACCTAGTCAACGCTGTACTTCTAATTTCTGATGAATTTGTATCGACCGAGTGGACACCTCCAAGGTTGACCTCTTTCAAGGCCGACATCACATCTCAACCAAGTCCTCCGAAGAGTGCAACCCGCCAGCCGACGGGTACACATGGTGAGAGAAGGTCTATACGCGGAATCGGGTTCCCCTCCGACAGTCGGCAGTCCGGCAAAGCGAGTGGCTTGGGGTCTCATTACGCAGTTTTGAGAACCCACTCCACCACAGAAGCACCCACTTATACGTAGTGTTAGTCACTATTGATTTGGCTATGTAGCCTATTTATATGTAAAGATGTAGAGTCACTATACTTAACTAAGTATAATGAACACGTGGCTCCATGCCATGATGCGACCCTTCGTATCTTAGGTACGGTCACATCAACTTACCAGGTACAGCCACACCACAATGATGTGGCAGATATGTATGTAAAATACACACCTTTGTGTAACTCCTTTACAGTCTTTGCACCATATAGACTCGAATTGTTACGACAAGAATTTTTCGTGTGCTCGTATTTCCCTGATCCTAGTGAAACGGGCTTATTTGCCATTTTCCAGTCGTACGCTTATCCGAAGACAGACTGTGATCTTTGGGTTCTTACAATTGCTGAGGGTATGAATTGAAAAGATGCTCCAAGTGAGAAGCCTCGTAGTGGCGCACAGTTGATTTCACATCAGCAGCTCTATCGGCAGCATTTAATTTAGAAGTAAGCGGAAACTAAAATAGCGCAGGATTGTGACTCACAAGATGGTCCTAAAGCAGCTAATAATAGCAAAGACACGCCGCATCCAGTTTCTGAACAAACAGAATGTCTTAGTTTTGCCGGAGATTGCGAGCTGTACAGGTATTGAGCGATGTTGCCGTATTGATACATGTGTAGCGTAAGATTCCGCCTCGCATCGTAACACAATGCATCTCGGACCCTAAAAGTAGCGCTTCGTGCTGGAACCTTCATCTTCATGTTGATGGGACTCAGTAATACCTCATTGTTAGATTCATACTAAACATTGCAGCAATCCGTTGCCGAACTAGCGAGCACGTGTTGATAAAAAGGCTGTCTGCTTTGCCGTTCCAAGCATGTTTGGTCAAAGTATACCACCAAGACCGCTTCATCCTTATCGACATGGAAGCTGCAAAGATTCAAATGGCAACATGTTGAAGACATTAGATGGGCCTAAAGCTCAACATGTAGTGATCCAGAAAAAGCTGCGTGCACAAAGTGACGCGTCCAGAGGGTTCAGATCGGGGAGTGAACGATGGACATTGTATAGATCTACGGATCAACTTGTAGGAGAACTGTTGTAGCAAAGCTACGCAAGCGCTACGTGCAGTGAAAGACTAGCTCCAGCGATTTACGCCTTAAGGCTCTCAAACATCTCAAGGCTAGCTTTACAAGTTTGTGCCTTTTGGTTGTAACAACTACGTCTTTAAGAGACAAATATCAAAGATGCAACTTCTTTTATACAAGGACTATAATGCTCTAGCAAGAAATGCTATTCAGAGCAGGTCTGAAACTGATTAGATGTTTATCTTCTAGCACTAAATATAGAAGCACCCACTCTATACTTAGTGCTAGTCGCTATTGATCTGGCTCTGTAGTCTATTATATTAATATGTAAACATGTATAGTCACTATACTTAACTAACCATAAGGCTCTCTGCCACGACTCGACCCTTCGTACCTTAGTTACGGTCAGCATCAACCTTCTTTGTACCCATGTTCAGCCATTCGAAATAATGAGGCAGTGTGTATATACGATACACACCTTTGTGTATCCCGTTACATTGAAGACATCCATCATTGTCTAGCCCAGTGACTGATTGATAAGTATATGGGTTGCAATATGCGTCAAATAATGGAAGCTAAATGGTAATCATATATCCAAGATTCAGCAACAGCGGGCTCGTCTATCAATATGTCGGTTGCAATTTAGCTTGACTTGTGTACGTTATAATGAAATCATATATTTACGTTCTAACAACAGTGAGCTCATTCATCAATAGGTGGTTGCAATTAAGCTTATGGTATGTCAGATATAATGTAATCACATATTCAAATTAACAACAGTGGGCTTATTTAAGACAGAAAATAGACTTTTTTTCTTTTACAAGAAGGGAAAGTCGACAGATTTCAACTTGATCGCGACTGCGTACTTCCGGTAACCCCAGATGGTCCTTACACGGCTTACCTTAACACAAAATCGTTCTGGACGAATATGTACAGCCAGTGCCTCGAACGTAGAAATCCATAAGGTTGCGCTGGAGTGGGGCATGAACAAGAAATCCATTAACGATTCGAAAGCTCTGGAAAGTGTGTCACCGTGTGGATACGGTAAGACCAATGAGGTTTGCTGCCATTGTAGTAGTCTTCTCCACGACTACAAATACAAAAGCTTTGCCTTTGTTTTCTCTTCTTGTTCACTCTTGATTCATCAGTGCTAGTGTGGTTAAAGCTGGATTTGTTCTTTGCAGTACTTACCAAACGCTATATTCCTTTCATTGTGTTGGAATAAAGCTAACAGTTTAACAAGTGAATTCTGTGGTAATTTGTTGCACGTACGAGGAATTCAAGGCTAGCATGAGTAATACATTCATTGATCACGGCGTTTAAGAGCGCTTAGATGCTGCAGTCGAATTGAAAATTGGTGCTAGTACCATCACATAAGTTAGTGGTCTTACTTAGGTTGTGTCTGCTCCATCGTTTCTAGCGTATTTTGACAGCATAAGAAACTTCAAACCATCTTTACAATTCATGTATTTACAGTAAAAGGATGATTATGTATATACTACACAATACGCACCATAAACTAGTATTTGCTTTTCTAATTACAATCGTGTGCCACTTGTTGCAATAAAAGCGGCATTTGTACAGAAAATAAATGACTGGAGCAGAGGATGATACGACTATTTTCAGAACATCATTGTTTTCCGAACGTCATAACCCTTTTGTTGTTATTTTGAATTTAGCCGCATCCATAACAGGAAGATCGTTCGTAATTATATAAGATCTGTAAATGAGGAATACAATGATGATCAAATCTTTCATTTTCAGACTAGAGTTTCTGAATCGAGGCGGTTGAAACTGCCTTTAGCGATGAGAAATTTACTCTGAGTATTTCCACTAGTATATAAAGTACAGACTGTAAGTGTATATATGTTACTAAGTATTTCGTGGAAAGAGATGATGAATTTTTACATTCTATTAACCATCTTTCGGGACTGATATTCCAAGTATTTGATGCATAACAAACCAATTCTGATCTTTTCTTTATAGAATATTATTCCTTGCTTCTCTATAGTCTTTCATTCTAAGTAATTTCTTCGTACTTCACTAGAAGGATCCGGATCAGGATACGAACGACGTGAACAAGTGTTTGCAATTGATTTACTAATTGCAGGAGAAAATGTGCAAGCACAAAGATACGTACAATCGTTTCAATGTCATGATCTTTGGATTCATGGGTGGACACTTTGATCAGCAGATGCAGAACGTCAACGCAATGTTCCAATGGAGAGACAAGTTCCAAAAGATTGTATGATGTCAGAGTAGACTACAGTGAGGTTACTAATGCCTGACATTTGGCATGCCATTACACCTAATTTCGATTTTGAAACGCGTACATGCGGTATGATTCCAATTGCAGGACCGTGAAAAGAAATAACGACGTCGGAAATGAAGTGGAACCTGAGTCCGGGATGGAGACAGGCTTTGGTGGTCTCCATCCCCCGACTCAGGTTCCACTTCATTAGTTGCTCTGATTACGTAAAAGATTTGACTAATCAGGTGGAGGTGGTAACATCGCATCCGACGATAGAGCTAAAGAAGAAGTAGCTTGAGTTAAAATCAAGGGTAACATATGATAAGATCAATGAATTAATCAATCACGTCTTATATATGAAGCAATAACTGGAAGACTCCATTGAATTCGAATGGCCTTGTAACATACATGATTATGTATATACTACACCATACGCACCATAAACTAGTATTTGCTTTTCTAATTACAATCGCGTGCCACTTGTTGCAATAAAAGCGGCATTTGTACAGAAAATAAATGACTGGAGCAGAGGATGATACGACTATTTTCAGAACATCATTGTTTTCCGAACGTCATAACCCTTTTGTTGTTATTTTGAATTTAGCCGCATCCATAACAGGAAGATCGTTCGTAATTATATAAGATCTGTAAATGAGGAATACAATGATGATCAAATCTTTCATTTTCAGACTAGAGTTTCTGAATCGAGGCGGTTGAAACTGCCTTTAGCGATGAGAAATTTACTCTGAGTATTTCCACTAGTATATAAAGTACAGACTGTAAGTGTATATATGTTACTAAGTATTTCGTGGAAAGAGATGATGAATTTTTACATTCTATTAACCATCTTTCGGGACTGATATTCCAAGTATTTGATGCATAACAAACCAATTCTGATCTTTTCTTTATAGAATATTATTCCTTGCTTCTCTATAGTCTTTCATTCTAAGTAATTTCTTCGTACTTCACTAGAAGGATCCGGATCAGGATACGAACGACGTGAACAAGTGTTTGCAATTGATTTACTAATTGCAGGAAAAAATGTGCAAGCACAAAGATACGTACAATCGTTTCAATGTCATGATCTTTGGATTCATGGGTGGACACTTTGATCAGCAGATGCAGAACGTCAACGCAATGTTCCAATGGAGAGACAAGTTCCAAAAGATTGTATGATGTCAGAGTAGACTACAGTGAGGTTACTAATGCCTGACATTTGGCATGCCATTACACCTAATTTCGATTTTGAAACGCGTACATGCGGTATGATTCCAATTGCAGGACCGTGAAAAGAAATAACGACGTCGGAAATGAAGTGGAACCTGAGTCCGGGATGGAGACAGGCTTTGGTGGTCTCCATCCCCCGACCCAGGTTCCACTTCATTAGTTGCTCTGATTACGTAAAAGATTTGACTAATCAGGTGGAGGTGGTAACATCGCATCCGACGATAGAGCTAAAGAAGAAGTAGCTTGAGTTAAAATCAAGGGTAACATATGATAAGATCAATGAATTAATCAATCACGTCTTATATATGAAGCAATAACTGGAAGACTCCATTGAATTCGAATGGCCTTGTAACATACATGATTATGTATATACTACACCATACGCACCATAAACTAGTATTTGCTTTTCTAATTACAATCGCGTGCCACTTGTTGCAATAAAAGCGGCATTTGTACAGAAAATAAATGACTGGAGCAGAGGATGATACGACTATTTTCAGAACATCATTGTTTTCCGAACGTCATAACCCTTTTGTTGTTATTTTGAATTTAGCCGCATCCATAACAGGAAGATCGTTCGTAATTATATAAGATCTGTAAATGAGGAATACAATGATGATCAAATCTTTCATTTTCAGACTAGAGTTTCTGAATCGAGGCGGTTGAAACTGCCTTTAGCGATGAGAAATTTACTCTGAGTATTTCCACTAGTATATAAAGTACAGACTGTAAGTGTATATATGTTACTAAGTATTTCGTGGAAAGAGATGATGAATTTTTACATTCTATTAACCATCTTTCGGGACTGATATTCCAAGTATTTGATGCATAACAAACCAATTCTGATCTTTTCTTTATAGAATATTATTCCTTGCTTCTCTATAGTCTTTCATTCTAAGTAATTTCTTCGTACTTCACTAGAAGGATCCGGATCAGGATACGAACGACGTGAACAAGTGTTTGCAATTGATTTACTAATTGCAGGAAAAAATGTGCAAGCACAAAGATACGTACAATCGTTTCAATGTCATGATCTTTGGATTCATGGGTGGACACTTTGATCAGCAGATGCAGAACGTCAACGCAATGTTCCAATGGAGAGACAAGTTCCAAAAGATTGTATGATGTCAGAGTAGACTACAGTGAGGTTACTAATGCCTGACATTTGGCATGCCATTACACCTAATTTCGATTTTGAAACGCGTACATGCGGTATGATTCCAATTGCAGGACCGTGAAAAGAAATAACGACGTCGGAAATGAAGTGGAACCTGAGTCCGGGATGGAGACAGGCTTTGGTGGTCTCCATCCCCCGACCCAGGTTCCACTTCATTAGTTGCTCTGATTACGTAAAAGATTTGACTAATCAGGTGGAGGTGGTAACATCGCATCCGACGATAGAGCTAAAGAAGAAGTAGCTTGAGTTAAAATCAAGGGTAACATATGATAAGATCAATGAATTAATCAATCACGTCTTATATATGAAGCAATAACTGGAAGACTCCATTGAATTTGAATGGCCTTGTAACATACATGATTACGAAAACCCATTTGAGTTGGCCAAGGGATTTTCGCCGCTTCATGGTTGGCCAAGCACGATTAACATTTTGAAGCATCGCCATCCGAATGTCATGCGGTAATGCGTCTTCAAAATTTAAGAGTCCAACCTCCTTGGCCCCGGTTTTGACGGTTGCCGTTAGCTGTCCAAGCTTTGACGTTGTCTCTGCAAGGTCTTTTTCAGTCGCTCCGTGCGCGATTGCCATGGCAGGCAATTCCCGGAAGCCGGCGTTGCAACCTCCTGCAGTCCTGAGCTATTAATTGTCGCTGCAAACGTCTGAGGCACATGAGTTAGCATTGATCCTGGGGGAACCACTTCCGAGGAGCCGACGCAGCTAGCCTGCACCAATTTTGAAAACTTAGCCTTACATTTGTCTGGCGACTGAGCAGAAGATGCCCCTTGGACTTGTGGAGGCTGTCCCCGCTCCAGACCTGTCACAAGAATTTTATCCTTAGTTGAAAAGAGGCGCGGCTGCGCCGGAGAGACCGTGTCCCCGGATATGATGCTAGGACACTCGAAATGCTTGGCGCTGCGGGCGATGGGGCCGTTCGGGTGTCGGTGTCAGGTGTTCGCCGGTTGCCACGCTGATTTTCTCCCGAAAAGTGCCCTTTCCAATGCTTGTCGAAGGTTTTATGGCGCGTCTCTGGAGATACCATCCCTTTTGCGCTCTGTGGGTAAGCCACGGCTGTGGCTCCCTGGGTTCTGGTTGTATATCGACGCCGGAAGATAATATGCCTTATTTCCGATCCACCGGTTTTGAAATTCGCTGCGGCTCTCGATTAGAATCCTGCAGACCGGAAAGTTGTGGGATAGCAGACGCCTGAGTGATGTACTTGGTGGCGCCTAGATCAGGCGGTGGTCGGCAGTAAGGACGCGCACCGTGTCCCTAAGTTCTTGAAAGCTCGCGATTGGACGTGTAGTATCGCCTAGATCGGCGATGTCCTGTTCCGCAACGACGATGGCCCCAGGCTCCCATATTTGAGCGTCAGAAAAACTGCAACGCGCAATCGGAAGTCCAATGTTACCGCACTGGAGACATTGAAATTGGCGCCCAACGTTTGGAAGAGGAATGATTCAAATGGCCCAAACCACATGATTCTGACCATTTCTTGTAGGAAAAACGGGCACTTTGCTAACTGGGAAGTTAGTTTCCACATCGTTGACGATCTGGACGCCGCTGTGCACTAGTCCATATCTTTCACTTCGAGTGGGGTCTGAATTTTATGACAAAGGAAAGCCGTAAGCTTCCCGATGTCGTGAAACCGGGTCAAATTACGAATACAGACCGTATACTACGCCTGCCGCCGCAGTTGTTTCCCATCTGGACCACGCTGGAGGTCCCAAACTGTGCCTTGGTGTGGTCGATGCGGGTTCGTTAGGGAATAGCTTCCAATCCAAAACGGAATAGCCACACGTTGATGCTTCAAAGCCGTTTCTCTAGTAAAGAAAAAGAAATGAATTGACTTTGTCACTTTGTCACAGACAATCTGTTCAGTCTTGCTTATCAGCGCATAAAGCGCTGACAAGTTGCTTCGTACCAATTCAGCCGATTCAAGTATCGTGGCGATGATGCTGTGAGTACTTTGACGAGTGACTCGAAATATAATGATGACGTTGTAACGTCATTACTATCTCTCCCTCCACATGTGCGTGTATCGTATTAAAACAGCCGAATGCGTTCGAAACTGTCCATTATACTCTGCACGAAGGACGGAAGTGTTCGGCACGTTATAGATTTTTCTTCAAGACCCTCGATAATTCTCCATTCATCGTCGGAACCATCACGGTAAACAGAACCGAAATTCTCTTTAAATGAAGTTTTGCAAACAAGTGTCAGCTTCGCTATCTCGTCCTGCTGGTACTTAGCCGGATTAAAGATAAAGCGCGAGTACGTATGTCGTGACGGAGTAGGAAAGCACCCGGTAGCTGCCTGAATGCCTTGTTTTACCTTAGCCGACCACTGAACCAAAACAGGTGCTTGCTCCCATTTGAGTCGGCTTGCGTGCTTGCGAAGGATCTCCAAAAGTGCTCATTTCGTCACGTGCAGGTCCTTGATCACTGGTTGGGGTGTTCAATTCTATGCCTTTCCACCTTGATTTCCGAAGATGCAAGCTTGTTCAAAAAAAGTAACTGATCCGAATCGCTCTGCTCTGATCAAGCAGGGCTAGTGTTGCCGTTTGACGGGTTATTTAGCCTTGTTACCTGAAAATTTTTCCGATTTTCTTGTGTACATCACCTGTATGAAGTGAAGTTAGCAATCCAGCGGCCCCTCGCCGGGGCGGCCTTCATCTCATCCACTAAGGCTGCATGAAGATCGTTGTCGTCATTAACAAGAGGGTTTTTAGGTAATCTTGTTGCGTTGCGATAGAATTTGACATTAGCACAAGGAAACCGAAAGTTGAAGGGGAAAGCGGCCGAGCGGGTCTATTAAGTCGCGAACAATCAGGTCAACATTCTAATGGTGCTCGACGGTATCAAGCCGTGCGCGGAGGAATATATGTTGCTCGGGCTGAAATTACCGAATGACGCACATGTTACGTCTACGGTGAGACTGGACACATCAAAACCAAGTGTCCCAAGCAAAGAAGTAGTGAAAGTGCAACGTCAAATCGAGTCGCGTTAGCTATTGGGATTGGTACAAACGCTGATGTCGACTCGTGGGTTTTAAAAAGCGGCTCGATCGTTCACCTTATGAAAGATATGAAGATGCTTAAGAACACAATGGTTTGTGATCAATTGTTCCGTGCGGCAAACAATCGAATGGTTCGATCCACTAAGAAGGAAAGGCCAAGCTGAGGACTTCTGTCAACGGCAAGGAGGTTATAGTTGACCTTATCGAGGTTTACTGTGCTGAAATCCTTGCTGATAATATCATCAGCTATGGGACATTGGAAAAGCGTGGTGTATTTTTCAAGCGAGATGTCAGTAAAAGCTACGTGATGCGCCATGAGGACAGATAAAGATATTTGAGGTATTCCGCCGCAACCATATGTTAACAGTGGACGTCATGAAGTAGAGAATAAAGAAGGCTCAAACTCAAGGTGTCACCTCAGCCGTGCTACAAGGTTACGATGGGATTGATGAAGCTTTAACGAATACAGCTTTAGTGGAGATGCATCAGAGGCTTGGTCATCTTGGCTTTACAGGCTTATTCTGTCGGACCGGCTTCGAACTTGATGCTCCACGACATCTTAATGTCCCTGTGTTTTTTTCAGTGCTAAACGGACAGTTTCCTATACATCTAGGATAATAGTGATGGTTAAACACTCGTGGTTATGTACGTAGATGGCGTCCTGACGACGGCAACAAGTATTCAGAAGGTCAGATATTTCTTCGATGACATGCAAGTGGTTGAGCTTAAGAACCTTGGCGTGGTGTCCAAGTTTTGTCGGTATACTGTTACTTACGATGAAGAGACTGGATACAAACTCACCCACGAAAATGTAATTGATGACATGCTCAAGAAGTTTAGATTAGTCGAGTCGGCACCGGTCAGAGCGCCGATCGGCGAAGAAGACGGAGACGGAGAAGGTGTGCTTTTGCGTTCGGTAAAAGTGGGTCTCGGAGAAGCCGACTATGCAGATGTTTCAGTCTCTGATTGGCATTATCTATGTATTGCTCGATGCACACGACTAGGAATAGCCTTTGCACTGCATCGAGTGGCTCGTCGTTCACACGCGCCGAGTAAAGGCGACTGGCGTCTTGCAAAGAAGATCGCAAAATATCTCAATGACACTGTATAAACTGCAGTTCGTGATTAAGGGGGATAAAGAATTAATATGGGACGACGTGTTTATATTGTGGGTGGCCTGGATGTGCAAAAAACAGAAATGTGTTGCGTTGTCAACGAAGGAAGCCGAGTTTGTGTCGGTTTCGCAAACAGCGGCTGAGATGATGGGCATCGTGGAATTGCTTTAGGAAAGCGGCGTGCCGTTTCATACAGGTTCGACTTTACACGTCCAAGCAGCGATCGCTTAAATCACGGGTAGACGACATTCTGGGCGAGCGAAGCACATCGATGTGCGATACAAGTTAATCAAAGATTAAGAGAAAAAGTGGATGCTCCAGGTGAAGTATTGTGAATCAAAGAAAAATGCGGCATACATCTTGACCAAGACGCTCCCAGCCCCACGACTCTGCAAGCTACGTGGGCTGATGATGCTCAGTAGGTAATTTCGCCCACATGGGAAGGAGTCTTGAAACAGTGCAACTGCTGATGTGACAGGGCGCGACTATTCATGCAAAAGGACATAAGCGATGGTGAAATGACGTGACCATTGGTATGGACAAAGTGATTTGAAGAAGCCTACTCAAAAGAGACTAAAGGTTGTGGACAGTGACGGTAACGGACATCGAAAGTAACTAAGAAGATATGCTCATATACAGTTAGCCCTCAATCTATTTCCTCTCGCGTAGCTGAAATCAACAAGCACCTTTTGAGTCAACTGAAGCTGACGGAATTTGAACTGACATCAAGTTGGATCTGATCTCCCAGCGCATCAAATTTCCTCCTATTACCTGAGATAACGGGCACTGCAAGTCTTTTCCTATTTGTTGATAAGTAGGACCCAGGCCCATTATTATCAAATTAATAGGATTCGACCTTTATTTTGAGTGGCTCCTATGAAGTTCAGAGACCACTCGTCCTTAGGATAAAGCATGTAAATATAGGAACAAATCTAAATTTGATAGTATTTATGCGTTCTGTATATGGCAGGCAGATCTGATTGGATAGTAATTATGCGTTCTGTATATGGAAGTCCTATGCTTCTTTGGAAGACTTTTAGTGCGAGTAAAAGTAACGGGATCCTACCCCGTACACCTGGTAGCATTATGTATTCCATTACACGAATATGAGCGCTCAGCATATTAAGAGCGCTGATAGAAGGATGTTGGAACATGACGACTTCCAGCATCTGACCTTTTGCGAATGGGAAGCTCTGCTTCACCAAGCGGACATGGCCGGTGAATATACCCAGGTCGCCATGTTCAATGATACGTCTGAGCGGCTAAAGCTTAATGCAACTTGAGACTTCGTCAATTGCGAGCTCGCCAACTTGCGCCGGCGAGCTTCAACTCCCGCGGTTGCCACGGGGTCTGACGTCGTCAAACGTCGACGTCTCGTGCTACATCGGCTAGAGACCGAAGCGCTTTGCGCTTAATTAATGGATCTGAGAGGTGGACATCGCTTCTTAAGCCCTTCAGTTCGAGTCAGAGTTTGAACGCATATGCCTCCAAGAAAAGGTTAATCGCTGAGACAGCCGCAAATTGGTGGTGCTTATAAGCGGAATGATCACCTGTCCGGGAAGCACGATATTCTCGTCTTTAAAATTGAAGGACGGATTTTATTAGATTTTTATGCGGCCTTAAGATGTTCTACTCACTGCACTCGGCATGCCTAGTAGCTTGTCATGCCGTAGGGGCCTAAGAACCCCCTGCTACTCTCAAACGCATCGGTTTCTATATGCTTCGTCCATGTCGCGACTTTGCGCTGATAAGATTGACGACATTTCGTGCATATCCGATGGCGCGACAAAATTGGACGTGCAAAAGTTATTGAGGCGATGCGGGAAAATAAACTGTACGCGAACTGGAAAAAATGCAATTTTTTGTGCCCTATGAAATTCGGAGCGGGGCAGTTAAGTGAGCGCGACGGGTGTTCGAGCTGATCTTGAGAAAGTCTCATTCATTTTTCTTTCGGGGTTTTAAAGGACCAGAAACATCTTCGACAATGGTTAAGTCTGCCCAACTACCTGCATTACTACGCTAATAACTTTGCGGTTGCGATTCATCCGTTGTCACAGTGATGAAGTAGGACGCCACGTGGGTGTGGGCATCAAGAGCATTAAAATGCATTTGATGAGATCAAGACGAGGCTGTATACAGCGCCCGTGTTAGTGCTGCCATATTATGACGCGCCATTTCATGTCGTCTATGACGCAACGGATTTTGCAAATAGGCTGCGCGCTTATGCAACACGATGAAGCGGGCCAGGAATGCGTCAAAAACTACCATTCTCAGCAATTATGCCTGCAGAGCACAAGTATGTCGTTTATGACAAGGGTTGCTTGTAATGCGCTTTGCGCTTGTGGAGTTACGCAATAATTTTCTCGGAGAGCAGAAATTTTCCATCTACACAGACCACGCGTCTCTGCACCGTCACAAACAGTCCGCAACTTAGCCAGCTCATGGCGCGCTGGTTGACGTTCTCTTGCGAGTACACCTGTTTCGTACACTACAAGCCTAGATTGACCAATATCATTGCCGATGCGTTGCCGCGGCGTTTTCATTACGCTTCTAAAGCAGATGCTCCAACTTCCACCGTCACAGACGGGTGATGACGACTGTGCTGCATGCGTCACGCTTACATTAATGCCACGGCTGTGTAACACTATGCGTTAATTCTGCGAAGCATATTCCCGCAAGAAGTTATATACGCCGATCGTCAGGTATTGAACAAACCCTCGGATGACGCGCTGCGGTCGCTCCCATGTTCCACTCGTGCACACAATACGCGCTACGATCTTTATGGAAAGTTTCTTACCTACCAGACCGATCGATTCGGCTCTCTACGTACCGTCATCCCCAGTGACAATCTTCGCGGACATATTATCCCAGCGCAACATGACAGCGCGTCGAGCGGCCACTTGGGCTACAAGAAGATGTATATTGCGCTGTCTCTGTACTTCTGTTGGCTCCATACACACAAGTCATTAGACAAAAGAAGTGGATAAAGGAAAAAAGTAGAAGTGAGTGTATAAAGCAATTCCTGCCTTTATGCCTTGTGCTTTCATAAATAGCCTTGCTTAACGTATCCCATGAAAATCTTAGAGTGGGCAATCAACGTCGGTCATGAAACAGTCCATCTGAAACCAATAGATCGATGATGGTCTCGTAATGTTCCACCCAAAACTAATACAAGTGGGTGCGCAAGGGGTTCATTCCTCTGAACTTGTCAGCTTGTGAAACTGATTCCGTCGTCACAGGTGCCACTTTGTATGGTCCCGATAACAACAGAGTTTTGTAGCTTTGTAAGCATGAAGTTCATGCTTGATCTACCCGCCAATGCGCAGAGGCGTACCGTCATTTTAGTGATCGTCGACCTGGTTAGTATGATGGTGCATCTGTCAGCCATTGCAGCGTCTATTACTGCGAAAGAGACGGCGAATCTCTTCCTCGGCCTGGTATCAGCATCATGGCATGCCTGCCACGATTGTTTTGGATCGAAATCCTCGATTTACAGCTTCATTTTGGTCAAGGCTTTTTAAGATCCTCGGCACCCGTCTGATGATGTCTACCGCACTTAACTTGAGACGAAAGGATAGACTGGTCGGCTCAATCGCGTATTGCAGGACGGGTTACGCAGCTACGCTACATCGTTTGCGTCGTGGATCTCGTTCCTTTCCATAGCTAAGTTTGTGCTAGATAACTCAGTCTACGCTACGGCAGGGTAAAACTCTTCTTCGTGAGCAACGCGCGCCATTCACGCGTTCCAATTCTTATATTGACCGACTTGTTCTACTCTTGTTGGGGGTAGACACCAGATGGCTTGGTGTCGGCGGATTCTTCTCAGGTATACCTCGCCACAATCGTCTATGCTACTCTCAAATATTGATTGCCGCAGAGCGTTCGGTTGTCCGATTTTTTATTTCACAGCAATTGAAGTGTTCGTGAAAAATGGCAGTCCGTCTTTCGATTTGAGCGCGACGCTATCGATTTTGCCGTAGACAACTAAAGACGTCCGCTGATCAACGCGAACGCAAGGACCTTGAGAAGCTTAATGTTGGTATTCTAGTGATGCTTCTTATTAAAGGAATACGTTTGTTACGAATAATTATGCTACATATCAAACACCGCGATATATGGGTCCATTGAAAACCACTCAAGTCAAGGGTGATGCCTACGCACTAGATATTTCTTCATCGATGCGGTTCCATTCAGTATTCTATTGGTCGTCTTAAGCGTTACTGGCCGGCGGTTCTTCCGATGACGGTTGACTCACCGCGAGTGCGTATCGTGGTCTTCGATAACGTGGTGCTCTTGTCTGATCATCCGGCGCACCCCACGCAACACTGCGTTGTATCAACGATGAGCGGCATTCGATCGTTCCAGACGCTCAACCGCTGTGCAAATCCAGCAATCGCAGACAAAGTTTCTCAGCAAATCTCTCCGCAGTCTCGGCTAGATGACGCGCCTGACTCGCATTATGTCAACAAAGGTCATCCGCCGATCGACCATCTGCAGATGCTCCGATAATTTGGCTGGTGTTGGCGCAGGACTTGCAAGCTTCTTCCTTACGTGTAAGATTACAGCGTGAGAGCGCTTCACCATTGGTTGATAGTGTCGAAGATCGGAGTTGGTTGGACCGTCGTATTCTGGACCATAGAGGCCCGTTTATTCGGCCACACATAAAATGGAACATTACTGCGCTCGCTGAATCGATATTCCTCCCGATAGCGACTTGTACGAACCTCGCACAAAACTCTTGGCGGACGTTTCAGATTCGTAAGCGGTTACTATCGCGAGATGAGCGAGATTGTGAGCGTCGAGCATTTTGCGATATCAAGAGACTTTGTGTGCGAGAACGAGTTCTTGTGTTAGGTGAAAAGTCACCTTTAAACAGTCATGTTTGTTCGACTCGATGGATGTGTGCGTCGGTATCCGTAGAGGTTTCTCTCATATCTGCCGATCCACGTGTTCTATATTAGACAACGGGTAATTTACGAGCATCGCCGTCCATTAAGTGCGGTTGGAGACTCACTACATCATTTTCATCACTACTTCGACAGCCTTCGCGCCAACGCACGGTACAAGTAGGTCGATCAGCAGCCCATGACGACTCGCAGACGATCTTACACGTCTCGGCGCGGCCTTATCGCAGGCGTCGTTCTTCACGCATAGACACAAGATCTGCACAAGAAGGTTCAGTATTCGACCGGCGGACAATGCGGTCCAAGGCCCGTCGAGTGTAGTTTACGTCATGACGCGCGTAGCCACTATTGTCTTGCCGTGTTTCCGTCTCTATCGGCGCCAATGACGCGCATCTCATGGTCGCCACGCGAACGTTTGATCCTAATGCAGTCGTATAGCTTTTTAGACGCGAAAGAGGTTCGAGTTCTGGTGTTGTCTGTCTGGTGATGCGACACAAGTGGTGTCGTCTCGTGTGCTCATGGTAACTACAATCGCTGCTTCAAGCGCAACGATACTGTTAGTGGTGGAAGTTTTTATTGTTTTTTCTCTAGTTATCTTTCGCACACAAGGGTATCTGCTAGACTGTGTGGGAAATGGATTTTCGGGGTGTATCAATACGCATCCTGACAGATGCGATGTAGCAGGCCCTTACATAGTTAGGCGTAGCTAAGTACACATATTACATAACTAGGTAGACGCTGTACTTGAAAGATTAGGTGTTGCGTTTCGTGTTTTTATTCGTTAATAATTGGAAGCTGGGCCCATTATCAAACAATAGGATGTGACCTGTATGTGCTCCCACGAAGTCAGAGAGCACTCGTGCTTAGAGTAAGCATTATAAATATTAAACGAAGTTGAATTCGATAATGAACACCTTAAGCTTCGCCGTGTAAGCTAACGTAACGGGATACTGCCCCGTTACACACGTATACCCTTCCCAGCGTTTTACGTCGACCCGCTTCGCAAGATACTACATTTCGCCCTCCCGTTTTTCGAGCTTCACTCAGCGCTCTACTTCGCAAATTTGGTTGAACGGTTCCTCCACAGCGGATCGTCGCGCTCCAAGAATGACCTTATTATTCGCTCGCGGGTGACTCGTCAGTCGTGACCAGCTGGCTGGCGATCATTGCGCTAGCAAGCATCACCAATTTGTGGCTTTCTCGGCTGTTAACCAATTGCTTTAGAGGCAAATACCGAAGTGATGTATCAATATAGATCCTTAGTTCTTACGTCTACCATGTTGCTTCCAAGCCTACTTCTACGAGCCGTTTCCATTGTACGAGAAACGATATCGTACCTACGTAATCTCATCACCGTATGGTAATCATCTGGTAATCAGTCTTACTTGCTTACTGCTGCACTGCACCTCAAATGTAACAAACGCTAATTTTATGTTCCGAGGGTAGCGAGTCACGACCGATGACCAACATCCTGCAAAGGTAGGCATCCATATCCATCGACATGCGGTGGACAGGCAAACGAGTTAGTGGTCTTTAGCTGCCTTTGCCACCTTCTTAAGCGCTGATAGAGGCATAAATAGGACTGAATTGTAGGAAAAGATAATTTAGCTAGAAAGTCGTGCTGGCCTGCTATCCATTCTAGCGCGTCGTACACGATCCATCTATTTGTGCAGATCCTGCACTCTCTGGTGAAATATACATGTTGGAGATAAGGTACGCAATTGCACCGCTGAATGAACATTGGACGGAAAGATGAGTTACGGAATAACTTCCCTAATGAAGGTGTAGGATTTTGGATGCGTAGAACGCCAGTTATTGGTCACAGTAAGTCAGTAAGTCGGGTAAAGTGAGTCTAGTATGAAAGAAGAGTGGTTTGAGGGTAGTAAGCGAGGTCGGCGAAATTAGTACCTCGCCCTGAAACCGCACCTTGAACCACCTACTTTACTGCTTTCAACCGATACTGTAGCACCCGGATCCCTATAGTATTGCCTCCGCAGCAGCATTAGTGTCTAGCTTTAGCGTCTTGGGCTTTTTAATCTGTTAAAAGGCATTTGTGCTCAAGAAAATGAGAGACAAAGTAATGGCTACATATTTACATAGGTTATAGATGACGTGAAATGGCTACAGGCTTTATTGCTAGCTTTGTTCATGTATTCAATTGGTAAAATTAGTCTCATTTCGAAAGATCTCAAGATCTCCTCTTTCTAATTTCTTGTAGCCAATCACGTGTTATCATACGTATCTCCAGCTATGACTTGTCCATTTTGCTCACTCTCTTATTCGTACGTCATGATGTTTACTTCCTCTAACGAACATTTGCCCATATTGCCACTTACGAGATCTGGTATAAAACAGAAAAATGTGCATCCTTTACCCATATTAACCGGCTATTTAGCTTTATTCTCTGCTGTAATCGTTCTATGTACAGTCCTAATTACGCCTTTCCAGTCCCGTAATTTACTCCCAGTAACAACAACAACTACCGCTCTTGCTACTCCTTCTCCTCCTTTTCCGTTCTATCGTAATCAATCCAGTTCTTTATTATCCTTATGTCACGAACACTACCTTGTCCAAGAATTAGATCATTTTCGAGCAAATCAGAGTCTAAAATCCAGTCCCGAGACATTTAATCAACGGTATTTTATCTGTCAACCTCACCTCTTTAATCCCGTCAATGGCTCAATCTTTATCTATCTTGGTAATGAAGCTGATGTGACGTTATATTTGAATCATACTGGACTTTTATGGGAAAATGCCGCCACATTTCATGCACTCCTTGTCTTTGCTGAACATCGATACTTTGGTCACTCAATTCCATTTGGTTTGAATGTCTTAACCCATCCTATGGAATATCTATCAACACAACAGACATTAGCGGATTATGCTATCTTGATTGAAACTATCAAAGAGCATTTCGCACCAAATGTGCCTGTAATTGGTTTTGGTGGGTCCTATGGTGGAATGCTTGCGACATGGTTTCGAATGAAATATCCCCATCTAATTGATGGAATTATTGCCAGTTCAGCACCAGTACTTGGATTTCTAGGTGATCAAGACCATCCAATGGATCCACAAGCTTTTAATCGTGGTGTGACCTTTGACATGTCCATTGAAACAGGCGCGTCATCAACTTGTAGTGTCAATCTCCGACGTGCATTCAAGTTGATTCTAGATATGAAGAAAACCAAGTCTGGACGTCATCAATTGACTCAATGGCTGCGATTATGTGATGAAGACGTCGTACGAGCAAATGACAATCGTATTATTACTTATGCCATGGAAGCTTATGGGTACTTGGCTATGGGGAATTATCCCTACCCAACCTCTTATATTATGGATGGAAAGATCGAGTTACCAAGCTATCCCATGCGTGTCGCTTGTGAACCTTTTGCTCGTGAATTTGCACTCGATGAACAGGAAGAATTGATTCAGGCTTTTCGTCAAAGTATTGCCGTGTACTACAATGCTACAAAGACAGAGACCTGCTTTTTCCCAATCGCTACTGTGTCTCGTACGAACGAATCCGATACGTTGGATGCTGCAAAGCAGGCGAAGATTGACCAAAAGGGTAATTTTTGGGGTTATCTCGAGTGCTCGGAGCTTTATATGCCCACAAGTTCAGACGGAGTGAACGATGTATTCCCTGCAATTGCTGTGAACCAGTCGCGCGACGATGCTGACTGCTTCGAGCAATGGGGAGTGCACTTGAAGCCGCACTGGGCACACACTGAGTATGGTGGTATAAAGGCCTTACGCGCCGCGAGTAACATTGTCTTTAGCAATGGCAATTTTGATCCATGGTCCGGCCTAGGAGTGCTTAAATCCCTCTTACCTTCCGTCGTAGCTGTGTCGATTCCTGGAGGTGCACACCATCTCGATTTATTTTTCACGCACCCACTGGATCCTCCTGCTGTCACTGAAGCTCGTAAGACGGAATTAGCGTACGTGCGCCAGTGGATTGAAGAATTCTACGCAAATAAGCGAAAGAATGCCAAGATCGATCTTTTGCGCGCGTGAAGAGCTACCGGTCAACATATACGCTGTCACAAATACTGTCAATCATCGTAGCTATGCAACTTTTGCGAGTTGCTTCAGAGTAGTTGGTACACTGCAATGACAGATATCAACAAGAACAACGATTCAAATGCTTTTTTCCTTCTAGTGCTGACATCGTGACATTGTCAACGAGCTTTTTGCTTGGGGTTTCCACGTCATCGATAGCTGTTGCGATCTGTTTCTTCGAATCGCTTATGTAGTAAGGAGATAACGAACGCTGAGCTCTTGCTTGTTTCGTGCATGACCATAAGTTCCCAGCATTTGCCAACTCATCATCTAGTTATCACTCAAAACTACTGCTGACTCGAGCTCGACTTGTACAATCAACATCGCAACTACATCACTATCGACTCATTCATTATCAAGTAATTTCACCTGCTTACTAGCGTGCAGAAAGCTCTAGCACAAATCTTACTACTCCATCAGATCTTCGTCCTCTTTATCGCCTCGAAGGCCTACCGAGCTCGACTTGCTGTCAACAACAACCGACACAAGGCCACAATCATTATCATCGCTCCGATTCGGCTTTCGTTTGCCGGCATTCAACTCCGTTCCTCCTCATCAAGATAGCGCATATCAATCCTTGCTCTCATGGCGTAGTTCCTGCTCAAACATGTTTAGCATCCTCTGAATTAGCACAAGCCCACATTCATCACGACTCATGCTGTTCAATCAAGTCAGCTCATTCCATCCTCATTTTCATCACCCGCACCTTCTTCCTCGTGGTCCACAAAACTCTGCTGCTCCACGTCCAGCTGGTCCGTCTCGCGTCTCGCATCTCCATCCTCGTCTTCCTGTCCTGTTTCCGAAGTCTCACAAAAGTAATTCTGCTTCGCCTTTTCCAATGCAAGTGCGATTGCAGCACCATCCACAGCCGAATTCTGCGAAGTCGGCGGACGTCGCAAAGCACCGTTGTCACAAGACCCATTGCCACTTACATGGCTCATTGGAGTCGTGGTAGATCCTTCAAACAGTGAAGTCGAACGGCCATGTATATCTAACATAGCGTCTCGTAGACGTGACTCTACATTGCGGAGCTTTTCCACAATCTCTGGAGCAATTGAAACATACTTTTGCATCCACCGATGATCATTCAAAAGCTCTTCATCTTCTCCCATCGAACCGTGAGTGACAAGCAATGCATTTAGGAACTCAGCGTTCATCAAAATTTCCTGCTCGACTGACTGGACCTTGGCTAGTTCACGCGCATGTTCTGAACAAATTTGGGTCAGCTGGTCTTCTTCATCAAACAAACACGCACGCAGTTTACTCCATTCCTTGATATCACAGCAGGCAGTCAGCTTTTGGTAAAGATACTGCACTTCTGCAGTCAATGACGCAATCTCTTGTCGGGTGGCAGCCAAATCCTTCTCCAAGTTGGCAATGTTATCTTTCTTAGGCTCAAGTGCAGCCGTGCGTACTTCCAAATCTTGCAGCTTGCTCTGTAACTCGCCTAGATCATTGTACTTGACGCTTTCCACTGCACACATCTTTTCACGGACGGCAGCGACAGCAGCCGTCAATGTTTCGTTCTCGGTACGGAGTTCGTCAACTTCGCGCTCCTTCATCTCCGTTCGCCGCTGGTACGATATCTCGCGCTTTGCACGGTCTTTTTCCTCTTCCTCAAGCTGACGCTCAAGCTGACGCTTCTCCTCACGTAAGGAAGCCATCTCGTCACTGAACTCGTCTGAACCCTTGGCAATGACTGCAAACTTGTGGTATTGCTCCTTCAACTCCTCACGAAGTTGCTCCACAATCGACTCCAGCTCACGGATCTGAATCTCGTGTTCCTTAACCTGATTATCCAGCTCCTGGGCAGAAGTACTGTCCACAGAAGCCTGCTTCACAGTTAGATCGTACGCGGCCTGTAGCTGCTCTAACTCGTGTACCGTTCGGCGGTGCGTCGCATGCAGCGCGTCGAGGTGGTGCTTGATGGCATCGTCATCGTTCATCTCAGCGTCCCCTGTCAGTCCGTTCTCGCCCGAGGCATTCGCGGCTTGCACCAACTCCTCCAGAATACGCTTAATGCGAGATTGCAGCTGCTGCTCGCGGTGCTGAGACGCCTGCAAAGTCGTCGTCAGCTTGGTCATTTGTTCCGTAAGTTCCAGGCGCAAACTATCCACCTCCTTGCTCGATTTAGTATGTAAGGTCTTAACATCGGCATCGAGCTTGGCAATCGTGTTCTCCAGGTCCTGCTCGCGAGCTCCAGAGCGGTCACATGCCTGATTGAGCTTTAAAGTAAGTGCGTTGACTTGGAAAGCGTAACGGCTCTGCATTACTTCTTGTGTCACCGCCATTTTAACCAACCGCTCGCGGTTGACCTCATCCGACTGTTTTGCCTTCTCCAGCATCGTCTGTTTTTCCTCAAGCCTGCTTGACACCTCAGCAAGCTCAGTACGAAGCTTGTTAACTTCTGACTGCATCTGACTTCTAACGGATACCATCTCTTCCGTTTCAACAGATACACCGCTAATGTTGGTCTCCATTCGACAAACTTCTTTCTCTAGACGAGACTTGGCTTCTCCAAGCTTCAGAATCTGTGCCGTGCATTCATCAATCTTGCGTCGGGCCTCCTTAATTTCATGCGTGAGGGCGGATACTTCACGGTGGTGCACGGCTTCCTGGTTCTCTAGCTCTTTTTCCAGATGGGCAATCGTCATCTTATTCGTTTCAAGCTCAGACCTGGCGCCCTCCAGCTCCACAATACGCTCTTCAGATTTTGACTTCATGGCAGCAAACTCGGTTGCATACGTCAGACGGAGGTTCGTCTCTGTCTCAAGAGTGACTCGCTCGTGCTCAATCTGCGCACGCTGAATTTGCTCGAGCAAGTCTTTCTTGTCATCCTTTAGCGCCACTAACTCGTCTTGGACAGCGTCAAGGTTCCTTTGCACTGCAAGTGTGTTGCGAAGTTGCCGCATTGCCTGTTCCTTGTCCGCGATCTGTTGCTTCAGCTCGCCAACCTTGTTACCATAATCGCTTGGAAGTTGGATGATGGTGTCCTCCATAACCATTTTCTGGCTTTCTTTGGCCGCATTAAACTTTTCGGTCATCTCCTTCAGCTCTTGCTTTAGATCGTCTTTCTCTAGCTGGCTGTCAAGAAGCAATTTCTCTAGCTCATCGCAAACTTCAGAGCTTGCAGCTGGTAAAGCGCCTTGCTTCTTCCTCTCATCGCCATTTGTAGGTCCATGCGCCACACTCTCCATTTCTTTCAGCTTCAGCTGCGCGATGAAAAGCGCATGCTCTTTGGTAGTCTTCACACGACGCATGGCTTTAGCCTCACGCTTGGACAACTCTAGCATCTCAGCAGAGGTCGTTTCAATACGATTCAACGTCTTAGTCAGCAGTCCAACCTGGGTCTCTTTAGCCTGTAACTCCGACGTCAGCCGTCGAACTTTCTTCTCGTTTTCATTATCCATATTGTAAATTTGGTCGTGGACTTCTGTCACCTCCATCTTCGACTTACACATCAACTCACTCTTCTCCTCATTCTCAGCCTTTTCACGCGCAAGCAAGTGTTCGAGTAGCGAGTTCTTTCCTTGTGCGACACCCATCAACTTACTTTCCTCCTGCAGCTTTTGCATCAACTCCAAGCATTGTGCCTCCTTCTGTTTTTCTGTATCAATCATGGTCGTCCGAATTTCCTTCAACCTATCTTCGAAATGCTGCTTCTCACTAGCAAAGCGGCGCTCCACTTCAGTCTTTGTGGAAGTCAAAGCTTCCAGCTCGGCCACGGACCGGGCAAGGCGCTGATGCAACGTATCGTTCTCTTCCTCTCTGTCCGCAACACCATATCCAGACCGATGATTGGCTTCCACCTTGACCTGATGCATATTTTCCTGAAGTGTCATCATGGTCTCCTCAAGTTTCTGCTGCTTCTTGGCAAGCTCTGCAAACTTGTCATCGACCTTGTTCGACTCGTCCTTGCTGTTTCTCGCAATCTGTTCGAACTTCTCCTCCATCACCGCCACAGCGCTGCGCAATTCGCTTTGCAGCGCCTTATTTAGCTCCGTGCGCGTGTCAGCCAGCTCGTCGTGTAGCGTCGCACTAAATATCTTGGTTTCCTGAAATGTCTTCTCCTGGCGGTCTAAAGCACTCGAGAGCTGTACCACCTCTTCCTTGCACTGCGTCTGGGAGTTTTGCAACACAAGCGTTGATCGTTGGAAGCGTTCAATATCATCCGACAGGTCGTTCTTCAGCACAGCTAAACCCTCCTGTTGCTGCAAGCAGGACTGTTTCTCCAGGTCCTGCATCTTCTGCTCCATCTTCTCGGCAATTTGAATTACATTTTGCGATAGTCGGTCCTCCATTTCACGAAATTCTCGCGTCAGACGAATGCTCAACAAGTTTTCAACAGCCTTCATATCCACCAAGCTGCCTATTTGACGGTGCATCAACTGCACCCTCTCTGCAAACTTAAATAATCCTTGCTCCTGCTTCTGGCGATTGGCAACCAAAGCCTCAATGTTGTCCTCCAGCGCTGAAATCTTCATGGTCGCAGACGACAGCGCATTGACTCGATTGCCAATATCCATCAACTCGCGATCCACACTTGATTGACGGCTTAACAAGTCCGCGCTGTGCTCTTCAAGGCGAGCAATTACGGCAGCATTGGCCTCGACAGTAGCAAAGATCGTTGGGTTTGATGCCGCGGGAACGTCGGCCGACGAGTTGATGTTGCCAGACGCCAGGACAGTGGCGCGCAGCTCCGAGATCTGCGAGCTAAGCGAAGACGCTTGTGTGGTTAGACTGGCAACGTCTGTGCATAGATCTGTCACCTTTTTGTCCACAGCGCTGTTGCGTGAGGCAAAGTGCGTCTCCAAACGCTTCTTTATCTCGTCAACAACGTGGTTAGGAATGTCACTAGGGATATCGGCCTCTGGGACGCGAATGCGTGGACCCATACTGGCGCTGAGCGGTTGTGCGTGCGGGATGCGGGCGCCAGGCGAGCAACGATTACGGGAAGACATGCCAGTCATGGAGCGCGTCTCGTCCAAGTCATAGCGACCACGATGAGCACCCACTTCCAGACCAGCGATGCCAACAGCCGCACGATGTTGCTGCAGCATAGCGGCCGTCAACCCGCCGCCGCCTGCAATGCCTACATGAGGACGACCAGAAGTACTGGCCACACTGCCCTGGCCACAGTCGAGTCTAGAGCGACCTAGACCTTGGTTACTGGACATGGAGCTATTATCATCATCTCTTCGAATAAAAGCCTTTGGACGTACTGAAGCTCGAGAGGACACGGAACCGGCATCATCGTCTGTGCGAACGAAGGCCTTGGGTCTACCTGATGTACGCGATGACATGGAGTCAACATCATTATCGGTCCGAATAAAAGCCTTTGGACGCGCTGAGGCACTAGAAGACATGGAACCGGCATCGTCGTCTGTGCGGACGAAGGCCTTGGGTCTACCGGACGTACGCGACGACACAGAGTCGACGTCATTATCCGTGCAAACGAAAGCCTTGGGACGCGCCGACGTGTGTGAACCCATTGATCCTGCATCGTCATCCCTACGCACAAAAGCTTTGGGACGGGCCGACGTGTGTGAACCCATTGAGCTCGTGTCGTCATCACCACGGACAAAGGCACGGGGACGTGCAGAACTGCGCGAGGATCCAGAGCCAGTATCGTCTTGACTGCCCATGTACGCACGCGGTCGAGCCAATGATTGCGACGTAGTGACACCTGTAGTGGCTACATCGGTCGTCCGCGCATGCGGCTGATCACTGATCTTTCGTAATATTTTAAGATTGTTCCTGGTTTTTTCAAGACCTGACATCTCCGAGTCCCACGATGAGCTCATAGGAAGAAAGGATTGATGAAAGTCTCGTAGAGAAGTGACAATAGACGTAGTACGATTGACCGATCGATCGGTCGATGGCTTGAAGGCGGTTGAGTGAGTGAGTAGTACTCCCTTTTTGATTCCGACTAACAACTAGTTCCTGTTTATTTGAATCTCGCTATGAAGGACACGTTTGACAGACTTTGGAACAATAATATATTTAATCTCTTTTCTCTCTCATGCATAATAAACACAAGTCAACGGCAGAGAAAGACGAGAGATGTGAGACTCTCGTAGATATCAAGTAGTGCATTTCAAAACACTATGACATTGTTTGTTTAGTATCAAGCACCAATGTGTTGAATTCCTATCATCCTTTCTTCTATCTTTCATGAGAATGCTCATATCTTTACTTTTCAATGTACAACAAGTGATAGAGTTAAGTAGTGGATACTCATACATGCAATTGAACATGCTCAAGCTTTATTTGACCTTGTTTTGCTTGATCAGCATCATCATCATCATTGTCATCTTGAATGAAAATGTGTGAAAGCAAATGATGTTTGAAATCTTTCTCTCTGTATTCATGACCACGAAGCTAGTAGGATTGTCATAGCAAGAGTATATATTCATTGCAACAAGTCGATTGTTGTTGTTGTTGAAGCGAAGCGAGACGATTAACCACAAACTTGAAACAAACGCAAGCTCTCGTCCACAAAATGCTATTAAGCGTTGTCGCCTTGCTTATCACGTAGCTAAAGCCTCGTTCACGACAAGTTAATTACTGTTGTTAAGTCGAGTACGTGATCACGATTGCAACATTTTCGTGTCATTCCGCTTAGTCCTTGGAGAAGGTGATAGACAGCATTCATGAGCACAAAGGGCAAGTGGCTCACCATTGAGCAAAAGTGTCAAATTATTGCACAGCACCATCGTGAGCCATCCATTAACTATACACAGCTTTCGTTATGGGCCAAGACGCGTTTTGAGCTGTCGCCAAACCATTCGCAATATTATCCAGGCGGTTACTGTCATTAGGTCCAAGCGACTGAGCGCATACGCGACTGCCAAGGGCCGTAACCCATGCGTACGATCCTGAGAGCTTGAGGAGAAGCTACAGCAGTATGTTAACACATGTCGAGAGCATAATGTACGGCTTACACGTCGTTTACTCCATACTAAGGCGCGAGAAATTCTAAACGGGATGGACAATGCACCGATGCACAACTTGTCAGTCGGGTGGCTTACTCGCTTTATGAAGCGACATGGACTATCCTTCCAGAAGGACAGGGAAAAGCTGACCGAGATATCAGTGACTATTGATGCTGCTCAAGCTCAAGTACAAACCCGTAGCACATGTACACTCGATGCTGTGCAACTACAGGTTCTAGAGCCGACACGGAACATGTTCACGTGGACAAGCTGCGACAAAAGGCGACCGAGAGGTTGCGAGAGCTTGAGAAAGAGGCGAGGGAGCTGAGGAAATATCTACGTCGACTCAATGCAACCACAAATGCACATCTGTAAAGTATGACTGCTTCTTGTGGTTTAACGTGAGTCCTAATACTGTACTAGAGTGGTGATGTCTGTAGTGTGAGGTTGAAGTCTGTACAAGAGCTTCGATATCGCTGGAAATGCTGTTGCACGCGTTGTATGTGTTGAGGTGTTGCCATTGCGCAATAGGACGTCAGTAGTACAGTGTTGTCCCATGTTGAGGAAATACCCAACCTACCCAAACAAGAATGTGTTGAACGAATTAATGCTGCGTGTAAGTGAAAGCAGTTGGGTTTCATGACTCACCTCAATCATTGATGCGGCTTCCTTGCACTCGCTTAATGCCACCGGGTAGTCCAGTGCATGTGCCAGCTCCTGCTCCTCCACTACCTCGACATGCTCAAATCTACTGGAGCAAACAACCGCACACAAGCGTTTTCATTGTCCAATATGGCGGCAATGAGGCGCAGCGGCTGCTCTGCCAGGTTGAAGTCGGCATGCAGCCTGTCGGCTAGCACAAGGTCACCCGTGAGCTCATATTCCGCTGGTGTCTTGAGCCGTGTCCCAACTGCATACAATGCAATTGAACAGCGACTAGTAGTGACTGACGGTGCCAAGTGTAGCAGGCCACTAGCCAAAACCACATCACTTGCAAAGCTCTGGCGCCACATCACGGGCAGGTTCGATAGCAATACGCATGCCTTGAGACCACAGAGAAGAAAGAAAACTTCGCCGAAAAAGCTCATAGATTTGGGTTGTAAGCCGAATTGCATCACGAACATCTGTAATTCGTCAGACGGTCGAGCTTTCCACCATTGCAGCTCCAAGTCTCGAAATCGTTGCACGTTTGTCGATGGCCGGCCTTCCAGTGGTTCTTCTGAAATCGTTTTGAGCAATACCCAGCCCATTTACATGGAGAACAGCGAGATAATACAACGTTGTCCATTGCATCACATGCACTGCACACGTTTGGTGTCATATTGGTTGGCTACAAATGAAGCGACTCCAAACGTTTACAGACAATATGGATAATATGAAAAAATAGACGACTTGTTAACTTACGAACATCATGCAACTATGCGTTACATCAACGCGCTTGTCGCTCTCTTACGGAGCCATTTCAATGTCAACGTCCTTGGACTGCAAGATCGTAAATGATAATTTGCCATTGGTCTCCGTGATCTCCACTTGAGTTTTGGCATGGAGTTGACCAGAGATAATGAGTTTGCTCAGGTCTGTCACAACGTGCTTTTCGATATATCGCTTAATAGGACGTGCACCATACTGCGGCTCGTAGGCTTCAGCCAAGATCACGTCCAGCGCTGCCGTCGTCACGTTTATCGAAATCTGCGCTTCCTTCAACCGGCTAATGACCGAGTCGAACTGTAACAACACGATCTGACGCAACTCCTTGCGGCCCAGTGGTTCAAACACAACAATGTCGTCCAAGCGGTTCAGCAGCTCTGGACGAATGGTACGACGCAACTGCTGAAGCACCAACTTGCGCTGGTTTGCAAACTCCCGCTTCCTATCGCTTTCCGCATCCATAACGTCACCCTCGGTCTTGATCTTCTTGCTTGCGCGCGGCGACAAATCGTTCTCAAAAAGCAGGTGCTCCGCGCCAATGTTTGACGTCATAATGATCACCGTGTTTGCAAAATCGACCGTGCGTCCATGCGAATCCGTCAGTCGGCCATCGTCCAACACTTGCAGCAGAATATTCAGCACCTTCGGATGGGCCTTCTCAATCTCGTCCACCAACACCACGTTGTATGGATTGCGACGCACAGCCTCAGTTAGCTGCCCACCTTCGCTAAAGCCAACGTATCCGGGTGGAGAGCCGATGAGTCGCGAGACCGTGTGCTCCTCCATGTACTCGCTCATGTCGATACGCACCATGTGCTTGTCATCGTCGAAGAGCTCGTTCGCAAGCGCCTTTGCCAACTCTGTCTTACCCACACCAGTGGGACCAAGGAACAAAAAGCTGCCGGTTGGCTGTCCTGTGCGAGAAAGTCCGGCACGTGAGCGCAGGACTGCGTCGCAAACAGCCTTCACTGCCTCCTCCTGTCCAACAACGCGCTGGTGGATGCGCTCTTCCAAATGCATGAGGCGGTCGCCCATACTTGACGTCAGGCGAGACACCGGGATACCCGTCCAACGAGCTACCACCTCACATATCTGGTTTTCCCGAACAACCTCTTCGACCATCTTGTGCTGCAATTCGTCTTCATCTTCACGCTTCTTTGCTTCCTCGGCTGCGGCAATGCGACGCCTCACGTCGGGAATGGCGTAATATTGCAGATCAGAAGCAGTCTGCAGGTCCAGATTGCGTTCAGCCTGCTCAGCCTTCAGCTGCAAGTTCTGCAACTTGTCACGTAGCTGGCGGATTTCATTAACGCGAGCTTTCTCCGCCTCGTGGCGTAAGATCAGCGGACTCAATTCGTCTTGGATCTTGTTCAGATCCTCTTGCACTTTTTCAAACGCTGTTTGCTCAATTCGTCCTTCTCCTTTGCTAGTGCCGTAGCCTCCACCTGTAGCTGCAGCTGCCGACGCTCTAACTCATCAATGACTTCAGGCTGGCTATCCAGCTGAACACGAACGTTTGCGCACGCTTCATCGATGATATCGATGGCTTTGTCAGGCATGAATCTCCCCTTGATGTAGCGATCTGCAAGCTTGGCAGCTGCAACCAGAGCCGCATCGGTGATCTGCACTCCGTGATGTGCCTCGTACCGCTCCTTCAAACCTCGCAAAATGCTCACCGTGTCTGGGACGGACGGCTCATGCACTTGCACCTGTTGGAATCGTCGCTCAAATGCCTTGTCCTTCTCCACGTGCTCGCGATATTCGTCAAGCGTCGTCGCACCAATGCACCGCAACTCGCCGCGCGCTAGCATGGGCTTCAACAGGTTGGCAGCGTCCATTGCACCCGATGTTTGTCCAGCACCGAGAATCAGGTGCATCTCATCGATGAACAGGATAATCTTGCCGTCACTGTCTTTCACCTCCTTCAGCACAGCCTTGAGACGCTCTTCAAACTCACCACGGTACTTGGCACCTGCAATCAGGGCGCCCATATCCAGACTAATGAGCTTGCAATTCAGCGACTCGGGCACGTCACCTACCACAATCCGTCGTGCTAAACCTTCAACAATAGCAGTCTTTCCCACACCGGGTTCACCAATCAGCACCGGATTGTTCTTGGTTCGTCTTGATAAAATGCGAATCACTCGTCGAATCTCTTCGTCTCGTCCAATAACTGGGTCAATCTTACCAGCCTCAGCCAACTCAATCAGATTCTGACCATATTTATTAAGCGCATCATAACTCTCTTCAGCTGACGCGTTCGTAACAGGACGACCACCTCGCATCTTTTGTACTGCATCTTTTACTTGATTTTCATCCATTTGATTGCTCTTGAGTAGACTTGCAACCTGTGAGTTGTGATACAGAGCAACAACAAGATGGTCGGCTGCTAAGTGCGAATCTTTCATGTCCTTACGCATCTTGTGAGCGTATTTTAACATCTTTATGAGTGCCGAGTCAACGCCAATCGAGTCGGGCGCTGGGGTCTGCGTCGGTAATTTCTTGAGCTGTAGCATTGCGTCCTGTTGAAAGCCAGCTACGTTGCCATGTACTAAATCAGCCACACGTTTGGCCGTACCATTCTTGTCATCAAATAGCGCATAGGCTACATGGAGTGGTGTGAGCTGGGAGTGGCCCATTTCCTCTGCCATATCATGTGCATGACGTAGATATTCATTCGTTTTGTCTGTAAATTCTGCAGGATTCATCTCGTTTTTGTTCTCTAATGTTATTAGTCAGTTAGTTAGTTAGTCAGTTAGTTAGTTAGTTAGTCAGTTAGTCAGTCACTTGTGTTGTTTGAAGTAAATTAAATAATGAGTCACAAAAAAATAGACAGAGAGAGACACAGACGTACAAACAGACTGACTGATTATGGCTGTAATAAATGCGATGTGTATGTAAGTAGCTATCATTATTGCGAATAGACTGGAAGATTCCAGAACGTACTTAGAAGGAGTGTCATACAATAAACAAGTATATGGATCATAACGATAATAGGTGACAGAAACAGTAGTAAAATAAATAGAACATACCACTTCAGCATAAGCCATAGTAAAATACAAATATGAAAAAAGAACACGCAGTGTCTTCTAGGTTTACGTTACTATGTGTTACTATGAAGATCCTGCGTCACCACCACCCACGTTTAAATTTACTACTATGCGTATCACAATAGTCAATCTAATCTTAACGTCTTCAGTCTCAGCAGTGAGAATGAGTCAAAGCTTTAATTAGCGTACTGGGAAAACAGCTGACAATGAATGACATTCCAATATGCTCCTGCGCTGTCGAGTTTCAGCAATCAATCTGATGTGTCGATAGGACATTGCTTCAGCCTTGACAGCATCTAGATGATTCAGTGATTACATCTTCTTGGACCAAGTGCTCTGGGGAAACACTACATTGGTCATTACAATTGCCTTTGCATTTCAACTCACGAGCGACAGCGGTGCCACATGTATGTTTATTCCGCAGGCTTTATGCAAATGCAAAAGACGCATCGCTACTTACACAGTGCCTTCAGTTCCTGTATGCCATTTTCAGCAATAGAAACGCAGCCAAAAGCGATTGATAACACTGAGCAAACAGCGTTGTCAATCAGTCCATACTTCTCTCATTTCGTCTCTACTTTTTTTGTGTCAAGTACATGCCAAACCCTCTTTTACGTACGTCTAAAGCGTTTGTGCATCGCTCCTTTAAGAAAATTGTGAAACTGCTTGCGCTCATCACACGAGAACCAAAGACTCAACGCATAGCGTGTACCAGTCTCCACCTTGCGCACAACGTGGAGGTTTTCTGATCCAGCCGTGAACATCACGAGACGGCCACGAGCAGGCTCGATAACTGTTTCCGTGCTTTCGTCGATAAACGAAAAAAGACCACCCGTAAATTCTTCATCATAGTCTGCGAGATACAAGAGACTCGAGTAATCGTAGTGCTTGGTGTTTTCCTTATCCACGTGTGGATGCCTGCGGGACAGCAAGATACTTACTATACATACAAAAAGATCCAAAAAATACCACAAGGAGCTTACCAGTACTCATCGTGAAGCTGATTAGGGGCCCACGAATCGTTTCCAACAAAACGCGTGATGAATGTAGGCGCCGAGAAATACAACGCTTTGAGACCAAACTCTTTCATCACCGCCCAGCGGACCTTCTCAACGACTCTATCAGTGAAAATACCCACAAAATCGACAAATCTGTCAAGAAATGGACTCAAACCGACATCTTCGTTCTAAAAAGCTTCACTTACCGGCGGTACAAATTGTACTGCAGCTTCTCAAAGCGCTTGACCCCAGGCTTCATCTCGTTCGGGATTCTCTTCTCAGGCTGATAGATGTTTATCAAACCTTCACTGTCACGGACGTAGCCTGTATTGATATCCATAATCGTGGGACCGCCAAGTGCCGAGCGGTTCTTCATCCCAATCTCCGCTATCTCACGCAATCGCATCACCTGTGAAGGTGTCACGAAATTGTCGATCACTGCACGACCACAAATCTCTCCTTTTTTCTTGTGACATCCTGTTACAAAGTTTCTAGCATTCTACCAAACGAAAGAAGAGAAAGACAACTTGATCACGTCAAAAGGGGTTCAAGAGACAAAGCTTGTGTAAACCGCTTTTTTCAACGCACCTCGGTTGAAGCACACGTAACATTCATACGGAGATGTTCTACCACGTCCTTTTGATGGATATATTGACTGTTATCCATGTTTTTCGAGTCCAACTTGTCCAATTCATGCAGATAATAAGCCACAGCTATGGCCACGACTACCACCAGCAGTTTAAGAGTCCATCCGTATATTCCTGTGGTAAGAGAAGCATTTTTCTTGTCCTTTATCTTGTCGATTTTCTCCTTCTTTGTATGAACGATCTCCTTCTGCGAAGCAGACGGGATAGACGTCTCGGTCTTCTTGGCGTTCTTGCGGCCCATTACGCTTTTCAGGTGATTTTGAGTGGTCAATAGAATGGGTAATAATTATTATTAAATGGGTAGCAAATTAGTAAAATGGATAGTAATTAGTAGATGGAAAATCATGATGCATTTAATTATTTTAATTTGTTTATTGACAATTTTTTATCGTGCCAGTACCGGTTTGTTCCAGTAAAAAAGATGAGTACCGAAGTCATAGCAGCAGAAGCTCGACTTGCTCAACATCGAGACGGCGCAGGTTTGTGAACAGATACGACAAGACAATTGAGGTTGCTTTCTTAGCTCATGACGTGTTGATTCTATGCTCAGCACACGCGAAAATTCAATTAGCAGAGTCTTTGGATGCGTTGAAGGCTGCACAAAACCGACTGTTGGTGAAGCGGCTGGACGAGACGATCAAGCAGCAGCGGGATGTGGAGCAGGAGGCCCTTACGTACTTAAAGAATGTGAACTCGTTGTATCAACGTACAGCCAAGTGGAAAGCTGAACAGAAGCGTTTTCGCTCGACTTTGGACGTACGTACGGACGTGTTCAGTGCAGTTGCATTGTCTTTAGTTGAACTGATTGTTCGGTTTTCATTTGCTACAGGGATTGGACCACTTTGCGGAATGGGCCGCTGCTACTGAGAATAGTTTGCATGGTATTGCTGGCAATTTGGAGTACGTGTGCGCTGTACTGGATAAAGAACAACAAGAAGCAACAAACGACGGCTATACACGAGTGCAAGAGTTTACGTGATAAACTATATCCAGTGCAAGCTGTTGAGACAAGACTTGCCATTAGCTAAGCGGTATCCTATAATAAAGCTGGTAGTTACTGCAGCTAAGCCGATCTTGTAGTAACAAGCGAGTCAATTGCATATAGTACACAATACATTCATTGGCGAAAGGATGCAGCAGTTAAAATCTTACCGCAAGCTGTGCCGAGCTAGAACGTGATGAGATAGAGAATCACGAGGCTACCAGCAATCAGAAGATAGCGGGACAGGGAGGCTTGCTGCATTTGCTGATATGCCTCTAGTGGTGTCAGGGGCGTGCCGTCTTGATGATGCGTAATGAGAGCTGGCGGTTGCTACACCAACACACACACAAAACAATGCCGTGGTGTCAGATGTTGCATACCACGTGCTTTCAAAGTCTGCTAGCGTAAGGTACCCGAAAAAGCGCTGGAAAGAAACCAGTTGTTTGAGATATCGAGAAGGCATTCCTGCGTCCGCTTCCAATGAAAATTCCAAACTGGAGTCATTAACAGCACACAAGAAACACTTCCTCAGTCATAAGCACACGTAAGATACCACATTACTATGTGTCTGTCTATACGTACATTAAATGGCCGTCGTCGTCGGAGCTGCTCAGCGTCTGGTCGCTGTCCTTGAGGACGATCGGGAACCCCGTTGTCAGACCCTTGCTGATTTGTTCTGCAACATCATCATAGCTCAATAAACGTTTATACATGCAACAAGATGCAAGATTGTCTATGACAAACTCACCGTGAATCGTCCGTATCCGTAGTGCCTCTAGCATACACGGGTATCACGTTCTCTTCGCTAATTCCGGCCTTGCACACTGGACATTCCGAGTGATTTTGCATCCACTACACACAATAAAAATCAAGTCGATGAGTACCTTGTTATGTCTATCACATATTCTATAGGTCATACTTCATATAGGCATGGCCAACTGGGGCAATAGATACAACATACAGAGCATTAGGACAGAAGAAGAGGTTTCGATACAAAATAATAAAATGAAAATGGCTAATTCCAAGCATCAGAGATAAACGTACCAGTACAAATGACCACACAGTGTTACCACTGGACTAGAGACCGTATCTAGACACACATTACACTCAAAGAAAGATCTGGTACTGTCCAAGGACGGAGTCTCCGTCGTCGGCTTCAGCGCTGATACTATAGGTGCCATTCTCACAGCAACACACAGAGCGAAATTGCAATTCTAGTCGTTGTGACTTTGCGTTTTATTACACTTTTCGCCCCTATTCAAATAGTTCGTATTATTGATTCTGGAATTGAAGAACTCTGTAGACAACATGCACCAACGTCTTCGTTGGTCTTGTGCAGCGTCAGTTTGTGATCACTTGGAGACATTTTCAACATCAAGAAGGACTTATCAGAAGCACGAGCGTGCACTGGCGTTGTCATTGAAGCTACAACTGGTGTCATTGTCAAGATCGAGGAGGGGATTTGTACATCCAGTGGAGTCGAACGTTGACTAGCTTCAAGTCGAACCTTTGTCTTGAATGCCCTGGCTTCTTCACAGTTACTAAAACATAACACACTAGATACAACATCCACTCCAATAGCTAAAGCCGACAAGTTCTTGGTATCACCGTCAAACGTCGTCGTCATGGGCCGCATGAGAGACTCGCTGTCCTGACCAACAGGCGTTGACATTGGATCAGTGGCACGCTTAGGAACTGCGTACTTTTTCATTTGAGTTATCAACTTACCACTGGCATTTGGATCTTCGATCACTGCACGCTGTTTGTCCTTGATCTCTTCAATCTGCGCGGCATATCGGGCCTTCTCCTCAGCGTCTGTCGCTACCGACTCCACTTGCTCGAGCATTTCAATCGTGCGGTTTAGCGATCGAATCTGACGATGTGGCCAGCGTTTAATGCCGCATCGACGACATATTTTCTTGAGAAATGTGGTGCAAATACCAAACTCACGTGCCACCTCCACGATAGGTCTGCCAAAGTGTGGGCGCAATTCCTCGAGTGTAAGCCCATACGACAGCGCCGTTAGACGTAAACCTCGTCGCTGAATCTTCTTTTGTGCAGCTATGCGAGGCAGAGACAGTTCGTCTGACGCTTGCTTCGCCACTACCTTCATCAGTGAGTCATGCAATGTGTCCCTGTTCTTAACATCATTCCCGTGGTCTGTCAAGGACATAACATCAGTAGCAATGGTCGTGGATGGTTGCATCATATGTAGTAGAGACATACTAGCCTCAATTTCCTCATCCATCATCTTAATTGGCGCCATATACCGTTGGGGAATAGATAAATGAACGAGCGCAGAGGATGGTGGAGATGGATGAGCTAGTTGGTGACTGAATTTGGCGACCACCTTTCGAAATGTGATTTGAGAGGTCATTTTTGCGTCGTTAAAACTTTGACAGCTAATTTATAGAGGTTCTGAAGCAATGTAAAATGCTATGATTTATTAACAGGACTAATTTTTCATCTGATCTAATTCTAATTAAATACGATAGAACCATTTTATGCATCGGGTGCAATCATGTCATCTTCTTCCTGGCCTTTTTTTCGTATGAGTTTCATAAGTCGCCCTGGAGCTGCTAATTGATGCGAGTACTCGACCATAAATCGATTCATGCCAACACCAAACACATCACCGTGAAGGAGGTAGCGTCTTCGACTCTTTTTACCAGTAGCACTGAGACGAATCGCTGTACCATTTGTGCTGCGTAGATCCGTAATGTAAAACCCATTGTCAAAGTACGAGATCACACTGTGCTTTCCAGAGATCGAGTCATCTTCGGTGATACAAAGTGCATTGCTTGAATATCGACCCAGAGTCACAGATGTCTTGCCAATGGTCTGGCAAACGCCAACGAGTGGGCCATCAGTGAAGCGAATACGCAAGAATGGCATCCCCGTAGTAATATTCTCGTCGATCGCTGACACTTCAAACTCCGTGTCACCAAGCCTTACGCGGTCATCTACATGCAGACGCTTAGGTGCGTCTGGCTTAAGGAATACAAATGTTCCAGTCGTGCTACCGAGATCTTGGAGATAGTACTCTTTCTCCATAGGGTCGTACTGGATTTGGAAGTGGAACCGGCTCACGTACGGATCATCCGAAATAATCTGATTGCTCTGATGTCGTCCACCTAAAGCACCTTCCCGCGGGTGTAACACAATCTTTCCTGCCATGTCACCTCTGTTGACCGTACCTTCGCCCTTATCGTTAGTCAGCCGGCGTATCCTAACATGACCGTTGTCAATGTCATCGTTAGCATCATTGCACTGCCTTTCTACGCTAGAAGATAAAAGATGATGCGGCTCAGAGGAGAGCGAAGATACAATCAGTAGATCTTTTTCATCAATCTCCAAATCACTGTCGTTCCAACTTTCCGAGCGAGTTGTTGGCCGTTTAACGTGGTGGTGATGACGTTTGCCATGATACCCTGTAGATTTTTTCTTCATCTTCTTGCTATTCCATTCACGTAGCATTTCCACGTACTGTTCAAGACGTTTTGTTACGCGGCGAAGCGGTGAGTGCAGATGATACCGGCGCGAAAGCACGAGCGTGCCGATCCAGACTACGAGGGATAGGACGACCAGACACCAGCGTATCCTGAAAGATAGCTCGGAGAGCATAAGGTGAAGTCCATCCAGTTGCTCAGTGCCAATGGTAGCGACTGTTGCGAGACTGTCGAACAGCTTATCGTTTACTTGCTGAGCATCGAGGTTTTTGAAGTAAATTGTAAGTTGATTGTGCATATAGGCTGCAGATGCGACGACTGCAGACGCATAAGCTGTCGCATGGAGCCAATTCCAATGCATCATGGACTGCGACTGATGACGCAATCGTCCAGTGCTATGTTGAAATAAGTATTGCGACATTGTCTTCTTCTCCATGAGTTAAAGTAGGAAATCAAACACGAGCAACAAAAGAAAAAGCACAGCGGAATAACAAGAGAATACAAGAATGCGACGATTCGATCTCACGGATTAATCCTTCGGTACAAATCAAAACTTCCACGGAATAATGACAAAGTAGACGATCGAAAGAGAGCGATGCTACGAGTCTATTCGACGTTAATTTGACTGCAATACACTTGCAATACCACTACTTCTTACCCAAGTTTATTTGCTGGATTAGATACGAATAAATCCGATTGTGACGTCTGACGTATATTTTGACTGGATATTAATCAGTGCTTACTGGCTATGTCATGAATTTAATTCGTAATCATTAGGATTATTTACTGTATATCTTCACCTAAGTACGTATTATGCAAAAGTAGTCAGTGATGAGTCCATTAGCAGTTACTATTGATCATGCTTCGGCTTCTGGTCGTCATCCTCTCGTCGTTAATCGTAGTGATCGTGATTGTCATGATTACCATCATTCTTACTCATCGACGCACTTTCATTCATTCTCGCAATGTGACACTTGATTCTCTACCAACTAAAACTGTTCTCATTGGTGTCTTTCATCCATATGCTAATGGTGGTGGAGGGGGAGAGCGTGTCCTTTATTGTGCCTTACTAGCATTAATTCAACGCTATCATCAGACCGATATCAAGATGAAAATTGTCTTATACACAGGCGATGATGGATTATCAGCTAAAGAGCTGATACAACGTGCTGCTGACGTGTTTAATCTTGCGGAATTAAGAACGCTGCACGTGGAACGACACGTAACACTCGTACCACTTTGTAACCGCACGATCCTTGAGCCAAATCATTATCCAAGCTTTACGCTCTTGTGGCAAAGTGTAGCACACATTCGATTGGCATTTGAAGCTATTCAACAGAGTTCACGACAGCAATTGTATCCACAAGTCTGGGTGGACACAACAGGGTGTCCATTTTCTTACATTGTGGCAAGTGTGCTCTACAAGTGCATTGTCGTAGCTTATGTGCACTACCCCATGATCTCTACTGACATGATTGCCAAGGTCCAGCAGCGCAATGCTGGATTTAATCACGACGCGGCTATTGCTGCAAGCTCGTTGAGATCACTTGCCAAATACGTTTATTATCGCCTATTTGCAGGTGCTTACAGTTTAGTGGGCAAATTCTGCACTGACGTGGTAATGGTTAATTCGACGTGGACATACAATCACATTAAGCAACTTTGGGGAAAGACTCCACTAATTGTCTACCCGCCTTGTGGTGCCATGCGTGAGTACATGGACTTTAGTCTAGAAAATCGCGAGCCCATTGCACTCTCGATTTCTCAGTTCCGACCAGAAAAGAACCAGCTATTGCAACTCCAGGCCTTTCAAGTGCTGCTGACAAAGCATGCGGAGCGAATGAAAACCAAGTATCGCGATTTTTGTCTGGTCTTGCTGGGAAGCTGTCGCAATACTGACGATGAAGCGCGCGTAGAGACATTGAAGCAACAGGCTGAAGCATTGGGCATTGCTGACCGTGTGGATTTTGTGGTCAATGCGAGTTTTGTTGAGCTGAAGCAGTACCTTTCAAAGAGCTCTATCGGCGTACACACCATGTACAATGAACACTTTGGCATTAGCAACGTGGAGATGATGGCGGCTGGCATGCTGATAGTCGCCAACAACTCCGGTGGCCCCAAGGCCGATATTGTAAAGCCAGAGACTGGGTGTCTGGCGCTTACAGCGGACGAGTATGCTGATAAGATATTGTTGTTGCTGGAAAAGTCTCCATCTGAATCAATTGAAATGCGGTCCGCAGCACGCAAATCTTCATCGAGATTTTCGGATGAAGAGTTCGGTGTACAAATTTTAGCGGCGATGAATGGCGTTCTTGAGTCCGTAGTTGGTGGTCGTAAGCACGTCAAGTTAGTGTAGACGATCGATATGAATGATTACGCAGCACTGTGTCTCAAATGTTTGGACTGCGCTAAGGAGTGGATTGCATTGATATTGAATTGAGTCAATTGACTTTGTACATGTCCTTGAAATGACAAGTGACGTGGTTTTATAAGATCGTGGAAGAGACGTCCCTATATGAGTCTGTCAAAGTATCACAATTGGTTTTGCTAGGCAAATAAGACAGGATCTGCTCGACGCGACAGGCGTCGGCACAATGCATCTTGACACGAATGCAATGGTAGTGTGCAGCGGTCCACTGACATTGTAGATTGTGCGTTGGTTGGTGGCCAGAGACCGATTGGGCATGCAGGAACCTCTGAAAAACGAGATGTGGAGCGTGGAACTTACATGCGTGCAAAGTGTGCAGAACTTGGCGGTACAGCAAAGGAAGACATAATGCGTGCATTGCGGAGACACTTCTGCAGGTGTGGGGTTAAAGTTTGCTGGAATGGAAAGACCGCGGTGCATCTGGCATGCGCTTATTACACGAAAGGTGGAGCGATTTGAAGACATGTCGGATCTGCATTGATACCATAGACGACGAAGACTGTATGCTACGGCTGTATAGTAACGAAGAATAGTACACTTTTTTGTCAGTGCTAGACGCGCATGACCGCTTTGATAAGCATGTCTCAATCCTTTAAATTGAGTCGAGCAAACAAACTACCGGCCGCGTCGGTGTCGGTGGTCGAGCACGAGACTTAGTGGTGGAAGCGCTATCTGCCTGTTAATAGCCTGTGTGCAGCTGCGCCAAAGCTGCAGAGGAGTTGGGCCTCCCAAAACACCATTCTAAGCCTATCGCTTGCTGTTCTCTGTCTTCCCAGTACGCTAATTAAAGCCTTTGACCCATTCTCACTGCTGAGACTGAAGATGTTAAGATTAGATTGACTATTGTGATACGCATAGTAGTAGTAAATTTAAACGTGGGTGGTGGTGACGCAGGATCTTCATAGTAACACATAGTAACGTAAACCTAGAAGACACTGCGTGTTCTTTTTTCATATTTGTATTTTACTATGGCTTATGCTGAAGTGGTATGTTCTATTTATTTTACTACTGTTTCTGTCACCTATTATCGTTATGATCCATATACTTGTTTATTGTATGACACTCCTTCTAAGTACGTTCTGGAATCTTCCAGTCTATTCGCAATAATGATAGCTACATCGCATTTATTACAGCCATAATCAGTCAGTCTGTTTGTACGTCTGTGTCTCTCTCTGTCTATTCTTTTGTGACTCATTATTTAATTTACTTCAAACAACACAAGTGACTGACGAACTGACTAACTATCTGACTGACTGACTGACTAATAACATTAGAGAACAAATACGAGATGAATCCTGCAGAATTTACAGACAAAACGAATGAATATCTACGTCATGCACATGATATGGCAGAGGAAATGGGCCACTCCCAGCTCACACCCCTCCATGTAGCCTATGCGCTATTTGATGACAAGAATGGTACGGCCAAACGTGTGGCTGATTTAGTACATGGCAACGTAGCTGGCTTTCAACAGGACGCAATGCTACAGCTCAAAAAATTACCGACGCAGATCCCAGCGCCCGACTCGATTGGCGTTGACTCGGCACTCATAAAGATGTTAAAATACGCTCACAAGATGCGTAAGGACATGAAAGATTCGCACTTAGCAGCCGACCATCTTGTTGTTGCTCTGTATCACAACTCACAGGTTGCAAGTCTACTCAAGAGCAATCAAATGGATGAAAATCAAGTGAAAGATGCAGTACAAAAGATGCGAGGTGGTCGTCCTGTTACGAACGCGTCAGCTGAAGAGAGTTATGATGCGCTTAATAAATATGGTCAGAATCTGATTGAATTGGCTGAGGCTGGTAAGATTGACCCAGTTATTGGACGAGACGAAGAGATTCGACGAGTGATTCGCATTTTATCAAGACGAACCAAGAACAATCCGGTGCTGATTGGTGAACCCGGTGTAGGAAAGACTGCTATTGTTGAAGGTTTAGCACGACGGATTGTGGTAGGTGACGTGCCCGAGTCGCTGAATTGCAAGCTCATTAGTCTGGATATGGGCGCCCTGATTGCAGGTGCCAAGTACCGTGGTGAGTTTGAAGAGCGTCTCAAGGCTGTGCTGAAGGAGGTGAAAGACAGTGACGGCAAGATTATCCTGTTCATCGATGAGATGCACCTGATTCTCGGTGCTGGACAAACATCGGGTGCAATGGACGCTGCCAACCTGTTGAAGCCCATGCTAGCGCGCGGCGAGTTGCGGTGCATTGGTGCGACAACGCTTGACGAATATCGCGAGCACGTGGAGAAGGACAAGGCATTTGAGCGACGATTCCAACAGGTGCAAGTGCATGAGCCGTCCGTCCCAGACACGGTGAGCATTTTGCGAGGTTTGAAGGAGCGGTACGAGGCACATCACGGAGTGCAGATCACCGATGCGGCTCTGGTTGCAGCTGCCAAGCTTGCAGATCGCTACATCAAGGGGAGATTCATGCCTGACAAAGCCATCGATATCATCGATGAAGCGTGCGCAAACGTTCGTGTTCAGCTGGATAGCCAGCCTGAAGTCATTGATGAGTTAGAGCGTCGGCAGCTGCAGCTGCAGGTGGAGGCTACGGCACTAGCAAAGGAGAAGGATGAATTGAGCAAGCAGCGTTTGAAAAAAGTGCAAGAGGATCTGAACAAGATCCAAGACGAATTGAGCCCGCTGATCTTGCGCCACGAGGCGGAGAAAGCTCGCGTTAATGAAATCCGCCAGCTACGTGACAAGTTGCAGAACTTGCAGCTGAAGGCTGAGCAGGCTGAACGCAATCTGGACCTGCAGACTGCTTCTGATCTGCAATATTATGCCATTCCCGACGTGAGGCGTCGCATTGCCGCAGCCGAGGAAGCAAAGAAGCGTGAAGATGAAGACGAATTGCAGCACAAGATGGTCGAAGAGGTTGTTCGGGAAAACCAGATATGCGAGGTGGTAGCTCGTTGGACGGGTATCCCAGTGTCTCGTCTGACGTCAAGTATGGGCGACCGCCTCATGCATTTGGAAGAGCGCATCCACCAGCGCGTTGTTGGACAGGAGGAGGCAGTGAAGGCTGTTTGCGACGCAGTCCCTGCGCTCACGTGCCGGACTTTCTCGCACAGGACAGCCAACCGGCAGCTTTTTGTTCCTTGGTCCCACTGGTGTGGGTAAGACAGAGTTGGCAAAGGCGCTTGCGAACGAGCTCTTCGACGATGACAAGCACATGGTGCGTATCGACATGAGCGAGTACATGGAGGAGCACACGGTCTCGCGACTCATCGGCTCTCCACCCGGATACGTTGGCTTTAGCGAAGGTGGGCAGCTAACTGAGGCTGTGCGTCGCAATCCATACAACGTGGTGTTGGTGGACGAGATTGAGAAGGCCCATCCGAAGGTGCTGAATATTCTGCTGCAAGTGTTGGACGATGGCCGACTGACGGATTCGCATGGACGCACGGTCGATTTTGCAAACACGGTGATCATCATGACGTCAAACATTGGCGCGGAGCACCTGCTTTTTGAGAACGATTTGTCGCCGCGCGCAAGCAAGAAGATCAAGACCGAGGGTGACGTTATGGATGCGGAAAGCGATAGGAAGCGGGAGTTTGCAAACCAGCGCAAGTTGGTGCTTCAGCAGTTGCGTCGTACCATTCGTCCAGAGCTACTGAACCGCTTGGACGACATTGTTGTGTTTGAACCACTGGGCCGCAAGGAGTTGCGTCAGATCGTGTTGTTACAGTTCGACTCGGTCATTAGCCGGTTGAAGGAAGCGCAGATTTCGATAAACGTGACGACGGCAGCGCTGGACGTGATCTTGGCTGAAGCCTACGAGCCGCAGTATGGTGCACGTCCTATTAAGCGATATATCGAAAAGCACGTTGTGACAGACCTGAGCAAACTCATTATCTCTGGTCAACTCCATGCCAAAACTCAAGTGGAGATCACGGAGACCAATGGCAAATTATCATTTACGATCTTGCAGTCCAAGGACGTTGACATTGAAATGGCTCCGTAAAGTAGTAGCACTATGATTGAAGACTTGATTAATCTATTGCATTGTTGGATATGGCTACATAATATACGTGAACCTTGTTTTGTTTGCGTCATTGTGTCGTAAACATTTTGTATTCCATTTCTTCTTGTTTTATCTTGTTAACCTTACAATTTAATAATTATGATCCAATCCCGTAAAATTATATGTCACAAAATATCTGCCAATTTTCGTGAGTGTACAGCGATTGTCCCGTTCCAAGTGCCAGTACTGAAGCAAGATGAGGTGCTTGTGCAGACGAAATACTGTGGCATTAATGCATCCGATATCAATTATACTAATGGTGCCTACTTACCGGGCGTGCAGCCGCCTTTTGACTGTGGTTTTGAGGCCTGTGCGAACAATTTTTAGTTCACTTTCAAAATTAATATTCAATGAATTGCGACTAACTGATACCTGTATATAATGATATTGCAGTGGGAATCGTGCTAGACGTCGGATCAGGTGTGACTGCGATCAAGAAAGGTGACGCTGTGGCTTCCACGGGTCAGTGATGCACCGCAAATGATTCCAAGACATTAGTGACTGACTCTTTACATCCAATTTCATCTCAATGACAGCATACGGCGCATTTGCTGAGCACTTGGTGACGAAGGAGCGTTTTCTGGTGAAAGTCCCTGCTGTCGTTCGAGAAGTGCTGCCAATTGTCGTATGCGGTCTCACCGCATCAATGGCACTCGAGTACGTGGGCCAGATGACTCATGGTGAGACGGTATTGGTCACAGCAGCCGCTGGAGCTACGGGTCAATTTGCTGTGCAGTTGGCCAAGCTAGCAGGTAACCATGTGATTGGCACGTGCAGCTCGCCTGAGAAAGTAGAGTATTTGCGATCCATTGGCTGTGATCGCCCCATCAACTACCGCAAGGAGAAGGTGTATGATGTACTGAAGAAGGAGTATCCACGCGGCGTCGACCTTGTCTTTGAAAGTGTAGGCGGACAAATGTTTGAGGTATGTGTAAACAATATCGCGCGCAAGGGCCGCATTATCGTCATTGGAGCCATTGCGGGCTATCAGGACTCGAGTACGTGGAAGTCCACGGTCAACAAGGCCACGACACCGCTAACGTCCAAACTGCTGGCCAAATCAGCTTCTGTCCGTGGTTTTTTCTTCAACGACTACTTTCGCGAGACGAAAGCCCATGCCAAGAAGCTTACGATGCTAGTGCAACGCGGCGTGCTCAATGCCGGCGTCGACCCTTGTAATTTTCACGGACTCGAGGACATTCCCAGCGCCATTGACTACATGTACGAGCGCAAGAACATTGGCAAGATCATTGTGAGCCTTGATAAAAAGGTTTCCTCGAAGCTCTAAGGTCTCTCGCTCGAAGAGCTTGTCAAAACCTGCAACGACATAATGTTGTAGTCATTTTTCCTATTCAGCATGCTCGCTATCAATTGTTCGCAATATACCTTTCTTTACTATAATCGCTTTACAAAGGTTTATAACACTACTGAAAAGTAGCCATGTTGACGTAACCATTGTGCATTTGTAATTTGCGACACATTTTGTCATACCGCATTAATTTTTATGTCGCATAGAGTGCACTATACCCTTTCGTACCCGATATAGTGCATTAAAAAGCATGGATACTTTATTTTTCTTGGATTTAAGATAATGGAACACTTTCGCTATAAAAACAATGGACTGGTCACACGCACGTCAACGGATCAAGAGGAATGTGAATCGAGCTGTAGCCTGTTCTTCTTTCCACTTCCAGAGCTTCCATTGGATCAGCAATTACAATTGCAGCAATTAAGCTTTATTAACACGGACCTCGAGGCAAGTGTGAAGTGTTATTTGATGGTTTTATTGCATTGTTTTAATGATTTTTGACATTTTATATAGCCGCTTTTAATGCGCGAAAAACACGTTACGTATTTAAAACGTGCTCTTACACGGCTGTCCTCAGGTTTTGTGGCTCTAGATGCCAGGTATAAAAGCTGCTGAAATAAAAATATTTTAACGTGCTAAACAAAAATCGAATAAAAATGGTTTTACATGATGCTGTAGCCGACCATGGATTATCTATTGGATCTTTCACGCGCTGGAACTGCTGGACGCTCTGCCAGAAGATGAAACAGAGCGTGTCATTGGTGAAAGCTCCGCGTCTTCTCTTGAGCTGAAACTATGGAGACTAAATCTGCGTTTTTATCGTGGTTTTATCGTGTTTTTAGGGACGCTCAAACCTTTTTGGAACGATGAACATGGTGGAGGTTTTGGAGGAGGACCCATGCAATTGGGTCACACGGCTACCAACTATGCGTCATGTCTGACGCTTGCTTTACTCGGGACACCAGATGCACTGGAAGCCGTGAACCGACAAGCATTGTACCGGTTCTTCCTAGCGAGGAAGCATGCGACCTCTGGAGCTTTTACTGCTCATGTTGGAGGGTATGTCATATGGATGCTTTGTGGTAATGATGTTCTTGACGATTGATTGATCATCTTTTGCTTTTCTAACGTTGTAGTGAGGCGGACGTCCGCGTGACGTACTGCGTCATTTCCATCGCAAGTCTGTACGGCATTTTGACCGACGAACTCAAGGCTGGCGTTGTGAATTATGTGCTGTCGTGCCAGACATACGAGGGTGGCTTTGGTGGTGAGCCAGGTAACGAGGCTCACGGTGGATATGCATTCTGTTCTGTCGCAACGCTCTACATTCTCGGAGCTATCGATCAAATTCGTGACCTACCTGGATTGCTCCATTGGCTTGCAAATCGGCAGATGCCCTTCGAAGGCGGATACCAAGGACGAACCAACAAGCTTGTGGATGGCTGCTATAGCTTCTGGCAGGGTGCTGTACCGGCGCTGCTGGCTGAGGTTCTGCGACAACAGTACGGTGACCATGTGCCTTATCAATGCCACCAAAAGAAGCTGCAAAAGTATATTCTGCTTTGCGGACAGGAGATTACAGGTGGCTTGCGTGACAAGCCCGGTAAGCCGCGTGATCACTACCACTCATGTTATTGTCTAAGCGGTCTTTCAGTTGCTCAGCACGGAGATGCCGCAGGTGAACCAGTCGTGTATGGAGATGCGTCCAACCTGGTGAAGCGCACTCACCCTGCGTATAACATTGGCTACGACAAGGCCATAAAGACGATCGAATACTTCAAAGCAAAAGGCCCTTTTCAGCCTGAGTAGAGGTAGGTAACGTGCAGATAGACAAATGGAAGCTGTCCTCATGGGCGGGTAAGGTGAGGTAGATTCAATATGTGATTGATTATTATAGGCAAACGTTTTTCGCTGTGTCGTCACTATTGTCATCTGCATTGTGAGCCTTATGACTTAGACCACGCATGGCTGAAGCAGCAGCTCGCAAGGGACTTTTGTAAGGATGTTAGAAGCTCGATTTTGACGAAAGCAAACTTCGACAGTTGCTATGGCGGGCGTAAAAGAGCAGCGTTTACAATGGCAACGACGTCCAACGCTTCTCTCGGTCACCTACAGACCATATTATAAACGGTAAACCAAAGACAAAGCTGCTTCAGCTACCAAGATGTTCTGTGAGACTGATGACTTCTGGCTGCATAACGCTGCTGCTCAACAAGCATTGTCCTTTCGCTTCTGGCATCGTTCGACAGGACTCAATTCTTGAATTGAGACTGCAGATGCACTTCATCGTCGGAGCTTGTGTGCAATCTAGAAATGGGGTCTGGGCTCCGAATACAACCACAGCCTGTCACAGTAATTGACTGCTGCAAAGCTTTGGCTAGGCTTGCCCATTTTCATTAGACCAGGTACTCCTTACTTGCTTAAAGCGCCCAGTGACATGCTATTTGCACCAAATAATGAAGTAATCTCTTCTCGGTTGTGGAAAGGTGAGGTGCCAAAGCCTGTCGAATCATTCTGTAATGCTTCTTGGCTATCGCTCGCCTTCACGTAGAGTTCGTCCGTCACTCAGTCGTTTCAGTCATTTTGATGGGGCTCTGCCGTCGAAGTTGACATAGCTATCCTCAACATCGTTTTGTCAAGTTCATTCTTCTGTTGTGTTTATTTCCTCCACTTCACTTGAAAGTGTCGACCATTGCCATCATCAGGCTGTGCGACTTTGCGCGTGAAAGATTCGACCACCGCTATGCAAGTCGTCACACCGATGTCAGCCTCCTCGACGACAATTCGTCTAGTCCAACGTGAGGTTCTAGCGTGACTCATTCAGATCTTGCACTATGTGGTTTCAAAGCGGACCGTGCTTGGTGTCGACTGATTGGAGTATGTATGACCGCTTTAAGCGGCCCATGAGCTGACTTGTGCGGTCGCCTTAGCGAAACGGGTCATGGGACGACCAGGCTTTAGTCAACACTTTCACGGCCCATTAAACTCACTTGTGCGATGATTGAAGCGATGACGCGTGGCGCAGCGAGCCGCCAGCGTCGTAGATTCCTCTGGTCTGCTATCCGCTCGACCCGGTGGCTGCGCGAGAGACATGCTCAACACATAACCCACGACGAAAGCATCCTGCTGCCGAGATAGGGCTGAGGTGTGGATTGGGTTGGGCTTGACTGCGACAATCTGGGAATGCCTTACTAGATAGTTTGATAACCATCAATTTTGAGATATCTCACCACGTGTTCAGTTGCATCTCTTTGAAAGTGTCGACAATGCACACAGCTTCAAAACTTCGTGTCCCCATCGTGTCCTTTCTCAATGGAATGGGGAATGCCATGCGTAAGGAGTTTGCAGCCTCATTAACTCCGGCTGGCGACCTTTTCCGCTCTGGAAAACTGGAAATCGTGGACGTCCCTGTGCCAAAACTTGTGGGCAATACGCAAGACCCGCTGAATGGCCACAAGATGGACGACTCCGACGCTCCCAAATGGGACCTCACGATGGAGCAGGAACAGGTGATAAGGCAAGCCAACGTCATTGTCATGGATCAACATTCTGGAGGTCCACTGTTCCTCACGCCTGATGAAAGTCTGCCAAAGGATAAGCGTGACATCCTCCGCAACGTTGAATGGGTGCAAGGCACATATGCGGGTGTGGAGCAGTATTTGAATCGACTACCGCATGGGAAGATGGATAAACTACCAAGATTCACATTGACTCGGGCAGGGGGCTTTCTGCCTCGAATTATGGGTCAGTACGTCTTTGGATACGTTACGATGCTGGAAAGGATGCTCTTCGAAGCGAGAGACTTTCAGAGAAACCGCGAATACGCGAGAACGAAGCTGATGCAGTTTAGACCACCACAGTCTGTGACGATTGGCATATTGGGTTTGGGAGATATTGGTCAGGGCGTGGGGAGAATGCTGCGAGGCGCGGGGTACAAGGTGCTTGGGTTCAAACGCCGTGTCCATTCCGAGCTGGATCGAGATTTGGCGGCTTGTGCGACTCGTGTCACACGTAATTTAGAGGAAGTGCTGTCACAAAGCGACTTTTTGGTGAATGTCCTACCTAGCACGAGTTCAACACGCTATTTACTGAACAAGAAGAACATTGAGTTATGTAGAGAGCGTAAGCCAGTCTTTATTAACATTGGACGAGGAGATATGGTTGCGGAGACGACAATTATTAACGCGCTGGATGATGGAGTGTGGTCTCGTGCAGTGTTGGATGTATTTGAGGAGGAGCCGCTACCACGTAAGAGTGCTCTGTGGACACATCCATCCGTGTTACTGACTCCACACGTATCGGGCTTCGTGTTTGCAGAAGACGTGGCAAGTATGTTTGTAGACAACTTCAATCGTTATTTGCGTGGCGAACCTGTGCTCTATCAAGTCGACTGGACTGCTGGATATTGACCGATACTTCGAGAGCTGACAACCACATGAAAGGTATCATTCTGATGCGTTGTCGGGCCTTACTAGATCAAGACTTGGTTGCTGTGTCCGATACATTCATTGCTGGCTAGTTAGACCGTATCATGAGTCAGCCTGAAGTAAATACATAGGGCGACTTGTCTGCCAACTTTACTCCTTGTTTGTCGCGATCGGTTCGAGGACCGCACCCCATCGCGCATCAGTGGCGGAGCGCACGGCAGCCTGATAGCTCTTGCTACGCCGACGTCTGTCACCATGCTGTTGCGCGAAAGTAGAAGCCACGCGCTTCGTTTTCGTAACAGTCCTATTCTTGGTCACCCGCTTCGTTGGGATACCGTCAACCTGCGAGCCAAGAGCAGCTACTACACCCAGTCCGTCTTGAAGTGAGCGCTTCACAAAGGCCAACTCGTTTGCTAGCATGGCTGGTAGATGCAGGTGCAGTTTCAACAACTTATCAGCTAGTTCCACCGTGATTGGCATTCCGTTGCGGTGACAGAAAAGTGCGATGCGCGCAAGCTCCTCTGGGCTCATAACGCTGGTGTCGACTGAACCACCTTCCTTTCTAATACGACGAATCACCTTTTGGTTCTTGTCCTCAACCTGTTTGAACGCAGACGTAACTTGCTTTGTCAGCTCATCAGCTACTGTCTTATGAAACCCGTGCTCTTGCACGTCGCCCAATATGATCTGACCCGTCGACTTCACAGCAGAGGCGTTCGCGGACTCCAAGCGCTCAAGGCGCAGACAGCTCTGTAGCGTCAACAGATATGTGTAGCCACTCGGCTGGATAAATCCTTGTGTCCGCAGCATCTCAAACAACTTCAGACTAGCCACCGCACCCGCCAGCTCATCACGCGACTGTGCACAGTACTCCATTGCTGCCTCATAGTGAGCAACCTCAAGCGGAAAAGCGATCAGCTCCTTTTCAAAAAGTGCACGCATAGCATCGAAATGGCCAATTTCGCCATAGATAAAAAGTAACATCTCCATTGTATGCTGCTGAAAGTAAGCTGGCATCTGCTTCAGAGAAACACCTTTGCTTCCATCCAAGTACATTTGCAACAGTTTCTCTGCCTCAACAAGGTTTCCCGTCTCGGCAAGAGCGTTGGTCACGCGGATCACACGATTGGGATGCACTTTCGTCAATCCGTGCAGACGAGTGAACTTGAGCAAAAGTGTCGCGCCAAGAACAGGGTGACCCGACTGACATAGATCATGGAAAAGCGATTCAAACATTTCATAAGACACGTTCTCGTTAAAAAATTCCACTGAATCTGCAACCCGATTGATTTTCACCAGAACATCCAAGGCTATATCCATGGTACATCCAGGTAAATTTTGCACTGCATCGCGAAGAGCATCATCTTCATGTGCTAGTGCAAACGACAACAATAAAGACCTGGCCACGTTAGGCTCGACTCTCCTGACGTCACCGTTATCATCCAAGGTAGACTTAAGCTCATCACAAATAGCAAGCACTTGATCTATGCGACGCTGACGTGAAAACGCTGTAATTGCTGCGTTTTGAGCATACGAGTTGGGCTGCAGGCCAAGGGCGCGCATAGATTCATACAGAGCACCTACATCGTCGTAATCGCCAGCCGTGGCCTTAATCGATATAGCCATAGACAGGGCCTCACCATCCAAGTGTTTACCATGCACCTGCAACATTTGCCTACAGATGCGCTCTGCTTTGGTCATCCGCCAGCTATCATCGACATCTGCTGCTTCATCTTTGGGCTGGCGTAGCAGCGCAAGAATCGAGTATTTGTACAGACGCAGTGGGACTATCACAGGCACCACATCAGTTTCCAAGGACTGTGACGCATCTTGGCTTTTTTGCATCTGGTACTGGTGATTACGGAAGTATCGCAGTGACGAATGTCCCGCAGCGGCATCGAAAAGCTTTACGACCAAGTCCGTGCGATTCGCGTTCATGCACACATCAGCTGCATCGGCAACACTATCCACGTTGCTTTGTATGAGGCGACGGAATGACATAGTTTCGTTTGCCAACGTGTATGCAATACGCCACTCCTTGCTCTTGTTCTCAGACATTTCTCGCAAAAGATCCAATTTGCGACGTATGGGAGGGTGCAATCCGTGGCGATGAGAGAACATCAACCACTGGCGAGCCAAACTCCATTTACCCGCCTCAAGCAGCTTAGACACCGTGTCGCCCACACAAACCTCAGGACTTTTCAATGCATCCACGTCCACCATTGTCATCAGCTTCTCCATCAAGTTCCAATTCTTAAAGCGCACACAAGCGTCAGTTGTTGCACGCACAATCGAATCGGTAATTGGGAGTCTTCGTGAAAGCATCAGCTCCAAGTAAGCCTCAATATTCGCCGTCCGGTCGTCACGCGCCTTGCACAAGCCACTAATCACACCGTTAAATAGCAGCACATCATTGTCGCTCCCGTGCTCGACGTCATCACCATCAAACACTGCAACTGCTTCCGTTTCGTCACCATCCTCGTCAAATTCCTGTCGATGCATCAACTCAGCTGTAGCACCCCAGCTCTGCTCAGCATGCTTAATTAAAGTCTCAAGCGTCTCGATATCACCGGTACTAGCAAACACTCCCGCAAGACTGGCGTATGCAGGTGGGAGCACGACTGGCACGTTAGCGGTCATAATTTCCCAAGCACGCTTCGCATCACGTGTGTTTAGTACAGGATCACGCTTCGTGTCTCGCGAAAGCGCATTGAACAGAGCCAAGTAGATGCCAACAACGCGTGATGTCCTATGAGTGCCCTTGCAGCTCTCGACGTACTTGTCGAACAAATCCACCGCTCGTTGTGTGTTGCCCAGTCTACCGTGGGCACGAATAGCTGTCGTGTAAGCACCGTGGCGAATCTGGCCAGGTTTAAACATCTTTTGGATGTGATCAAATACCTCTACCGCAAGCTGCGTGTCCTTTGCATGCGTCAATCCTTGTAAAATTTTATCGTATTTCATAGCAACAGGATTGGACTCATTAATCTCAACAATCTTCTTCCAGCAGGCCCAGGCGTGTTGACTTCGGTTAGCACCTGTGTAAGCAAGCATTGCACGACCTAAACAAAAGATCGTCGGATGTTTCTCACCACTCTCTAGCATCTGCTCAAACAATCGCGTAGCCTGCCAATGTTTGCCGTTTGACACGAGCGCATCGATCGCGCATGTGTAGATTGTTTCATCCAGACTTAAACCACGTTGCATGACAGCAGCAAAGCTTTGCAGTGCCTGTTCTAAATCTCCATTCAGTACTTGACAACGAATGAGTTGACTAAACACTTCTGAATTGCCCCGTAGTCCGTCCTGTTCTTCCATTTGCACAAACAATGACATGGCTATATCCGTTCTCTGTGCTATCCCAGCAGCTCGAATAGCTGCAGTGTAGTGATTTATCGTAAGTTCCGTCTCACCTGAAGCACAAAGCTGTTTCATCATGTGAACGATACTGTCTCCATCTTTTACTTGTCCACAGGCTTCCATGATTGCATAAAAAGCAGCAGGAGACAAGTGGACACCCATGGATATCGCATCCGTAGCCAAGTGTACAATAAGACCCCAATGTTCTTTTGCCAAGTATGCTTGAATGATAAAATCAATTGTAGCACTAGTAGGTATCAGCTCATCCACGTGCATATTGTTCAAGAGACCAGGTAAAACTTGGACTTTCCCCATACGTGCACAAGCAGCAATCGCACGTTCATACATGGACGAGTCTAAGGATGGTAATGTCTCATCTTTATCCACACGATCTAATAACTTGAGAGCTTGACGCCATTGACCCGTTTCACGAAATGTATCAAGTTCCGTCCATAGCTTGTTTCGGGTCATATTTGACTCGAAATGAACATCATTGAACGTCTCCGACGAGCTCCAACGACGTTGAGGGATTATGGAAAGAGATAACGTGTCCATCGAAGCAAGAAACAGGCGTAACCGATGTTTATTCACGTCTCTAGAAGGCTGTATCCGATGAGAGAGCATCACGAGACGACGGGTACGAAGCATTGCAATTTACGTGGCACGTGGATTGAGTTGAGACGTATAAACTAGTGCAAAAGAGACACAAGATAATGCTTAAGAAGATAAAATACGTTCATAGCGCTAGATATCAATACAAACAACAATACGTACGAGTAAAGACAAGTGACCTGCTTGTGAGATATCAATGGACACTTGACTGACTGGTGGAGACGAAAAACACAGTATTTCTAAAAATAAGGTTTGAAACAGTGTAATGTTTAGCTATTTAGTACGACAGATGGCCAAATTTTAGAAATTAGTTATATATTTGAGGATGAAATTAGGGTTTTAATTAAATTGGTGTTCACATGACATCCGTCCCTGAATTTGCGTCCACAGTACTATGGACATCTTAGAGCAACATTAAAAGTGGCCTATATTCTGTCTTACCTTACCAACCCTGCGAAATGTCTGACCTACCAACGTGGAAGTGTACGCACCATGGAAGGTACGATCACGATCAACCTCTTCCTTACTTTATTTCACATGTTTTTATCTGATACTATAAACCAGAATGAAGACAGCACGATCGCTGCTTCGTCCGTCTCCGGTACGTAATCCACAGCTTTTGAACCATCGACGCAATCAAGAGGTCGCCAACGACATTACTTCGAACATGACAATGGCTACATGGACATCGCCCCGTGCTACTTGCACTCATTCTAGTCATTTTCACACGGTCAAGAGACCCACCTCGTCCTATGCTTTGAATCAACCAGCGGCAGTTAATGATTCTTCTTTGCAGAAGCCCGTGGAAAGAGTGACGAGAGTAAAAACTCACTTGCAGACGACACGGGCTACGCAGACTTCAATGAAAGAGACTGATACTGGATTGACGGATCGGATGGGGTTGCAACCTACGACTGGGATTTATCTTGGGGCATTTGGTGAGGTTAGGAAAATGACGGCGGAGACGGTTGATTTTTTGATTCACGTGCTAGAAGATGTGGGAATTTATGTCTTTAGCTTTGGTTTCAGTATGTGTGAGGCTATTTGTTCTTCTGGTGTTGAGGCTAGTGCTGTTATGTTGTGAATGTTGTGGTTGATTTTTGTTTTGAAAGAGAAAACAAGAGCTGTTGGTGAGTAGCGAGGACAGAAAGAGTAATGGAAGGACGCATTGTGCTAAAGATAATATGGAAAACACGTTGGAAATGGTAGGACCCAGTAAAACTGGAAAGAAACACTGACACGTTGTTGACTGACGTTTGTGTGTTTGGGTTGTTCGAAAGGGACAAGACGCACCATCGTCAGAAATCGCTCGTATCAAACTTGACTCGACTAGGAATGGTGTTACACACGTAACGGAGCTGGTTCGGTCTCACTCATACGAAGCGTTGGTGCAATTAGAAGGAATATTAGAAGCACGGCACCATAGGATCATGAACGATGGAAGACGAGAGTCTATTGATGTTCTAGTCAATCCGAGAGAGTGAAGAAATAAGCCTGTTGTGGACTTTTTCAGCATAAAGATGCTCTTGCAGTCATCAATTTATACACCCAGAGTTTAGACAATATAAAGCCGTTGTACGACACCAAAATGCTCTATAATGTTAATAAATGACAAAATGAGTTTCGTATTTCATACAAACTATCAGACTGTTTCATCGACAAGTTCAAATCAACGCATGGATTTTTAGCCATAGAAAGACGTCCTTCTTCCCACATGACGTGTATGAACTTTACTGACACGAAGTTGTTACAATTTAAAGTAGAATGTGGGACCTTTCTTGATAAATATATCAGCAAGAGCTTGCTGCCCGTTACGGATTATTCAGCGGTCTTCTTGTGTTAAGCTTTACAAGCACCACAATATATCACTCGTTGCTGCAGCTTGCGTTGCAACTACGACTCCATAATACAGTTTTCTGTTAAATAATGAACTCGCTGTCTTTCCATTCTATGGCAGTCCACATTTGCAAATGATTTGTGTGTGTATGTGCCCTTAGCTGACGCAAGCAACATTTCGTCGGTTTTTTACGACCCAATCAGACTCAAATAACAAGTGATGTACTGAGCGTTACAAGGATACATTTACAATCCTTCAACCAGACGGTAAGATGATGAACGAAGGCGGCTGGCTTTTTTGGTGAGGGTGGCCAAAGCGTTTCGCATATAACATATGCAAGACACATCGATGTTTGAATGCAGTATTGGTTGGTACACTCTAAATAACCTCCTCTTCTTCTGTTGACTTTTAGTTACAATATATTCATGTTACCGGTACATGCTTTAATATTTATCATACAAGAATACAATACTTGGTGAAGGATACACTCGTGTGTCACTAAAGTTTTTCTCTAAGGTTACCGTTAATAAAATACCGGTACATGTCCTAGGTAAATTACAGCAAGTTGTTGAGACACCACTAAACCTTTTCCTCAAATCGCCTTTTTTTTGACTTGCATGTCTTTTTTTTTTCAGACTGAATAAAATCCTCTTTTTTTCTAAAGTTGGCACCTTTTTAAAGAAAGAACATTTTTCTGTCAATACAAAATCTCTGTTGTCTTGGTCTGATCTCCTCGTTCGTATCAAAAAGGGATACATACAATTCACAATCTCAAGCTTTCACGTGTATGATTGTGTAAATTATTTTGTGGCTCAGTATACATTTCAAGTGTCTTTCTCCTCCCACTCTTTGACTCAAACTACCGTCAAGTTACAAAGTTTGACATCTCGGTTTGGTTTGGTTTGGTTGGTTGTATGTATGGAAGTATGTACATCATGTCAGAATAAAGCCGGCAAGTCATTAGTATCTCGCACGATCGCAACAGCACATCGTCTACTGTGTGCAGCTTTATCGTCTAACGGTGGACCCCACACTCCTCCTTATTAAACAAGTAGATAACACTTTTCAAAAACTATTCGTGCACAAGCATCACGAGTTTTCTCTTTTTACTCCTTCATCCATTGATAATGTCACCTACGAGATTTGAAGATGATCCAATTACTACAGTACGAACGTCATGGGTTCCACAGGTTCTTCGTCGATCAGCGTCCGAAGACGTTGAACGTAACTCACTTATTCAAGATGGACCAGACAAGAAGAAAACACTACCTGGCTCGAAGAAATCAATGAGCATTATCGGTACAGAGATTCTTCCACTGCGGCTCTCCATTCCGTCCTTTAATATAGGAGAAGAAGACGTTAGTGTTGACAACTCTCTTGCATCCACGGTCTGTGACATTAGTCTCTATAGAGATAGTGAACTCCAGACATTGCACAAGAAAAGCGACGTCAACGACAACGACGACGACCTACTGCGGAGCATTGCCGATGATATAATCGGCTACAACGTGCCATTCCAGTCACCTTTAGGTACGAAGGCGCAGTGCTATGCGGACTACACGGCAAGTGGTAAGCCACTGAAGAGTATTGAACAGTTTATACGGAATAAGGTCATGCCGACTTATGGCAACACGCACACGGCGACGTCCGTCACGGGGCTCCAGACCACAGCATTTCGCAATGAAGCTCGCGAACTGATCGCGGACGCAGTGAACGCGTGCGAGACAAGGGATGCGGTTTTGTTTGCTGGCCAAGGATGTTCCAGCGCTATCCAGAAGTTTATATCAGCACTTGGAATTGGCACTTCCAAGCGACTTCGAATTTCATCCAAGCGTCCAGTGGTTTTCACAGGCCCATACGCTCACCATTCGAATTTGCTGCCGTGGCGTGAAAGCATTGCAGCCGACATTGTCGAGATCCCTGAAGCAACAGGTGGCGGGCTGGACATGACAGAGCTGGAGAGGCATTTGAAGCACTACAGCGGGCGCAAACTCAAAGTTGGCACCTTTAGTGCTGCTTCAAACCTTACAGGAATACTGATAGACGTCGATAAGATTTCCAGGCTTCTTCACAAATACGGTGCATTAGCGTGCTGGGACTATGCTACTTGTGCGCCGTACGTACCGATTAATATGAACCCGAGCGACCCGATGGCTTACAAAGACGCCATCTTTTTTTCGGGTCATAAGTTTATCGGCGGTCCGGGATCTCCTGGTGTGCTGGTTGTGAAGAAAGTACTCATGCAAAATGAGGTGCCGACGATGCCTGGTGGTGGTACTGTATTGTTTGTCACTGAAAAATCTCAAATCTACTTGACAGATATCGTAGAGCGCGAGGAAGGTGGAACACCGGACATTTTGGGAACCATTCGGCTTGGTCTTGCGTTTGCACTTAAACAGCGCGTTGGGGCGAAGACAATCATGTTCCACGAACGTCGTCACGTTCAACGCGTGCGAGAGTCTTTCGGCAAAAACAAGCACATTATACTTCTCGGTCGCCAGAGCAATGACATTGAACAGTTGCCTATCTTTTCAATGATGATCCGCTACGGCGATCGATTCCTGCACCACAACTTTGTGTGTATACTGTTGAATGACCTTTTTGGTATTCAGGCTCGAGGTGGCTGCCAATGTGCCGGTCCATTCGGAGCTCGTCTGCTTGGAATCAGCAAGGACAACACCATTGCTCTAGGAAACGCTACAGCAAAGAGAGATGAAGTGATTAAGCCAGGTGTTGTGCGGATGAGCTTCCCATATTTTGCCGATGACGCAGAGATTGAATACATTTTGGATGCAGTTCACTTTGTGGCCGACCACGGTTGGAAATTTCTTCCGCAGTATGACTTTGACATTCACTCGGCAGTATGGTACCATATGTCGCAAGCAAAAGATAAACTGCCGATGATGAGCTATTTGTCTGAGCTGCAATTCTTCAACGAAGACATCAGCAGCTCGTTGACGGTTGATGAACCCGTTTGCAGTATCTCAACGCATCGACGTGAAAACTTGGAGCAGGCTGCATTGCAGGCGGACATTTGTATAAAGGAAGCCGCGTCACTCGCTTCGTTCCCTGAGGGTCAAAAGGTACTTGAGGGCCATGAGGGATTGCGTTGGTTTATGTACTCGTACGAAGTTGTCGCAGATTACAAGAAATACGGTGGCATGGCTCCACTTAGCGACAAGATCGCCGGTCCATGTCAACCACATTTGTACCTAAAAGATGCAATGAATCACATTTGGGACGGCTACCCATCCATGTCAAAGCTGAAACGGAGTCGCGTGGGGAGGTTAATGCTTCGTCACACATTGTCGTCTCCTTGAACAAGTTTTTTTGGCGAGCAAACTGGGTTGGCCTCAAAGCAAGAGACCAAGATACCCGAATGCTGTAGTAGGTGTTAAGTATTAAAGTTTCAAGTGTTCGCAAAGCAAGTGGTAGTTTGATATTGAGAAGCGTATCATAACTATGCCTGGCCGAATTCCTGTGAACATGTAGTTATTTTTTGAAAGAAGTTTTATGAGCACGCTACCGTTGGAACAACTTACATGCATATACAAAGCTTGCAAAGTTTTGGTGATTGGACAAGCAAGATTGGACGATACTTTTCGCTGTTATACTCTCCCCATAAGATTGTCAGCCTTATATCGATAGCTACATATCTAGCAGATGTGCAGACCAGTGTTGCCAGCCATCCAGTCATCTGTACAGTACTTGGTAGCGTCCTCACATAATTGCCAGCGCTCAATATCGTAAGTCTACGAAAGTCCCGCTTGATGTTTGCGGTATGAATGTTATCATGAACATCATGATGTTCATACGTTGCACTATATTTAGAAGAATAGAAGACGCGCCTATGTGCCTTGTGCCTTGCTTGAAAGCTATCCGAGTTTGTATTCTTCAGCCAATTCATCATACCGCACAAAATGTCTCGAAATAACTTTACCCTCCTTTGCTTGCCACAAAGACTCTATATATTGGCGAGTGCCATGCAAACTTCAAAACGCCATCGCGGTGTAACTCATTTCATAGCAGCTGTTCTTTTCGCGACTGCTTGTTGCCTCTACTTTGCTGCTTTCAAGGCTACACTACCAGCTGCTTTACCTCTCGGCACCGTCAGCTGCAGGCTTGCCTAAAGGGTCTAAACAGCTCGTAGCCTTTCTCAGCGTTGTTTCATTGTTGCAGCTTAGACTTTGAAGGCTTTAAACAGAACGATACGATACAAAGTCGTTGTACGAGTCAGTTTGGAAAAACACAGACAAAATGCAATAACTCATAGGCTAACTAATCACTGCATACCCAATAACAAAAGCTGACTAACTGTTGAGATCCCGGTGCATTGATGCGCACCGATTTGCTTTCTCGTGGTGCAAAGCAACATTGAGCTATAGCCTAGTAGCCGCTTGACCAATCCATCTGATACAGCACCACTTTTCCTTCCAAATAACGGTTGAGGTTTTTCACAAATACATCCGCGACGTCCTCCGGGAAAACAGTGCCAGCAATATGCGGTGTTACAATTACCTTCGGATGCGACCATAATGGACTCTCTCTCGGCAGTGGTTCCTGTTCAAAAACATCGAGCACGGCTTTTGACAGCAGACCCTTGTCAAGAGCGGCAAGTATTGTTTTCTCCGAAATGACATCGCCGCGACCAACATTAATGAATACCGGCGTTTTGTTACAGCAACGCTTGAGCGTATTCTCAGTCAGTAAGTAACGAGTTGCACTCGTGCTGGGCAGGACATTCACCACATAGTCACTGTGCTCTAGAACCTCACCCAAGTCAGTTAATATGCGGTCAGCACTCATTATAAGCGCTTTCCTATCTTCGTCACTTACACGACGCTTAAACCCTACTACTTGGAACCCAGCCGCTTTGAATATGCGGCCGATCTCCTGACCAACTTCACCGAGACCGAGGATGCCGATCGTCAATTGCTGGAACGAGCGGTACTTGAGTTCCCATCGACCGAACACGCGCTTCTTCTGGTACTGTGTCGCCTGAAAGAGTTTGCGCTCAATCGCAATTACGTATCCGAAAACAAATTGAGCCAACGCTGTCGGCATGATCCCACCTGCACGTGAGACCGTAAAGCCTGGGGCTTCTGAGGCAGTAGGGTATTGGTGATACGAGTCCACTCCAGCGTAGGTGCCTTGCACCCATTTCACTTTCTTCAGCAGATGCTGCAGCTCAAATGGCAGGTTTGTCTTGGGCGCGAGCAACAGTGGTGCAGCTACATGGGCGTCCATAAAGAGTATCTCAGCGTCTTCTAAAATCTGCTGCTGCTTGGGGTCGAGATTCCACTTGGGGGCAAAGGATGTGGCAACATCGACAGGTTCTTCGGGCTGGTGGTTATTGCTGGCATTGGGAGGACAAACCACAGGCATAGGTAGGTCGACGATATCGAGCTTGGACGACTGGTACAGTTTGGCTGCGACGGATGAAGCTATTGGTGACGAAAGTTGTTGACGAACGGCATCACCGATGCCGGGAATCATGGAGACAACGGGGATCTGGACTTTGTTAGTGGTCATTTCGATGAATGGCAATTTAAGGAATGACGTTTTGGAAGGGACCACTTTTTGAGGTAGCTTTATTTCTAAAGTTGTACAATGTATTGACAGCAGCTGAAAACAAAAAGACGACAGGAAAGTTCGTTCAGTGTCTCAGAAGCCCAAATTCGACGCAGTACTTCAATACAACACTTTGTATGCTTCTCCACCGCAAACGTACCACCCGTCAGGTACGACTCGTCTCAAGTGCCATGTGTTTACGTCTTAACGTTGAGATCATTACGATTGAACCAAATCAGCAGTACTGGAACGAATGAGAGTCAGTGGTATTCTTGCAACATTGCACTTGCAAATGAACTGTCACCGTACATAAGAAGCGGCAAGTGGGTTTGCGACAGTTTTGCTGACTCAACAAATGACGAACTTGATGGTTTAGAAGATTCGAAAACATCGGGGTCAGACAAGTACAACCACCACCAGTCCATGGCTTTGAACGTGGATGCAGTCAGTCTCGTTTGATATTAGTATGTATTATTTCTGTAAGAAACGATCAGCTGTTTTTAGAATGACGTAGATATAAATCATTTAAAAGAATACGGAGCAAAAATGCTTTTTATAACAGATGCTGCGTGTTTTCGATGGCTTTTTGCGAATATCGAGATTTAAATCTGGAGCAATCTTTCGTCAATAATCCTGATATGATCGAAGAATGGCATACTCAAATTCCAAGCTGCCATCAGGTTTTCTGGTTTATCTGAATATCGCTTGGTTAGTAAGTAGCAGGATACGCACCAACTTTTGCTACAAATCCACTAAAACTCACATGTTATTACGAGAGAACGCTATCACTTTTGCCATTACAACGCTTGTCGTATACGATAGACCAGCTTTGATTGTACAATGAGTAGCTTGGCTTGCTGTCATAAAAGATGACACCCGTTATGGGTTTTACCTATCTAAATGTGAAGACAATCTGTTTGTAGATCTTGTAGGCAGTCGACATCCATAACACACGTTCAAGGTGACACAACCAAGAGTTGACCCAACGTTATATCGACAGCTACATGTGTAGCAGGTTCCGAAAACAAAGTCGTATACTCTAGAAATTGTACCACAATGGAAGCGTGCAGTCAAGTTGATGTTACTAACTACAGCATCGAAAGCATCGTTTTGCTGAGGAATACAGAAAAGAAAGTCAATCTTGCGTTATTCCTCCGAAAAGGCACTATTTTGGTGGGCGATGAATGGTATGATACGGAGAACCAAGGCCCGGTAGCACCTGACGAGTGCAGACCAGTGTAGCCAGAAATAATTGCCAGCGCTCAATATCGTAAGTCTACGAAAGTCCCGCTTGATGTTTGCGGAATGAATGTTATCATGAACATCATGATGTTCATACGTTGCACTATATTTAGAAGAATAGAAGACGCGCCTATGTGCCTTGTGCCTTGCTTGAAAGCTATCCGAGTTTGTATTCTTCAGCCAATTCATCATACCGCACAAAATGTCTCGAAATAACTTTACCCTCCTTTGCTTGCCACAAAGACTCTATATATTGGCGAGTGCCATGCAAACTTCAAAACGCCATCGACCTAAATAATACGGTGTAACTCATTTCATAGCAGCTGTTCTTTTCGCGACTGCTTGTTGCCTCTACTTTGCTGCTTTCAAGGCTACACTACCAGCTGCTTTACCTCTCGGCACCGTCAGCTGCAGGCTTGCCTAAAGGGTCTAAACAGCTCGTAGCCTTTCTCAGCGTTGTTTCATTGTTGCAGCTTAGACTTTGAAGGCTTTAAACAGAACGATACGATACAAAGTCGTTGTACGAGTCAGTTTGGAAAAACACAGACAAAATGCAATAACTCATAGGCTAACTAATCACTGCATACCCAATAACAAAAGCTGACTAACTGTTGAGATCCCGGTGCATTGATGCGCACCGATTTGCTTTCTCGTGGTGCAAAGCAACATTGAACTATAGCCTAGTAGCCGCTTGACCAATCCATCTGATACAGCACCACTTTTCCTTCCAAATAACGGTTGAGGTTTTTCACAAATACATCCGCGACGTCCTCCGGGAAAACAGTGCCAGCAATATGCGGTGTTACAATTACCTTCGGATGCGACCATAATGGACTCTCTCTCGGCAGTGGTTCCTGTTCAAAAACATCGAGCACGGCTTTTGACAGCAGACCCTTGTCAAGAGCGGCAAGTATTGTTTTCTCCGAAATGACATCGCCGCGACCAACATTAATGAATACCGGCGTTTTGTTACAGCAACGCTTGAGCGTATTCTCAGTCAGTAAGTAACGAGTTGCACTCGTGCTGGGCAGGACATTCACCACATAGTCACTGTGCTCTAGAACCTCACCCAAGTCAGTTAATATGCGGTCAGCACTCATTATAAGCGCTTTCCTATCTTCGTCACTTACACGACGCTTAAACCCTACTACTTGGAACCCAGCCGCTTTGAATATGCGGCCGATCTCCTGACCAACTTCACCGAGACCGAGGATGCCGATCGTCAATTGCTGGAACGAGCGGTACTTGAGTTCCCATCGACCGAACACGCGCTTCTTCTGGTACTGTGTCGCCTGAAAGAGTTTGCGCTCAATCGCAATTACGTATCCGAAAACAAATTGAGCCAACGCTGTCGGCATGATCCCACCTGCACGTGAGACCGTAAAGCCTGGGGCTTCTGAGGCAGTAGGGTATTGGTGATACGAGTCCACTCCAGCGTAGGTGCCTTGCACCCATTTCACTTTCTTCAGCAGATGCTGCAGCTCAAATGGCAGGTTTGTCTTGGGCGCGAGCAACAGTGGTGCAGCTACATGGGCGTCCATAAAGAGTATCTCAGCGTCTTCTAAAATCTGCTGCTGCTTGGGGTCGAGATTCCACTTGGGGGCAAAGGATGTGGCAACATCGACAGGTTCTTCGGGCTGGTGGTTATTGCTGGCATTGGGAGGACAAACCACAGGCATAGGTAGGTCGACGATATCGAGCTTGGACGACTGGTACAGTTTGGCTGCGACGGATGAAGCTATTGGTGACGAAAGTTGTTGACGAACGGCATCACCGATGCCGGGAATCATGGAGACAACGGGGATCTGGACTTTGTTAGTGGTCATTTCGATGAATGGCAATTTAAGGAATGACGTTTTGGAAGGGACCACATTTTGAGGTAGCTTTATTTCTAAAGTTGTACAATGTATTGACAGCAGCTGAAAACAAAAAGACGACAGGAAAGTTCGTTCAGTGTCTCAGAAGCCCGAATTCGACGCAGTACTTCAATACAACACTTTGTATGCTTCTCCACCGCAAACGTACCACCCGTCAGGTACGACTCGTCTCAAGTGCCATGTGTTTACGTCTTAACGTTGAGATCATTACGATTGAACCAAATCAGCAGTACTGGAACGAATGAGAGTCAGTGGTATTCTTGCAACATTGCACTTGCAAATGAACTGTCACCGTACATAAGAAGCGGCAAGTGGGTTTGCGACAGTTTTGCTGACTCAACAAATGACGAACTTGATGGTTTAGAAGATTCGAAAACATCGGGGTCAGACAAGTACAACCACCACCAGTCCATGGCTTTGAACGTGGATGCAGTCAGTCTCGTTTGATATTAGTATGTATTATTTCTGTAAGAAACGATCAGCTGTTTTTAGAATGACGTAGATATAAATCATTTAAAAGAATACGGAGCAAAAATGCTTTTTATAACAGATGCTGCGTGTTTTCGATGGCTTTTTGCGAATATCGAGATTTAAATCTGGAGCAATCTTTCGGGTATCCATCAATAATCCTGATATGATCGAAGAATGGCATACTCAAATTCCAAGCTGCCATCAGGTTTTCTGGTTTATCTGAATATCGCTTGGTTAGTAAGTAGCAGGATACGCACCAACTTTTGCTACAAATCCACTAAAACTCACATGTTATTACGAGAGAACGCTATCACTTTTGCCATTACAACGCTTGTCGTATACGATAGACCAGCTTTGATTGTACAATGAGTAGCTTGGCTTGCTGTCATAGAACATGACACCTGTTGCGGAATTTACCAAACTCTAATGTGAATACAACCTGTTTGGAGATCTTGAGGGTAGTCGATATTCGTGATATCCGTTCACGACAACAACTAAGCTTTGACCATCAACTTGCTCTGACGAAATTCCTCACAAGTTCTTTACTTTCAAGTGAAATGTCAGGAATTAGCTCTATAAGCAAATTACCATCGGAATAACATCCATACATGCATATACAGAGCTTGTAGAGTTGCTTTGTTTCGACAAGCAAAATTGATTTGATACCTTTCGCTGTTATACTAGTGCCATAAGTTTGCCAATCTTGTATCGATAGCTACATGTGTCTGAAAACAAAGTTGTTTACTCTTGAAATTACACCAAAATTGGTAGCGTGCAAACAAGTTGGTGTTTCTAACTAAAGTGCCGAAAGCATCGTTTTGCTGAGGAATACAGAAAAGAAAGTCAATCGTGCGATATTCCTCCGAAAAGGCACTATCTCGGTGGGCCATGAATGATATGATACGGAGAACCAAGGCCCGGCAGCACCTGTCGAGTGCAGACCAGTGTAGCCATCCATCCAGGCATCTGTACAGTACTCGGCAGCACCCTTACACAATTTCCAGCGCTGAATATTGTAAGTCTACGAAAGTCCGCTTGATGTTTGCGCAATAATTGTTAACATGGTCACCACTCGTGTGACGAGGATGTTTCAATAGATTTTGTTAAGTGACAGAAGAAGCTGAGCTGCATGCTGTAGAGCCGCAAATTGTGCGCAGATATTATATCTGCAAGAGCACAGGCCATTTAAGGTCAAAATGCTCTGCAAGAAAGGCATGTTGGTCTCAAAAGACCGCCGCCACATGGGTAAACCTTCTTGTTTGCCGTGGGAAAACAGCGGGGCCAAGTAGGCGCGCGGCGCCCTAATGGGAAAAACTGAGTTCTGTTGAGCCTTTAAGAGGTAGAAGTAAACAGGGCCCAGCCCCAAAGAGACCATAACTCTCAAAAGCGGAGCGAGAACGCAAGCCAGGCTTGCTAGTCGTCAAAGGGACGATCAAGAACTTGGATAAGCCATGGATCATTTTGATTCGGAGGCATCAGGCAATTGTACCCGCTGGTCCACCGTGGAAGGTAGTCAACAGTATGCTGAAGCGCTCAGAGTGCGTGAAAGTGACACAGTCACAGATCGCTTAGCGATCGGGTACGCGGAAGACGGTACCCAAAGTCCCGATAAACTTAAATGTAAAATTCTTGGTCTTTAACAGCATGTAACGCTGTTTGGTCTTAGACCTGAATGCGAGATATGACATCATCCTAGACATGGCATGTATTGATTGGACGTCAAAGATAGGCGCATTCTGATGGGGCTCTGGAGAGTCATGAACCCACCTCTGCTAGGAAGCAAAAGCACTTTTGGCGTGGATATTGGACCGAGTCGGTCAATATGATGGATGTCGGCTTATTCGACTGTGTAGACACTATATTCGCCGAGGACAATAGTCCTTGGCGGTTCACATGGGCTGTCAGCAGTGTGGTCGAGAACCCGCTAGAGGACATGTCATAAGAGTAATGTTACACAATTAAACACCATGAGTGGTGTGAGTGGCTGCAAGCCAAAATGTTAGAAATAAGTGTCCAAGTGACATAGGTGACGAGGTATTGACCCTGGAGGGACAGGTCAAGTCCTAAATGGACTTTGACTTTGAGTAAAATGACGTGCAAGTACTTACTGGATCAGGCGGGTTGGGTGAAGTCAGTAACGACATTTTTATATAGTAAGAACGATTTAATAGCACCTAGTGACGCGGTCTGGCCTAAGAGGTCCGGGTGAAGTCAAGAATAACGACTGTCTTCGTGACAACGAGGTTCAAGCACCTAGTGACGAGGCATTGACCCAAGAGGGCAGATTGCAGTTAGTAAAAGGAGTAGGCTTTTACCTTGAGGTGTGTACTAATGTAGGCGCTGATGCTTCGGATGCTGAGAGCATCATGAGTAGCGATGATAATATCGTGAGTGACGGTAATAGCGACAGCTATAAACATTCGTCAATGGTTTGACTGGGGATGTTGAAGATCCGGTGGCTCTTTCAGCTATACCTGCAGTAAGTGCTCTGTTAGAGCTGGACGAGTTGTCCTTTGACGAGTTTGGCAGCGCCTTACAGGCAGGCGACATCGCCGAAGTGGTCGTTATAAGACCTGGGGAATAGTTGAACTCCTCATAGCTTTTGGATAAAGCAGTTCTTGGATACAAAGAAGGCGCTGAATGCGCGCAGCGGACCACAGATCCTTAAGTACCCTTCGGATCCTTATTTTCCTTTGTTGAAAGAATATCGAGATGTTGTCTTCAGAGAACCTCCTACGAGGTTACCTCCGGATGGAGGTGTACGTCATGAGATTGACTTGGTTCCAGGAACCAAACACTGTGTGACGCGACAGGGGCCGCTGCCACGAGAACAATGTGACGTCATTGACGAGCTCTTTCGTGCAAAGCACGCGGCTGGCATGGTGCGTGAGAGTAAGTCTCCTCACTCTACGCCCACGTTTTGTGCGAGGAAGCCTAATGGGAAGTGGCGAATAGTGCATGCTTATAATAAGCTGAATGCAGCCACTATCCCAGATCAAACACCGATTCATCGCAAGGATGTTCTTCAGAACAATATGGAGGGATGTACAATGTACAGTGCCCTCGACTTAGTCGATGGAAATTACCAACTGCTTAGGCGAGCTAGTGATATCCCGCGTCAGTACTCCGAGCGGTATGCTCTGGGAGTGGTTAGTGATGCCCTAAGGGCTATCTAACGCACCTGCAAACATTCAATCATCTGGTGACGCAGTTGTTTCGGCCCCATAGGGCGTATGCACAGACATACTTTGACGATATGTTCGTCCATAGTCTAGCCGAAAATATTAAGACTGATGTGGAGAATCACATCGAGCACCTGAAAGCTGTGCTCGGTTGCATGAGGATGCATAAGTTGTATGCCAATATTGACAAATGCATCTTTGGTGCGGAAGAGATTCCCTTTTTGGGATGCTTCATTTGGAAGCGAGGAATCCGGGCAGACCCTGTCAAGGTCAAAGCCATAGTGGGTTGGCCGGTTTTGAGGAACCAAAACGACCTCCACAAGTCGTTGGGTTTGGCGAATTGCATGCATAAGTATAGCCACAACTATGCGGAAGTGGCTAGACCATTGTTAAATCTCCTTAAAAAGGATGTGGAATGATGTTGAAACACGAGAACCACCAGGCTTTTGAGGCCATTACGTAAAGTCTTTTTTAGGCGCCAATTCTGACCATGCATGATCCTGATCGTCTTTTCGTATCGTATGTGAATCTTCGGACTTTCTAATTGGCAGTGCTCTACTGCAAGTAGACGCTGAGGGTTGGGAACACGTCTTCGCGTTTCGATCGTGCCACCTAAAAGCTGCGGAGGAAAACTATCCAGTTTATGATAAGGAGCTTTTTTGTGTGGAGAAGTGAAGATTATGGGGAAAGTCTTTTTGACTGCGATCCGATGATTGTGGTAAGTCCGATCTCACGTGATTGGTCACTAAAACGATCGCACGGTGTGGACTACACAATACGGAGAGAAGTGGTGCCCAGCCGTTTAAGTCGTCTATGGATCAGATCGCGTGGTGTGAACCACACACCCCAGGTCGCGATTAGGCTCCAAGCCATTCGTAGATCGGATCGCGTGGTGTGTATCACACACATCGGATCGCGATCACTGACCAAGTCGTCAGCGGATCGGATCGCGTGGTATGGACCACATACCCCGGATCGCGATCACCGTTGAGGCGACGCGTGGCGTTGATCCTGTCATAAAAGTAGGTAAGTTTTTTTTTAAGATGGTAGTTTATGGGTTTATTGGACAGATTATGGTATTGAAGCTAGCTAATAGGCTAACCATAGGTAGTTTTTGTACCTTAGGCTAGTGATTGGTATTAGTATTGGTTAGTAACTAATACACAAGTCATAGTTAAGCGTACACGTGTTCTTATCTCATCCGGGTTGGATTTTTGGCCACCCGTTGAATAAAGGGAGTACACGTACGTACATCAGATCACCCATGGAAGATTTTGGCCAGGCGTTCACATATAC